AATCGGTCCGACAGACACAAGCAAAAATATATTTAGGTATAATAAAACTGAAAAAAAAAATTATATATAAATTAATCACTAGATATAGGAGTATTATTTTTGTGAATAGCGTCTATTTATAAAAGTCGTAAGTCAACTATCGCACCGTTCCCGTTCGGTTAGTAAAACGTATGTTATATAGGCGGAGAAGAGAGAAAACGTAATTCGTGATTCATTTTCGTATAATTAGCTATCACAACACAAATGCCAACACGTTTTTCGATATAATTCGGGAAAATTTCTCGTGTTTTATGTTGCATATTTTCTCGAAAACGCTTGCCAGCGCTTGGAAATTGATGATTTATTGGATATATCCGAACAGGTACACGACGCTAGAATGAAATGTAGCCGGAGAGTCTGCGTGTACAATTTCGAAATTTCTATTATTAATCGAACAATCGGCGTTAATTGAAGAGAATGGAAAATTCGAGTGTGTTTGTTGTTAGACGGAAAGTCGGCTAAGTAGATTGGAAAACGCGTTCGAGTGGAAAACGACATTTATTCGAAATAAATTGTAGACGAAAATAAATTTTCCTACGGCCAACGTTGGTGGGTTTTACAAGAGAAAAAAAAAACACACACACACACACACACACAACAGTTCTAAGTTTAGTGACGTTTTCTAATTAAAGAAAAGCGCGCGCTTCGAAATAATACCAACTTAAAACAATTTTCAGATAATAAACCTTAAAAAATAATCAGTTAATAGAATACTATTTGTGTGAAAATCTAACAAAACTAGGGAGAAAATTAAAAATTAACTCCTGCAGCATAAATAACCCGAAGGTGATTATTGCAATAACAACCATTCTGTTATATATCGAGTTCACCCGAAAACAAAGCCGTAATAAATTTTTTTATCGTTTCATTCTCGAAACCGTTACGTCAAACAAACCTCGTCTAACCTAAATAGAGATTTTTATATCTTCGTTGATTTACATTTGCTCGGTCGCCGAATGCACAATTTTCAAACAATTCGCGGAGATTTAGCAAAATTGAATTGTCCCTAATTCGACGGGCAATTAATGCTCGAAAATTTATGCTAGCACCGGTGCAATGTATGCGCGATTTTGCAAGAGATCGTCGAGTTTTATAACGTATGCTGTTAATGAGGCGAGGACGATAAAAGCGAGTATTCTAGGAGACAGTATGAGATATTGTTTTGTCAGTAAAAAAAAATTTTACTAAGTACATAACTCACCCCAAACGTTGGGTATCTCCTTCCCATAATTGTAAAAACTTACCTGGAAAAAAAAATCGAAAATCAGTGGGTTATTAAACAATTAGTTTCTTTTTAATTAAGTTTCTACAATAACAACTTTTGTAATTTTATAATGGAATGGATTGTTACGATTAGAAAACATCTATTATTAATTACGCTGGGATTAATCGCAATTACCTTTATAACAAGACGCGCTGTTAATGATTAGTTCGCTCGACACGAAAACATTAAACTGAATATTAGCGTTTGACCTGCTTAAATTCGAAATAGACGTTATAATAAATCGGAGAGTGCCCGAAGAAAACCTCGTTAATTGCGAAAAACTTAACGAAATTATTATCGGGTGGCAGGAAATTTTTTTGTGGAAGCTCCCGAGCGTCGCGGCGTTTCGGAAAAACGGTCCCATATGGAAAACGCCGCTTGGTTATTGACCCTAAGAAAGAGCTAAAATTATAGTTTAAAATCTAGGTCTCAACTCGGACTCGGATTTTTCACATCGGGAGAGTGCGAGAGAGGCGTTCGGGTTTATTTAAGCATTTTAATTTCGATACTTTTTTTTTTGCTGTTTTTCTGGCACCGCACGAGCAAAAAATCTCCCGGTGCAAAAAAATTTGCGAATCCATTTATCAATGGAGCAGGAGAAATCATCGCCGTACGAGGGTCCTTCGAAAAATTTACTAGTCGAGTATAGTCTGTTTAAAATCAATTGAATATTTAAGATTACTCCGATTTTTGATAGGCAAATTGTTGCCATATTGGCTATGAAAAGAGCTGAAGTTATAGTTTAAAATCTCGACTCACACTCAGGAAAGAGTGAAATTGTTCGGGTTTATTTAAGGTTTATTTATTGCACGCCAATCCCGGCAAAAAATTACCGAATCCCATTTATCAATGGAGCAAAAGATCAGCGGCGTACGAGGGCGCATCAAAAATTTACCAAACGAGTAGTTATAGTCTGTCCAAATTCGATTGAATACTTGTAATATATTCAATTGACTTTAGTGTGTTAGCGAAAGAGGTTTTTTTTTTCACTAGTTGCAAGTCGCGTTCCGGTCGATTTGCGGGCTACTCGGGCCGCAGAAAAATGCAGTTGCACGTCAAATGTGGGTCGTTGTCCAGGAAAAACGCGTTTTTCTCGAAAGACTGGAAGGGTTTTTGGCGCCTTTCTCCGCCCGTGTGCTCCGCTATTACCGGCGTGAAACGTTTCCGAGCTAAATTGAGCGTACCGTTCGTAGTCGGAGACGATTTTTTTTAGCACCGAAAACCGTGAAGGTGCGATTCGGACACGTTAAAAAAGTGACAGGCGGTTCCTTGACCCATTTCTGTTCGCTCAAACTCGGCGAAAATATTATTTTTTTTGTCAGAAATATGATTGATTTTACATTTTGCTATACCTACTATACAACAGTTGCACACAAAATAATTACAATTAACAACAATAACAATCGATTAATTACCATATATTCATAAACCCATCGCGTCATTATTTTTTATAAAGCAACAATGAATCAATTAGAGGCGAAAAACAATAAAGAAAAACACGAATGACATTAGCATCGGAAATAGCTACAAGCATTGAAATTGTCCGATATATCAATAACTCGACGACCTTGATTACCAGATACAAATTGTAAGATTATTCGGTCACTTGACCAACGCAATCTCAAAAATCTCTCTGGCAAGATCCGCGTAGAATTCTAGACGAAATAAGCAGATAGAAGAAATCCAAACGATTTGGCAACGTTCGATAATTCAATCGAGGCGTTAATTAAGAAACGAAGGACCTTTCGCGGGATACACGCTCTCAATACCAGCAATATTTTGGTCTTGTTTAAACAATTTACGAAGCAAATCCATCCGCACCGGAGCGTTTTCTAATTTTCCAAGTCTATAAATACAGTCCAAGACACACATTTCCTAATACTGTCGTGTTAATTGTCCAGGTCCACGTCCAGAGAATGTGGCTAAACAGAATTTTCTAACTAAAGGAATAATCGAAGTCCGATGTAGCCGGTGCTTATATTTAGATAAAATATGAAATATCGAACAACTGCGCCGTAAAAACTACATTTATGTCTGCCGGCGGAAATTTAGTGGGTATAACACGTTGGGTTTTCTTGCCAAAAAGGAAAAGAAAAACGATCGTACGGATGAAATGGCCCGCAAAATGACAACCGGAGCATTTTGCTTTAACACGCCGTTTAGTTTTACATCATACCATCCGGTAATGAGTTAATCATTGCGGCGAGTAAATACGAATTAATTACTTGAACGTACATCGAACAGGATAAACAAACGCGAAGATATAAAATTCAAGAAAAAACAATTAAACTTCGTAAATATTTTCAGTAAGAAAAATTCAGTGAGTTAACTTCGAATGAACTAACAATTGTCGAATACACGAAAGCGGTCAAAATAAAATAAATTCATTCAATTATTCACAACGCGCCGTATAGTTTCTTAACAAATTTGCCTTCAACTCGTTGGCAACGGAGCTAAGCGGAGATTTATATTAGGTGTATTTCGGACCCACGAGAGCAAGCACAAAACGCAAAAATTTCAACGAAAAAGAACCGAAAATTTTCTCTCGCAACTCTCCATTACTTAACGCCGATAACAACAAGAGCACGCATTGTACTCGGGAATCGCTCGACTGGAAACGAGACGGGCATTCCCAACGATTCGATTAAAAAAAAAAAAAAACAACGAATTAAAAATAAACGAGTACGCGCTAATGTTCGAACAATTAGTAGCGCACCGATGACCGCAAACACGTTAAAACACTACAAGAATTCCATCTCCGAATCCGCCAAAGTAATTAAGCCAAAACAGAACGTTAACCTTTCGGTTATAACCGACGGTATTAGGTTAAAACGTGTTATACCTACGCTGCAACAATACCGCTCTAAGTTAGTATTATGTTATTTGGATAATTTCTTTTATGGGAAATTATTTATAAAAGCTACGTGTCTAGAACAATAGTATAACATCTCTCACAGCGCAGCATAAAAAGTATGCAATTTTTAATGCGAAATCTAGATAGATTAGGCGTTAAAAAAATTATCTAATAGGTTTTTTTTTTGTACTGAACCCGGTTAATCATCATCGGCGTGTTTTCATAAAACGCCCGTAGCATTTCATAACAAAACGTTGATTTTATAAACGAATAGCGCTAATATTCGATGCGCTATTCGATTAACGATCGATATAATTTTTTTTTCATATAAATATTGAGGTCAATGTTTTTGTGGATTTTAGGAATCATTTAAATATTTATGCGTTAGAAGAATCTTTTTTTCGTCGAACGCTTAACGAATCGGAATTATGTGGGTTACGCGTGATTTAAGGACAATTGGTTAATTTACAAAAGTTGTGCACCGAGCGAGCCGAACGAAAATAAACGCTTTTAATACATTACAGCTGTTATCGCGGTTTTCAATTACATAATTGTTTTATACGTACGGCCGTGTAAACATTCATTAAACTCGATATACCCAGCATCATCAATGAACGTACAAAATTACACCTTCACATCGGCAGATACTATTTATTGATAACAACACCACAAAACGAAGCATTATAAATTCACAAAAAAAAAAACATAGTAGTACTAGTAGATTAGAAAGCCGTACAGAACGATCGGTTACAGAACAACAGCAAACGATTAAGGTACGAAAAAATGTATAAGCAACAAAAAAAAAACAGCACGTGGAAGGTAAACAGCACAAGAGCCTTTTACCGTCGCAAAGTTTGCACCTCTTGGCGCGTGGTTCGCCCAGCGGCCCCGTGCTCACGGGCATTTCCGAGCCGGAATCATACGGGGGCGGTCGTACTGTCCATTGGGCCGATCCCGTACGGCGAACACCGCATCATATCCACTCCAGTACCCCGTACTAATCGAATACCACCCCCGCTATAGTTACCCGTCGCGACGCCGCGAGACGCGCCACCCCCCGAGCTCTTCCCTTTTGCGTTTTTTTTCTTCTTTCGATTTTTTTTTTCTCCCCGACTCAGCTGCATATAAGATGGCCGCTCGCTGACGCACGGCGTCGAACACGTTCTGGCTAGTTACTGAGTCGGGCCGACGCGGACGACGACGACGACGTCGCGGCGCCGGCGCCGGCGCGTGTCGCTGGCCGAAGACGGGACGGCCGAGCGCGAAACGTTGCCAGGAATCGCGCGTCGCGACGCTGCCGACGTCTATGCGACGGCGTCGCTTTTGATTTGTTCGACGGGCGTCGATAAATAAGATTCCTTATAATTACTTACAATTAGCTACTTTCTATCTTTAATTATAATAACGATTTAATTGCTAGAGAACACCCCGGGATAGATTTTAGTCTACTCTACTCTGAATCTAAATCTACTCTTCATGAATCTACTCTAGGTAGGTACTCTAAATCAACTCTTCTCTGAATCTACTCTACATTGAATCTATACTCTAGGTAGGTACTCTGAATCAGCTCTACTCTGAATCTACTCTAGGTATTCTGAATCTACTCTACTCTTGTTAGAACACCGAATCTAAATCTACTCTTCATTGAATCTACTAAAAGTATAGGTACTACGAATCAACTCTACTCTAAATCTACTCTACATTGAATCTATACTGTAGGTAGTTACTCTGAATCTACTCTAGGTACTCTGAATCTACACTACTCTTGTTAGAACACCGAATCTAAATCTACTCTTCATTGAATCTACTCTAAGTATAGGTACTCTGAATCAACTCTACTCTGAATCTACACTAGGTACTCTGATTCTATTCTACCCTTGTTAGAACACGTTGTATAATGCATAATCTATTGCATATCTATCATGTAATATACACCCTTCCTGTACTTGATTAGTGGTAATTACCAAATGTAATGATGCAAATCGATAAAATTTACTATACTATCGAATAGAGTACATTACAAAATGATCAATTACAGTGTTAGATAACCATTGAAGGTGTATTTTTGGGGCGAAATTTACGAGAGTAATTCGCGTGAGAGAGTTACCGGGAATAATCGGTTATTGTTGGTGAAGAAAAATATAAGAGAAAAAGCGGGAGTTAAATACGAATATAGCGGTGCGACAAATCACGAAATAAATGTTTCCACTAATTCATTAAAACGAGCGTCGCGTTGAATAATACGGCTGTATAAATAGCCGGCGAAAATTTCGAAATTAATAACAGATTTTCGAGCAAATTAATGGAATATCTCGATTATATTTTTCTGCATACATCGTATAGCGAGTAGGTAATGAAACTTTGCGAGATCAAGGGTTAAGGTCGGTGCTAAAGTTTCTCTGCAAATCACACACACACACAATGTTATTTTATGGTTTAAACAAAGAGCTCGCGTGGGCGTCGGTTTTATTGCCATTATTTTTAAAACTGGAAACCAGTTTTCTGTTTCTTCGAAGAAACCGCGCACGAAACGCGCTTGGGGGACTTCTGTTTCGAGTTTTCGCTTCGAGAGAGAAACGAAAAATCGAAACCGTAACAAACATGTGACGTAACACGTTATATAGGTGTCGTAAAAGATGACTCACGTTGCCAATTAACTGTATCTGCTGGACAATGTTCTAAAACAATATAAACGTCCGAGAATTTCGAGATTTTTGGAAAAAACAAACGGGCTATTTTTCGACTAAAACCGTCGTCTTACTTAATTGACGAACGAGAAACGTATGCAGTGTTTACAGTCGAACAGGACCAACTTACATACATAAAACCGAAATTAATTCACAAATTAAATGTAGGTACTAATACAAAAGTAATTATATTTAGCGATTGGTCTCGCTCTATTCAGTATACCCGCTCTATCTGCGCTTCGAATTCTGGTATGCATTCATGGAAGAATTTGTTTGTTATTCTACCGGCAACGGTCTATTTCAAAATGCCTTAAAACAAATTCATTTACAACCAATGTTGTAAACGTTTTATATATCAAGCTCTCGAATTCGATTGCGGCTGTTTATCTGTATTACGGACTTTTATAATAACAAATCGATTCGATTGCAGAAGCAGAAGACACCACTCAACTTTTGGAGCTCTCAGAACCAAAGTAAATCGATTCATCAACAATGTAATATTGTTGCAAAGCAGAGCAGAATAGCAGAATCCCGTAGAGTAGAATAGATCGAGTAAAATAGAGTAGAACAGAAAAGAGTAGAATAGACTAGAGCAAAATTGTAAAGAGTAGATTAGAGTAGAAGTAGATTAGAATAGGATATTGTAGAGTAGAGTAAGGACAATAAAGTAAAATAGAGTGGACTGGGGTAGGGTAGAATATAGGAGTAGAGGAAATTGTATGCAGATAACTATAAAGTTCTACGCAATATAGTCTGTGGATACAACAAAGACAACTTCCATTAGTCTTATATAAACGAGAAAGAATGAGTGATATTGCGAATAATCTTTCTTTGTTCTACTCATTAAATTGAGTTGAAAAGAGTCGAGATATGAGTTGAGTTGAGAATTAAAAAAATAACTTGACACAGGCCTAATTTCATAAAATTAAAAGCAATAATGAAACAAACTGAAATTGAAATCATAATTTAGAGTACTTGATCCACTTTAGCTATTTAATTAAGCGCAAAAATTGTGCGTGCTGATAAATATCAACACAATACGTTAAAGGTATGCAGACTAATTTATAAACTCCAATAACTTACATTTATTAAAGAGTTTCGAAATTTATCATTTGCAATGGGAATTTGAATTATGCGTTTCACTCGAATTGCCCTGTTAATTCGACCGGTAGCCGTGTAGATTCGGTTTTATTAAATTAGATGGAAGCAGGTGAGATTTTTCTAATTAATGTTAGGCGTAAAAAAACTGTGCATATTATTCTAAAAGCGAACAGTTGGTGTGCTCCTTCCAATTTCGATGTTACGAAACGAGTTTGTTTATTTCACATGTTGTGTGTAGCTGCTTCAAAATCGACAAATGTTTTTGAAATATTTGCTGTACAGCAATCGAAAAAATGCACCTGAATGAATCATTATTAAATAATTGTAAATAACTCGGCAAAAAAATTATAACAAAAATAAAATGTAAACAGTAAATACGATTATTGATAGATGTCAATAACTCGATAAACAAGTCGTTGGATTGTATTCGAAATTCATATCGCAACTTTCCTTTAACAATACGCAGCAGAAGAAAATAATAATTAATTCTGCAGCATCAAGAAAGCCGGTTTTGCAATAAAAAAAACGCTTTGTATATTCGATTCGAATTGTCAACAAACATCTGATTATTAACAAGGTCTGTGACAGTTCAAAACTATCGCACAGCTGACTTAAACCCTGCTTATTTATCGCCGGTATTGTTTTAATTTAGTAACGGGCACACCGAAAATCCCGAGCAAATAAATTAAATTTTTAATACAAAGTTTCATAAGGCAGGTAAGAAAAGAGTGGGTGGAAAATTCTCGCCGTAAATCGGCACTTACCTTCAGAAAATCGCCGCCATTTTTTCTTTGCGCCAAATGAAAACACTACCGAAATTAACCAAGCAAATTACTCGTCGAAATAATAATTAATTTCAGGAAAAACTAACATTTGTACGTTCTAATGACACAATAATTAACCAACACACGCCATGTTGGTTGTGAGCAGTGTTGCCAGTTTTTATTCTCATTGACATTGACACTCTTGACAGAAGTGACCTGACACTTGACATTAGCGCTTTCAGCTTTTAATTTAAAATAAATAAAACAAAGTTTTAATTTATATTCTTTATGATATGGTGTAGTAATTTGAAATTAATCAAATAATATTTTATTTTTATAATACCTATCTTAATATAGTACAATATTTTTAATATGGATTAAGAGCGTATTAGAAATAACAACACGATGAAACTGTAAATATTTTTATTTTAAAAATCATCAAAATTGCCTATTACGATAAATAAATAGCTTAAATACGTATCTAATAGAGAATAATTTATACACAATATATTAAACGAGACAAAAATATAACAATTCAACTAGTAACTTACGTGGGAAATAATTTAGCAATAAATAGAGGGAACGAGGTAAATTATGCTAGAATCAATTCGTATCAAGTCTCTTCTGGATAGTAAAACGTTTTTAAATCCTCTATAGCTTTACACCATTCCAAGGCGTATCCTTCGGGATCTTCTAAATAGTACTTCCTGTTAGGCTAAAATGAAATTAAATCGAAATTATTAGATACACGAAAGTTCATTAAAGCTTACCGTGTAGACGAAAAATATCTTAAAATTCTTCGCCTCGGCCTTCAATTCGCTACTCCAAGGTATCTCCCCCTTTAGTGTCATAGTAACGGGATCCACGTAGTATAAATGAGGCCCGAGAGTCAACAGAAACATCCGCCTTCGCGAAAATATACCCTTTCTCTTATCAATAAAACCCTGTTTCAATATCAAATTGTCTTCGACGAAGCTGTGGTAAATGTTGCTCTTCTGGGCCTCCAGTCTTTGCTTGATCTCCGCTTCCGTGAGATCGGTGATTTTCCTATTGGGCGGCGATTTTTTCCTGGTGCTCACCGGACTCGGACTCAACAGGTTCAGGTGTAACCTAGAGGCCTTCTCCTCGTCCAGGCCCGGCTCCAAGTGGTCCGGAATCTCCTGGCCGGCGGTCTCAGGGCAGTCTTCGGACAGTCTAGGCGGGGGGCCCAAGTCGTCCCAGTTGAGCATGGCGAAGAACTCGTGCTCTCTTAGGCTAGAGTACCGCCTCTCGTCCGATGCGCCGAGTCTTTTACTAGGCTCTAACACTACTAATTTTTCTACTAAACTCTTGATTTCTCTGGGGAAGTCGTCGGGAAACGCGTACTCCAATTTGAGGATCTTCTGGAATATCAGATACTCGCTTCCGCCTGAAGATAAAAAAAAATGTATTTTAATCGATACGAAACATTTCGATCGTAATTCTAAATATTTCTTTCGACTGCTGGTTTATCTAGAGAATGCGTCGGGTATGTAAATAAAAATTAACTGCATACTTCAATTGGATGTGGCATTCCTTGTAATATGTTTACTCGTTTTTCAACAGGTGCTATTTTTTTTCGGGAAAAACATTTTCGAATCCGCCACTGTGAATACAAAAACATATTTGTCGACGGCGGTTATTCAGTGAAAATAATCCCGTTAAATCAAAACAAACTTTAAATTGTCCACCGCACTCGTTTAGACAATAAAGATCCGTTTAATCATCGATCGCAAAATATTTTTTACGCAGTCACATTTATTTACTCGTTGTTTTCATGTTTTTCAACAACAAGCTAATTAAACGCGTTGAAAAATAATAGCTGGCATACCGATAAAGGGCATCCGACCGCAGGCCATTTGAAAGGCTATGCAGCCAAGGGCCCACAGGTCCGAAGCGTGGCTCGATTGGGTCTCGGTGAGCATTTCGGGGCTGACGAATTGGGCGGTACCGACGAAGCTGTTCCTCCGCTTGCAACGCTCCCCTTTCTCGGGCTCCCCGATGCTGCTCTCTTCCACCGAGCGCCCGTTTTCTGTACTAATAATCTTGGCGCTGCCGAAGTCAGTTATCAACAAATGCCAGTTCTCGTCGAACAGAAGATTCTCCGGTTTCAAATCCCTGTGGATGATGTTCTTACTGTGTAAATACTCTAAACCTGGAATAGAATGTACAAGTGTCGTTTGTTCGATTTAAGCGGGGTAGGAGTTACCTAAAATCAGTTCTGCTAGGTAATATCGGGTGCAATCGATGCTCATTCGATTGTGCTTCTCGATTTGCCCCAAAACATCGCCGTTTTTGGCGTAGCTCAGGACAAAGTACAAACGATCAGTGTCTTGAAACGTCCAGTACAATCGGACAAAATAAGGACACGAATTCCCTAGGATCCTTAGGACTTCTTTTTCTCTCATCACAGATTCGGTTTTTTTCTCTCTTATAACGTGAGCCTTCTCCACCACTTTAACTGAAACATAACAACAAAATCAATCAAATTTATGTGGATAAATAGCATTACGATAGGTGTACTTACTGGCATGTTCTTTATTCGTATGCACGTCTTTGGCTAGGTAAACGGTGCTGTAGCTCCCTTCGCCGAGGACTTTGCCGAAAATGTAGTCAGAAGGGGACCTTCTGCGGGTCTCTTCCGCCGGAGGCATCTCAAACTCGACTGAAGCGAAACCACCAGGTAAAACCGAGAACAATCAGCGATTCCCGGCGTGTTTGTGCGCTCGCGGTCGTCGGTTTCCTACTCGAAAAATATTTGTAAATAACTGCCTTCGGATTATCCCACAAATACGTCACTACTGCACGTCATTGTAGAGAGCGAATACTTTTTTGGAAATATTTCTTCGCGCACACTTCGAACAATTAAAAATCCGATCGAAAGGTATTTTCGATCAATTTTCCCTTTAATCCCGATCGGTTCTCGGCGAACGTTCAGTGCAAAATTTACAAGCCGAAGAAAGTTGCTTTTTATCGTCAATAAACCCGAATGACGTAAATGAAATGTGACGTTTGTGACGTTTGTGACGCACGGTTGCTATCAGCTATCAGTGTTGCCATCCCACGTTCTCGTAAAAACTTATAATTGCCGTTCTAATAACGTAAAACGACCGATAACCATTTAATTGTTTCAGTTCTAATCGCAGGTTTAATTGTCCTGCGAACGTGTTTCACGGAGCTAGTTGTATACAGTTACGTGTAAATTTGTACGCAACAGGTGCAACAAAGACAAGTTACATCACTTTAGTATAAAGAAGAAAGAAAGTGATATTGTCTGATTGCAGCTTTCTCGCACAATCACTGTTATTTTAATAATCTTTCTTTGTTCAACTCATAGAATTGACTATAATGCAAACAAATTTGCACTTACCCTTATATTGGTATTTAAACAATCACTTTTTGAAATAAACATAACAGCGCCTACTGCGATAATAATTACCTATAATGACCTATAAAAGCTGAAAATGACATAAAAGCTGTTGGCTTACACGCTAATTTGATAAAAGACCAATTCATAGAAAACTTGATTTAACACATAAAACAATATTTTTAATTACAAATGAGTAATTTACATCGCAAAAAATTCCGCATCGTAGCCTAATTAAACCCAATTAGGTGCGTAATTACGCCCCGCTGGACGAATAAACCCTTCCGTTGAAATTTATCGCCGTGCCCTATTTAAAGCGGTCAACGACGCAGCAGGCGGGTGCATGCAAATGTTTCCTTTACGCCGCGCTCGCTTCGCTTTTTCCGTTTTCCAGTGTAATCCGGCAGAGGGTCCCGGAGGTGGGTCGCGGGGGCCTCACGCAATCCGATATACAACAACGCAATCAAGCGTCCCGACGCGGATGCGGAACTATTTAGAGCGAGAGTCCTCATTGTTCCTGATGCCTGCTAAGTGCCCTCGCACCGGGTCGATAGCATAGGCTGCAGGAGAGTTTCCACTTCATAAAACACTGATGCTTACTTTATTTCGTTCTATATGCCTGCTAATCTTTAAGGAATTATTATAAATAGCGATATTTTATATAGAGCAGTTGTAAAACAAAGTTGTATAGAATACTGAAACCATTTAGTACTTATGTTGTAGATATAAAGTGTCTAAAAAGTATGGAAATGGGATAAATTTCAGCCAAATTTTAGCCTCGAATGTAAACTGGTATCCATCCATTCCTACTGCTCCATCCTTTAAACTTCGAATCCCTTAAGCTCTACGGAACTCCCCTTTTTTTGGACACCCTGTATATGCATTTTTGTCAGTATAATGGTAAATGATTTCTCTGTTGGTAGGTACACTCGAGTCGCGCCCCTTAATATTCGTGGTGCCTTCGGTAAATTAATTAGGGGGAATTAATTTAATTTTTTTGTCAGTGTACATTTCGGGCCGCCCCACCGAGCGGACGGCGACGCCGACGCCGACGCCGTCGCCGGCACCGCAAGTATGCGCGCTCCAAAAACATAACCATCCCGACTTCCAGTTCAAACGAACCATGTAGCGCCCCGGGCATTGTCGCGATGCCGAAACAGGTAGGGGATTATTTTGTGTCTTGTACTAAATATATTTTTTTTTGTCCTCTCGGCGACGTTCTCGCGGAAAGCATGCCCGTTTTTCGCACGATTTCCCTCTTATAACTCGCCCCGTTCTTCGGGGAAATAATTGTTTTTGGAATCGGTGGAGGTTTTCGTACTGTTGCTGAGTTTCATTCGAGTTTCGGTGGAAGTTATGAATGAAATTCTGTAGTTTTTTTTGTTTACGTTCGTGTTTTGCTGTGTTATTCGTATAGTGAGTTATGTATTAATGAATGTTTTAAACACTTAACATATTGAAATTAAGGTTCTTTTAATAAATGTAATTACTCGAATAAAAAACATGTTATATATAACTCACTAATTGACACATTTTCTCTAAATTTATAGTACATAGGCTTAGCTATTGGTATGCAAGTTCATTTATCATAGAGCTGGATTTATTTCGAAAAAAATCGGAAACTCCGCAACTCGTTTAACGATTCCAATTAACACAAAAAACGCAATTTTCGAAAATCTCTACATTTGCAGTACACAGGCTTGTACTTGCTGGTTTGCAAAGTAGATTTTATTTGGGAAAAAACTCGACGACTTGCACGTTTTCAATTAACGCGAAAAGTTTCCGGGGATCGATAATAATTCGTCCATAAGGGAGTTTTGATGTTTAGTCGGAATGTTTACCTGATAAGAGACGAACCGAGCGGGGGCGCTTTCCTCCCGGGGAAACCGAAAGTTTCCCAATTTCCACCGATCGTATCGATAACCAGCAACGAATCGAAAAAAGAAAACATCTTCAACTCCGCCAATATTTATTTTTGTATAAATCGAGCGCTTTAGGGCGCGATATTTTTCATTAAATCCCTCATCATACTCGCCCACTTGGCCCGTCGAAGCTCTATTGCCGGTGCTCCGATGGCATTCGACGTTCCATGTTCGAGCGCGTAATATCCTACGGGGGCGCCGAACAAAGCCCGATGCATAATTCGCATTTTCCCTTTTGTCGTTTGATCCATCGCCATGCAGATGGCTGCGTTATTATCATCCCCGTCGTTGTTTTCGCATCGCCTTCATGCCGAAAGTACACTCGACAACCTGGTGGAATAATCGTAAAATAACCGATTGCGAATTAACGCGAAATCCGATTTGTTTCCCGGGTTTTCCAGAACCAGGTGGGCGTCCTAACGACGCTCTCCAAAGTCGCGCTTTCGAAACGAACTCGGCGAACGCGACGCGGCTTTGCGTTCCATAAATTTATGTAAATTACAATTACGAAAGTATTACGGGGAGAATAAAAACAGCTTGAAGCGGGCCGCTGTATACATTAGTGTGGAAAAGTGCGGTGGAGCGGAACGAGCGGTGAATTATTTACACGCGAATCGCAATTAGCCGCGTTATTAGATCGGTTTTCGGGATTCATTTCCACCCCGATGAGAGATCCTTTATGGGCCCTTTATAAACGATTCCGCTAATGAAAATATCGGTTCGCATGTATAAAGGAAACGATTGTTGTTTCATCGTTAAATAAACGCACCTAAAATGCATGCTGGTTGTCGGTAAGTAGGTCACTTTTTATACAGAGAGAATTCTAATTGTAATAGCAGGAATGTTGATGATCACTCTTTTGATCACTTGGTCTCTGATATTTCTTGATATCTAAATTTAAATCTAGATCTCTTGATGATAGGTTGATATTTTAATCTCTTGAACCCTTTCTCTCTTGATATCCCTTTACCTCTTGAACTCTTGGTATCTCTTGGGCTCTTGATATCTCTTGACCTCTTATTGTCATCTCTTCATCTCTGGGTCTCATGATATATTTTAATCCACTGGTATCTCTTGGGCCCTTTTGATATCTCTTGATCTCCCGATCTCTGGATCTCTTGGTCTTGTATTTGATATATTTTAGCTAACAAGTTGTGATATTTTTGTGTTGGCAGTTTCCTAAGGGCTGTTCGTAATGAGCAACATTGGCGCGGCTGATCCGAGCGATGGATTTAAGCGCTTGTACGAACTGGTTGTGCGCGAAACGGCAGCCGAACGGGATGCCGGCAGGAGCGCCGCAGGACTACCAGTCGGTGGTGACGTCGGGGCCGGGGCCGAGCCCGGGCAGTTCGAGTTCCTGCGACGACGTCGTACCGCCGCAGAAGAACTGTTTCAGGTTAGTTATGTTAGGTAAGTATTTGGTTTGTACTCCATGAATGTTTTCGCGTCGATTTCGAAGCGTCAGAAACATGTGTTTGTATTGTAATTAAAACTTTGTGTGTACGGGTGAATGGAATTGTTGTATATATACGAAGTTAATTTGTAGTTGGTAATGGAGTGTTTGATGTGAGGTGATTTTTGGTTTTTCGCAGGTTCGGCTAGAGTGGGAAAAACTTGTCTGGTGGCTAGATTTCTGGGCGGGAAGTTCCAGGAAAGCTACACGCCGACTATCGAAGATTTTCACAGGAAATTGTATAGAATTAGGGGCGAAATTTACCAGCTGGATATATTAGACACGTCGGGCAATCATCCGTTTCCTGCCATGAGAAGATTATCATTTTTAACAGGTAATATGCTATAATTTTTTTTATGAAATATTCGTATTTTTTTGATTGAATTATCAGTGGTCGTTCGGTTTTCACGAACCTTTATTTTTTTTTCATAAACATATCGATTTTCCGTACGCCGGAAATGTATAATTATGTGAGTGATGAATAATTCAATTCCATCATGAAAGGCTTATTATCTTGTATATCATTTAAAATTATGGTGTATGCGTATACGCCATTTTTTAGAATAGGTACTCGAAAATTTCTTCATTAAATATGAATCTACGACAGATTATTAATATTTTATCTATTCATTAATTATACATAAACCCCATTAGCTCGAAAATATAAATTATACAGGAAAAAGTTTAGATGTTAATTAAAAATTTTCTTGTAACAAAAAGTATACACAGCGGGTAAATGCCGTAATATTAAATAACATATTTTTGATAAAAAGTTTGTTTTAAAACAACTTCAATCACCTAAATTAATTTGCCCGAATAACTTCTAATTAAAATAAAATTACTCGATAAAAATTTCCCGCTGAAAAAAAATTAACGAATCTCCCGTCATTATGGCGCATTAATTAATACGCGGAATAGGAAACTGAAAAAGCGATGGAAATTCACGTTTTCAGGATTATTTAACGGTTTCCCATTAACTCGAAAAAAAACCAGTTTTATTTACCAATGCAGAATACAAAAAAAAAACGAATATTTGATGAATATTCCGCTTCTATTTATACCCAGATATTCGAAGAAGCGTATCGCGTCTTACGTTCCCGGTAAATTCGAACAAACATTTACCTTTCCTCATCGAAAAGTTGCACTAAAAACACACACATCTCGCACAACACAACCGGCGGGATTCCCATCGGCACGGAACAACAACAACAGACGTAACGCAATATCCCGATTAGATCCCGAACGGGAGATTATGCATTCTAAGTGGATGAGAGGAATATTTCTAATTACAGCTTCCCTTCAACTCCGCTATTCTTCCGCAAAATCGGGTCACGAGCGACGGGGAATTAGGAAAATAGAATTTAAGCTTCGACGTTGCGACTTTACGGATTCAATTAAATCAAATTACGTTCTCGCTAAATCAATTCCTCTTTGGAATATTGCGAGCGACGCGAAATATTTCTTTGGTTCCGTGTCAATTACGATATTCTACCTGTTTTGTGTCAATTATGTCAAATTGATTTGGCGTTTACTTATATCACGGTCTTACATGCTGGTCTGGAAAGTCGGCTAATTTTTGTAACTTTGCGTCGAGGGTTCATTAGGAACGGGAGCATTGGAACGCTAGTATTAGGTAAATTTTGAGTTTCTTGTAGTCGGAATGAAGACAAAGTGGCCTTATGGCGCCCTCTGTCGAGTGTCATATCATCTGAAACGCCCCCTCCATTGGAGTTTCCTGACCTGTTATACACGACCGTGGTTTAAGTTAAGTCAAATTGACATTTACGTATGAAATTACATAAAATGGCGGATACGCCTGAAAATTAAAATTCGGCATTTAGAAATAGTATGAATATAGAATTGGCATGAACTGTAATGCACCACTTAAAACTTATTGTTTACAATAATTCAATAATTCAAATTTGGATTAATTCTGTTTGTATTAACATTAATGCCTACTGAGAAGTTGTTAGCCTACTTTGATGAAATTGGAACAAGGAGTTAATTAGTTTTCGAATAATAAAATCCCTTTATTGAATTACCCTTTACATTGCCATTTTGCCCGAAAATAAACATACATCCAGCGGAATTGGTGATTAATAAAAGTTTATTTCCTTACATAAAAACCCCTTTTATTGGGCCGTTCATCAAATTAACGGCCGGAACGAAATTTAACGCGCAAAAATGCGTTCGTTTCGCGTTCGATTTTGATTTAATAAAAAAAATATCCGATGAAACCGCTCGAGCTCAAACGCCCCGGAGTTTACGGGCGGAAGTTTCAAAGGTCTCGCGTGTGCCCATCGGGCTCTCCGTCGCCTACTCGTTTTCGATTTCGTCATCCTGTTAAGGTTCATCTTTTCGAGCTCGCTCGCGCGAGAATATCGAACGCCGATTAGCGCGTATCGAATCGAGCTAATAAAACTCGAATATAAGAAAGTTTCGTTTTTATATTTTCACTGTAAGTATACACGTCGAGTAGGCGGAATGCGGGGAGGAATTCCCGTGTATACGTCAAAGATGAGAAAGTTTCCAGCGGATGCATTTTCAGTGCAAATAAAATGAATTTCGCCTGGATGTTTCCATTCAGGCACTCCGAGAAGAATATATACTTTCAAATATATTGCGTTCCTCCTTTTCATATACGTGTTTCGTGAATACCGAGTAAATTAAATTTAACGCGTTGTAAAATTTAAATAAATTAGCGTATATTGAATAAAAATAACGTTTTTATGTGTTCGAAAAAAAACCTCTAGGCTCCAAAATGGATTCTGAAGGGTACAAATTTATGTTTACCATTCGCTCCAGTTTCCAAGTTAAATTGACTCAATACAAGAAAGCGATTCTTTATAGCAAGAGAACGTGCATGTAGTATTTCCAACTTCCATTATAGTAAATTCAATTGAAGCATACAAATGGAAGTAGAACCGAATATTACAGTTTAAATTAGCAATAAAAACATAAAACACTGCAAGGTAGAAGTGCAGTATGTTTGTTCCCGGTAAATCAATTTACCTTTGGAATACAAGCGACACGAAATATTTCTTTGGTTCCATGTCAATAATACGTCAATCATACGTCAATCATACGTCAATCGTTCTACCTGTTCAAATCACGTCAATTTGACATTTACGTTTATAAATTTAAATAAATTGGTGGATGCGCTTGAAAATAAAACTCCCATTATTTAGAAAAAGATGTAGAAGTTTCGACGAAATTAGTAGATATGAGTATACATAGGTAATATACTAGTTAAATTTTACAACAATAATTCGACAATTTTGCAATAAATCTGTTTGCAATAACACCGGCCTATTTTGATGAAATTGGAAATATGTTTGGTTTTTTTTTTCAGGGGATCTGTTCGTGATTGTATTCAGCATGGACAGCCGGGAAACTTTCGAAGAAGCAATAAGACTACGGGAACAAATCATAGAGACTAAGATAAACGCGGGCGCGTCTTCCACGGGCGTGGGCCTAACCAGAAAGAAAACCCTTCCCCGCGTCCCCATGGTACTGGCCGGCAACAAATGTGACAAGGAAATGAGGTTAGTTACTAAATACCAACTTAAATAAATTCCCGTCAAACCAGACACTTACTACCAACTTAAATTTTTGTCAAAAAACCACTGTTCTCCTAGCGCTTCGGCGGAAAATTTCTGCACCACCGGATTCAAAGCCGCTTCCACCGTAATTACTTATTCGTCTTCTCCGCCGCATTGTTCGAATCTTTTGGAAAATTCCGCCGTTCGGTCACGTCCTCCTTCGAGCGTTTTCCGCTCGCATTTTCAGCGAAAAATCAAAGCGATAGTTCGACGTACCGGTTTTCCCTACATTCCGCCGTACGTGCCCCAATTTTTTCCGCCCGTTTAATATTCCGGGCCGTCTTCATCTGTCCTCTTTTACGACCGCAGTAGACTCGCGCTGGGGCGGAAAATTACTATACACAGAGTTTGTCCCTGCGAATTTATAGTCCCCAAACCGAGAGAAATGTCGAGGGTTTTTTTTTTGTAAAAAAAAAAGTGCACCAACTGTCAAATGTCAACGAGTTGATTTGTTGTCCGAGATGTGAAAGGCCGAGGCTGTGGTGTGTAGATTTGATATGTTTGACGTTTAATTGAGTTTAGAATAGTTCTGTTGGTTTTAATTCCTTATCTAGTCATTATAATGAATAAAAGGGAGAAAAAATAAGTGTAATTATTTACCCAATATGTAGTAGAATTGTAATAAAACGAAACAAACATAATAATCCGAAGATTTCGAGTCTGTTGACAGCTGACAGTTAGTTTTATATACTATGATGGCCTTTTTCCTTGATTCTCGTCCTGTTCGGTACCACAGCCAATGTTGCGTCACACTGTAACAGCAAATTTGAGCAAGATAGTAGTGAAAAGAAGAGTATAATAAGGGTTGTTTTATAGAACAGTGACGGTGGAGGAGGCGCAGACGTTCTGCGACAGCCAGGACTCGTGCTGCGCGTTCGTGGAGACGTCGGCGAAGCGCAACTTCAAGGTGGACGAGGTGTTCTACCAGCTGTTCCTGGTGGCGAACCTGCCGCTGGAGATGGCGCCGAACCACCACAAGCGCGTGAGCGCCAGCTTCGGCGCGCCGTGCCCGCTGCCGCCGTCGGCGCCGGGCCACCACGGCAAGAAGTACCACCTGTCGGTGAAGCGGCGGCTGAGCGACGCGTGCGGCGTCGTGACGCCGAACGTGCGACGGCCGAGCATCAGGACCGATCTGATGATCATGAGGACGAAGACGTGCAGCTTGGGGGAGGCGCCCGGATCGTCGAGCAACTCGCCCATCCGGTGGAGGAGGGTGGATAACGGGTGCATCTTGCAGTAGCGGTTTCGATGGGAAATATTTTCGACAAAGTTCGCTTCCGCGATCGAAGCGATCGAAGCCTATTCAAATGAATCAAAATTTTATATTGTAGGAAAACAACTTTGTTGATTCTAATTTTCTACGAAACTGTTTTATTTTTCTGTTGTTGTCTATGTACTACTCAAAAATAATTTTAGTGAGATTATATTAAGTGTTATGTCGACTCTATACATATCTACTTCTATACACTATATTAATCTAAACTAACAAACTATTTGTTAAATAAAATAAAAATAACGAATGATGTGTTAGTTAAGTTTATTGACGTGATGTTATTGTTAATATTTACTCCTCTTTCTTACCTCGTTTGTGTGTATATGTCCGCTTTTAATGTATCTATAATATATTTTTCCGATAAATAACACTTCAATTCTAACATCATACCCATTTTTTAATCACTCACAAAAAAATAAACCAATATTTTAACTTAAAATATAATGTTAGAAGATTCTTACTTCTCTACTAATATTTTCAATAATTATACATAATAATTACCTTCCAATAAGAGACAGGAATATCTGCATACTTACCTACAGACCTCAGAGTATAACGTACGACGCATCATCGTCACGTTTCCAGCTATTCCTATCACACCGTATAACCTACATATTTTTCCACATAAATTCATTACTACATAAATGTAACACAAATTTGTGTCTTTTCTAACTGTAAGTGTGGATTCTTCTGTATGTGTAACAATAAATGTTTCGATGAAATTAACCGCGTGTGTTTCGAAAATAATCTTTTACGCGCGGTTAATTTCGCAAAACGAACCACAATATTCCACGTTATTCTAAAAAAAATGTACCTAATTAACGATTCTAATTACGAATTAATTGAACTACAATATACCAATGTCACGGACCAAATTTGTAGCAGCGTCGGCGGCTCGACGCCCGAATAAATTAAGTTCTTTTTTGTATTATACACGTTGCGAAATTTGTTGAATATTTTTATTATGGTAAATTAGTTAAGGCGATTGAATACGATGTAAACGAGCGAATTTTTTTGCAATAAGATTTACAATTAGTCACGTCGCGGCGCGTTTTAAAACGTTCAAAATCGGATATATAGGTACTATAATAATTAAGGTGAAATGTTGAAATAAAATATATTCGTAAAATGGGTTACGTAGTTTCATTTCGACTGTAAATTCGCTAATTCGATCGTTTTTCTCCGAGCAATTAGCGATTCTTTAATACAAATATTTACTTTAATGGAAGTTCGTCCGAAGTCGAGAAACATCCTCGAGGATCATTTCCAAACTTTTATTTCCCTTTCCTACCCGAGCAACGATTCTAATTAGCCCGTTTAATTTTAATAGTACGATTTAATATTTGTCTACCTATTACGTTCAAACTAATAACAAAATTATTAATTAAAACATCATTTATTATTGTAGAAGTAATTCACATATAAACTAATATCTGGCAAATAAATAAAACACATTTATCTCTAAATGCGTAACATTACACAATTGTAAATTTTACATTTACATTTACATGTAATAATAAACGCTAATTTTCCCAACCTCAACTATACTCTAATGCACCATAATGCATTAAAGCAGTATTTATATTTCGTTAGGTAATTAAATAATCTAAAAGCCAAATTTAATTTATCCAGAAAATTCTATACACAACTGCAGTATATTTCCACAAAACAAACACTAATGTTTATATTAAAACTAAAGCAAACAAATAACACACGTTATCAAATTTATTACTTCATATAATATAGAAAACTAAAGTGAAATACCGAATTTTGGGATCCGGTAGAGTCCCCCTTATACAATAGTATAAAATAACGAAATTTACGCCGGCAAATAGTCCAGCTCGAGCTCTCACCGAGGCGACATTTAAAAGAAGAGGGCTGAAACTTATATTAGAAAATGAAGTGCGCCTTAATATTTTTGGCGCTGTTCGTAACAGCTTGCGTTTATGGTTCCCAGGACCTTTACGAGCCGGAAGGCCCGGAGGGTAAGTACACATTTGCATTCTAACAACCTTTATATTACGAGGGTTGTAAAAGTTACATCAAGAACAAAAAAACAGACTTCGTTAAATTTCGAATGATTGGTAATAAAGAGGTTTATAAAGATCGTTAAGAGCTTTCTGCTCTTTTCTGATGCTCTCTTCTGCTCTCTTCTTTTGCTCTCTTCTGCTCTGTTCTGCTCTGTTCTGCTCTGTTCTGCTTTGTTCTGCTCTCTTCTGCTCTCTTCTGCTCTCTTCTGCTCTCTTCTGCTCTCTTCTGCTCTCTTCTGCTCTCTTCTGCTCTCTTCTGCTCTCTTCTGCTCTCTTCTGCTCTCTTCTGCTCTCTTCTGCTCTCTTCTGCTCTCTTCTACTCTCTTCTGCTCTTTTCTGCTCTCTTCTGCTCTCTTCTGCTCTCTTCTGCTCTCTCCTACTCTCATCTCTCCACTCGTTAGGTACTCGTACAATCAAAAAGGTTACTTACAGCGCGATTGGAATAGCTGTAGACGTAACTTGCGCGACTTTTTAGTGCGTTTATAATTAATTTAGACGATTGTTAATTGCTTTTTTTTGCAGAAGTAGCAGTTCCTTTGCATGAAATTGCCGGAGCCAACGATGAAATTAGTTTCAAATACAGAGTGAGGAGATCGAACAGGTGCAATTGGGATTCGGATTGCAGGCAAGTGTGCAAATTCCAAAACGACAGGTCCAGACGTTGGGCTTGCATTAACGGATGGTGCGACTGTTATTAATCATTTTTTTTCTTATACACCAACAGCGAATTTTAAATTTTAAATATACCATGTGGAAAATTGCCCGGCTTTCATTTTAACGCGAAAAAAAAAAGGAACTTAATTACATCATCGTCGGGGAGTTTCTGGCTAAATTAAAATTTATATTGCCGCGTTTGGAAGTTCGGGAGTAAATTTAAAATCGCGCTCGAACTTTTTCGCTCGTGCAAAGCAGGTTGATCAATCGTCCCGGGGACTGGGCGCCCGTTGAAACTCGATAGTTCGGGCGTTTTTTCCGCCCGAGGGTTTATTCTTCTCCGCGCCGGTTTCGACTTAATTTCCGCGAGCAAATTAAACGGGGGCGACGCACAGAAGGACTAATTTCTCGCCTTATTATCCCGCGAGGTCGGGATGCCTGCGTGTGTATAGGTGGAGAGGACGATGGAAAACTCATCTCGATGCCGGATCCAATTTCGATATGCGTTTTTATTTCGCGCCGCCGGAAATCCCGGATAACTTTTACCGGGTTTTTTTCTTGGTTTTTAATTCACTGTGGTAACGCAGGATCGGAGTCGATGGCGATTTGGAACCGGGTTAAAGTAGAGAGAATATGTGGATTGTAGCTACTGGATTAATAAGTATTGTTGCTGAGTAATGTATCGAGAATTGTATGGAATAAAGGTGGAATAATTGGGAGGTTGAGGATATTTTTTTCGAATCAGGCACTGTAATAATCGCGGAAAATTTCCGTTTCTTTAATAGGTTTTTTTACTCGCTCAACAAATCTCCTGTAGAAATGGAATAAGTATAAATTTAGATATCCAGATTCGGCATAAAATAACTCAACTTCTTGATTATATTTTACCAAGGGTCCTCTAATAGATACAAAGCATTCTTCAAGCCTAAAAGTTAATAATTCCATCAAATAAATATCTTCACAAAGCGAGCTTTTGTTGAGCAATCAAATCGAACACCAGACAATCAATCAAACCGAACCGAAATAAAAAAAAAACTAGTAAACAACTCGAGCCAACTGTTGATCGGCCGAGCAACAGATCGACGTCGAGGCGTCGCGGCGCTCCACACCGCCGGCATCGCGCCCACCAGGACATCCCAGACGACGTCCAACATCCTCGCGATGGATAAACAAAACACCCAAAAAAAAACACCCGAAAGGAGGAAAAAAAAAAGCGCGTTACACGGGGGCATATTGGGGATCTCAAGACGCCAATCAATGATCCGCGATCCGGGGCGCAGCCGCGTCGCACCTGTTTCCATTTCCCGACGCTCTCCGAAACGCAGTGGAAACTGGCAATGGGCAATTCGTCGCGCGTCCGCGGTCGCGATGTGATCGGTCGCCCGTCTCCGGATCAACCTGAACACGCTCCACCGTCTCCACTGGCTTGTTTACGTCCCTCTTCGGCCACTACGGCATGCTCTGACTGGAAAGGTAAGCTGCTCGCTACGTTCGGGACGTTCGATATATCCAGGTCTCCAATTTTATCGCTCCCTATCCCTTTATAATAAATTAATTTTATATACCCTAATTTATTGATACACTCTAACCGACTCGTTATTCAAGTAGTAAATAATAATTACGCATACCTTTTTATTTGTATGAAATATACGAATTTTTTTCCAATTTTCTTTCGGGGTCAAACCGGGCCTATTTTTTCGAATCAGTGCCCTCCTTTCGCAACGTCGATTCGATGTTCCCTTGCTTCGCTAATTAAATATCGTTGGGAATCTTTAAAAAAAAATACAATCATCCCAATTTTTCTCCCTACCTTTACCTAATAAATCCCGCTCCGAAATTCGCGTATAAACGAAAACTCCAGTTATTACGGGCACTAATTAATTGCGAGGTAATCAAAATTATTTTACGTTCATCGGTCTGGAGATTCGCCGCGAATACAATCTGGAAAACTACTCAATTTCGCGTCGGGAAAGCGATCCAGACCGAAATTCGGCGGTTCCAAGTGCGTATAAACACGCTGTCAGGTTAATTAATGGTCGTGGGGCACGCGAAAAGTCATTTTTGGAAATATCCCTCTTGTAATTCTCGTTTTTAAACGGCGCATTTGCGAACACGCGAATCGCTCTGTAAAACTGTTTCCAAACGCGCTACTATTTAAGCAGTATTTTTAACAAAATTCCCAACTTTTTTTATATATTTAATAATCCCCAGTAGGGGTGGCCAAAATGCGATAACATAACTCAATTTAACCTACATCAAATAGCACGACCCGGAGGAATTACTCGCGTTAAAAACCAAACAGTTTCCCCTTTGTATGGGGGCTAATGAAGGAAACTTTTCTACGCCGTAATTAACGCAAATATTTCCCTCAGCCGTATCGATCATACCCGCCTTCTACGGTGTTTTCCGAAGAAATCCATTAAGTCATAAAAGCCTCAACTTGCAACTTCTGCTCGGGCTCTAATAGTGTTGTCTTGCGTTTAATGTAGAAGAAATTCCATCGCGCGCAAAGTAAATTCCATTCGCTACAATTAACCGGTAAAAGTGTATTTTCTTTCCTTCGTTATCCCAATAAATTTTAATAAACGAGCAATCAATTACCGCTCAAACGGAAACGAGATAGTCGCCGTAGTTGGTGCGTTTTTTTTTCTATTTATTCGATATAATTTAATGAATCGCTGATGATCCCTCGATTTTCTCCAATTAGAGCCGGAAGCGGGTCATCGATTACCGGCCCTGCGAAAAAGTTTCCCACTTATCGAACTGGATTTTTAATATTCAGCGGATCGGGGAACTTCGCGGAACTTCTCCTGCGACGATAAAATATGTATATCTACGCGGACAGACGAGAAATTTCGAGAGATTTTTGGTGGTTCTTTTTTGGTATGAGGTAACTGTTGTCACCGGAGTTTTTAATTAATTTTGTTTTAATTAACGAGCATCTCGGAAAAATAATGCCGAGCTCGACGATAATCCCGGGGAAGGTTAAAGGGTTAACTGGGGAACTGGGGAACTGGGGAACTGGGGAATTGGGGAACTGGGGAACTGGGAACTTGGGGAACTGGAATCTTGGAGTTCTGGAACTGATCTAGAAACATGGAGAACTGGGATTTTGGGGATCTGGATACTTAGGCATCTAGATATTTGGCGCTCTTTGAACTTGGAAAACTGGGATTTTGAGGATCCGGAAATTTGGAGATGTGGGGATTTGGGATCTTAGGGATCTCGAATGATGAGGATCTAGAATAGGAACCTGAGATACAGAAACAGTTAAATAGGAAAAGCAGCGTAATTGAAAGGACACGAAACTGGTGCAAATGATTATGAATTTTATTTTTGCAATGAATTTAGAATCTTACACATTTCCCGAGATTCCCATCCTGTTCCGTCCTTATCCAGGCCACAGTGTACAAAAGTGGAAACGTTTTTCTTAATTACAAGTGACCCTATTTCGATACGAAAACAAAAAGGCTTCCTTGTGTGATATTTCTTGGCATTATATTTTTTACGTTTCGGGATTTCGTTTTTTCGGTCAGCGAAATTCGGCCATCCATCGCAGTAGATTTCCCCCGCAAACCGAAATCCCAGCTTTAATCCAATAGATCGCATCGATCCGAACTTTTCCACGTATTATTCCTCCAAAAGGTTTCTTTCTCATTCCGCTCGAGTATTCTCGGATTATGACTTTCTTCCATATCGCAATTTCCTTCATAATTTCTCCGTTTATTAAGTATTTTGTGTATAATACGCATTTCCCGGCGAGAAAAACCGGGTTTAATTTCGAGACTTTCGCCCGTCTAATTAAGAGATTACACCCCCGTTGAATTCCATCGGAAAGCGTTCCCATTAAACTTTCTTAATTGGGGATAGAAATAAAAACGAATCACAATTCGCTAATCCTCCCGGAAGTGGGTTAGATATCCCGTGTGTTTGCTCTGCAAATGAACTTTAGCTATTATAACAGCTACGCTTCCCTAAACTGGGCGAATCCGCCAAGTTGCGCGACATCGAAATCATATCTGTTTGCTTAACAGAAGCAGGCCAATATGCATATTTCCATCTAATGAAACTGCTACATTTCAGGTCTAAATTCGAATCGGCATCAGCACCATGAGTTTCCTGAACACCTTGCAGGAGTACGTGAGCAACAGCGTCGCTGGATTGACGCTGAAAAGTCCGAAACGGTATGTAATATTGTAACACATAATACTTAATAATGTATGTAAATTTACCGCGTTAGCTCCAGTCCCTTTTTTATCGATTTTATTTGTGCATTATCGCCCCGCGACGTCGAGCAATTTCGCCGGTTATCTGCCCGTTTTTATCGCTAAATGTCTTTATGTAATTAAAAAGGGTACCCCGGTAATGTGGATGCGCGTAATTGAAAAACGCAAATTGCTCCATAAACATCGTCGATGTGTTTATTTACTGAAAACAGCGCCGATCCCCGTCGGGGGCTTTATCACACTTTGTTCGGATTATTAATCTACTCGTTCGCTAAATATTGGATTTTTTAACGCGAAAAATCGAGTGCTCGGGCAGTTTTTATACTCCGTTCGCCCTTCGGGGGACAGTAATATGACCTAATTTTGTGTATAAAAGGCTGCACGAGTGGCTCAAAGAAAATATATGAATACTTTCGACTATCTATAAATTTATTATACTCCGTTCGCCATCAGGAGATTAAAGTATGAAACCTAATTTTTGTATTGAAAAGACAGCACGATTGGCTCAAAAAAAGAATAGAAAAAGTCCAATACTTTCAATTATCCATCAAGTGTGTAATAATTGTCGACCCTTTCCTAATGCCAGCACATTAGGGTTTTTAGGCTATTAAATAGATACTAAAAAAGTACTAAAATTTAAAATTATATACAATAAAATAAAATAATCGCTTTTATTGGCATATGAATCGGCGTATACTACCGCTAGTTGTGAATTATTTATCAAATTATTAATTCAAAAGCTCCAATTTTTATTTATTTCTTTGATTTAGAGTTTCTAGAAGGTTTTTATAAGAATCTCCCGATGTCGAACGGAGTATAACCGGTTTTATGTGCCCTTTTTTCATCGCGGCACGTCAAATATTTACGCGAGAAAGTGCGACGGGTTTCCAGTTATTTACTTTACATTTAAGGACCTCCTGAAATATGACACATATACGTTTCTCAAACAAGCTTTCCGTCGCCCTCCAGCGCTCCGGTTTAAAAGGATTTTTTCCCGTCGCCTCCTAATAGAGATGTATCTCCTTCGAACACATCCCTCAAACGAATCCCCGACCAGCCCCAAAGCCGCTTTTTCTCCACACAATATTTTTTCCTTCTCGATGGTTTCAGGTTCTCGCTGTCGCGCACCGACACGTCGGAGCCGGCGTCGGCGCCGTCGAGCTCGCGCAGCAATTCGGGCGACAGCAACACGCCCGGCTTCCCGAAGGTGGTGCCGACGCCGGGCGCGGCGGCGGCGGCGCCGCGTCGCCGCAGCACGCTCGAGTGCCCGATAGCGTCGGCGCCGCGGCGGCCCGGCTCCTTCAGGCAGAAGTCGCCCAGGGCGACGCCCGAGCGACAGGGCACTTTCTGCTACCGGCGGCAGAGCTGGCCCGAAATCGACCACCAGGTGTGCTCCGGGTGAGTTCCGATTTCTCCAATTTATTAGTTTTATTTAATGGGTTTGTTTCTAATTTATTTTACATCCTAATGTAGGTATAACATAAATTTGAAAAAATGTCTACAATCGAAGACTATGGGTATACTAACTTGTCCAAATACAACAAAAAAGAAAATAAAACTCCAGGTAACACCAGTTCAATGCAACAATCAGACATTTTAACGGTTCATTAAATATACTGCTCTACAAATGTTAAGGAAGTTTACAAATATTGGGATTAATTTAAAAGTTGCAGGTTTTTTGATCGCCAAATTTAGTATGAGTTGTAGAGGTAGAGATGAAAAATCCACTTAGATATGAGAGAAAACAATTAATTTCGCATATTTGAGAATTTGGTGCTCAAAAAGTGTGTAACTTTTAAAATAATCGCAAAATTTACGAACTTCCTTAACTTTTGTAGAGCAGTTTAGTTTAATAAATTTCTCTTAAATAGACTGAGACTGGTAGAAGACTTCACATTTTCAGACAGACTATTGTACTCAATAAATCCCTTAAAAATTAATTTTTTACCAATAATCTACCTAAGCACATGTAGCTTTTGGTAGTTGTAGAAACTTTTTCAAGCTACATTTAACGAGGTATATAAATTATTACCGTTTTTGTGTGTATCAAAGGGAACTCGTTATTAAAAACATTTCCCTTTTATGCAAACATACACGTATACACGATTTTTTTTATTAGTGAATTTTACTATGCGAATTAATAGGGGCATGCATGCGTGAGCGAGTTCAAAGTGGAATATTAAAAAAAAATCAGCGAGAGATTAAACGTTTCGCTACATAATTTGGTGGATGTTTTCGGTACAAAAAAAAAATCGGATTTTCTTTTAATCTTCCACGAAGAAAACCCGGTCTTGCGTAAGGAGCAGGACTCAAACAAATCGCGGCGCGGACTCGCTGCACTAACCGATACAAAAGGAAATTTAATTAAACCGTTTACGGCCGTTGTGCAAACTCACCGGAGAGGAAATTACAAGTGCTCGTTGATAATTTGGTGCCGAAGAAAACGCCCCATAATAACCCTTTTTTTATTCACAAATACGCGGCGCAACTGAAATCAAATTTCGCCGGCGCGTTCGGCTGTTTGTTTGAAATTTAAATGCACGTAGCAAATTGAATTTGCCGGCGCATACACGTGAGTTACGGGGAAAAATGCCGAGCGCCGATCGAATGTGATTAGCGTCGATGCGCTTTTTAATTAAAATCAATTAAAAAACAAGGTAAAGTTAGTCGGTATTTAATTAAACGCGGTGGTAGTTTTCGAAACAAATTTTCTACAAAAAAGAAGCGGGTTTTGTTTATTCTATTTTAAACCAACTCGGTGGGATTTATTCTTCTGCAAATGGCAGTGTGTGCTATTAAAATCGAATTACTCGAACACCTAGGGGACATTAAAAACCAATAATTCATCAATATAGAGTGATTTATCGAATGTAGATTATGCTATATGTTTTGTTCCACGAATAACAACAATCCATGCATTGTTAGCTTTAAAATAAATTGAAATCTATTTCCGATCGGATTTAATTAGAATTTCGTACAATACAAAATACTCCGCAATTAAAACGAAATTTTTAATTGCACTAATTCGACCGATTCGATTAAATAAAATGCGATTGATTGATAGCTGCGCTATCAAATAAATTTAATTCGCTCGTTAAATAAAAAATTACGCATTAATAGGCCGCTAGAGGAGCGGATTTCCACCTGCGATAAAAAACTTAATCCCCTCGCGAAGTTTTTCTATTAAACTCCGCCAGTGTTTAGTAAGTGTAAATAAGTGAATAATAGATCGAGCAGCCTGTTGCACCGATCGTAAATTATGGAGGAAAACCGAGCGAAGTCATGCAGATATAATGACCCGTTTCTATTTTTCTTTTGCACTATCTGCGAACTCGTTGCATTTATTTTATGCAGTCGATAGTAAAAGAAGGTAAAAGAAGTAATTGTGAAGGAAATGCTTTTCCGCGGCACTTTCCTAACGATTTTTTGCGGAATTGACGAGGGAAATAATGGGCGTATTTCAATCATTTCCATGTCGGAAAATAGCCTGATGGATAATGCGAAAGCTTTCAAAATTATTATTATCAATAATAAACAGTAAAATAAACATTATGTATATTAATAATACACACATTTTATATTCGTTTTAGTTGACTTTATGAACGCATTAATACAATTTTAATTAAAATAATACTGTGCTGGAAATCGTTATTATACGCGCTATAACGTTTCGTTTTAACGCTTCTGACTTATTCAAGCTACAATTTTCTCTGCCATAAAATATGAAAATTTTACGGTCTGGGTACTTTCCCAACAAACAAAAAATTCATTTACTTTTTACGGCATTTTTATTTCGAAAATATAACTGCCTACACTTTCAGCGATTTTTTGGGCCACTCTATATTAATAATCTCATAATACCACTCAAAAACCATTTCTAAGCAATACTAACGAAGTCAATATATCTCGAAAAGCATTAATTTCAATTAAACAGCACTTTAAGCTAATTATTTGAGCCACCCTAAATTAATAATCTCATAAAACCATTCAAAAACCATTTCTTAGCAATACGAACGAAATCAATCTCCCTGGAAAAGCATTAATATCAATTAAACTGCACTTTAAGCTAATTATTTGTGCCACCCTAAATTAATAATCTCATAAAACCATTCAAAAACCATTTCTTAGCAATACGAACGAAATCAATCTCCCTGGAAAAGCATTAAGTTCAATTAAATTGCACTTTAAGCTAATTATTTGAGCCACCCTGTATTAATAATCTCATAATACCACTCAAAAACCATTTCTAAGCAATACGAACGAAACCAATCTCCCTGGAAAAGCATTAATTTAAGCCTCCGAGGCGAACCCAATCAATTTTCATATCTTCCAGATTAGATTTACGGCGAGATTTCCGACAGGAACTTCCAGACTTCAAACGCACCTGTCTAAAGAATATCCCGGACATTTCGAAAACAAACTTCCCCCGAACGATTCTCACCACCCGCGACGGGAGGCTCGACTTTCGAGATCGAATCGATCGATCGATACGAGGCGCGCATTATTCGAATCGGGATCATTCGAAGGCAACAAAGAGACGCGGAAAATTCGAAGAATGAGCTTAATGAAATTACTGCGTTATTCATTGCGAGTTCGCTTTCAACTTAGCGAGACTGTTTGACTAAAACCGTTCGGGATCGATGATCAATTATGAAAGACTCCATTAAGTCTGTAAATAACTTTGTAGCGTCGCAAATTGACGGGGTATTACGGAATGTGCTCGGGAGCTGCTTTCTTAAATTCGCGCTTTACTTGTATGTTTAATTATTAGATGATCCTTGTAGATGGGGATTTATCGATTGATCCTCGTAGGTGTCGAGAATCGGGATGAAAATGAGCTGTTAAAATAGTATCGAAGTAGTTCAAATCGAACACTCTAATTTCATTGTTTTTGATCAACATGTGTTTGGGATTTTTCTTAAAAATTCGCGCTACTTGGATGTTTAATTACTGGACGATCCTTGTAGATGGTGGGTGATTTATCGATTGATCCTCGTAGATGTCGAGAATCGTGATGAAAACGAGCTGTTAAAATAGGATCGAAGTAGTTCAAATTTAACACTCTAATTTCATTGTTTTTGATCAATGTGCTTGGGATTTTTCTTAAAAATTCGCGCTACTTGGATGTTTAATTACTGGACGATCCTTGTAGACGAGGTGTGATTTATCGATCGATCCTCGTAGGTGTCGAGAATCGGGAAGAAGACGAGCTATTAACCAGTTGAATGGGATCGAAGTAGAACAAATTGAACACATTTATTTGGCGGTGCTCTATCTCGTGTTCAGTGTACAGTGGGCTAATAGACGTCGGGTGGCTCGCGTTATTTTTTTTTTCTCCACCGTTTCGCGTAAAAGAAATCGACGCCTCTTGCGAACGTCGTCGATTCGCCGTTGGCGCTTTTATCGATTCCGCTCGAATCCACGTGGAAGTCCATTTCGGAATTGTACCTTTTGTCTCCGTCAAAGGACTTTTGATGTGCGCCTATCGGAAAGCGATGCGGCGTAGTTTCATCAAGAAATTGCATTTTTTTCGTTCGCTTGCCGCGCGTAAAGAGAAAAAACCGGTGGCGAAATTCGATGCTCGATTTATTGGTTTTTTTTTTAAGAGGTATACAATTATTATTTCGCTCGATACTGCTACTCCGGCATCAAAGCTGATAGAATTACCATTTTTTCCCGGTAAATAGGCACCCTTTCATCCACCAAATTACGTTACGGATATTTAAGTGGCTTGTTAGAGGGCATTTGATCCGAAAAATTATGCTAAAACGACGCGTGGTTATAGCGATTTATTATTTTACTCAATGAATCACAGCAGAAATTCCACACAAAAAAAAATTACTACACTACTATTACACACTAACTCTAGTCTCTGTTCCCTGTTCCCTGAAAGTACGACCCGAAAGAAATTATTATTATTATTATTTCGGTGCAGGGGAATTCCGGAATCGCAAGACTCCAATTCTTCTCCATTACCACCCCGAACTTTCGGTCGTTACGCCAAATATCTCGCATAAAAAAAAACCTCCCTCGCCGTCCCCCAACGCCCATTCTCGCTTCCTTTATTCAACGCGCTCCGTGTTGTCCCGCAGCGTGCAAGAGATCGACGGCTCCTACTTCGAGAGCTTCACGGCGTTGGCGTGGAAGCAGGAGAACCAGCGCCAAAGCATCCTCAAGCTCACCGAGACCTCGTCGTCGGATCCGCCGCCGCCCGAAAGCGAGCTCGGCCTCACGCCCATCGACTACAACTCGCCGCAGCACGAGAAGGAGAAGCTCTACGTCGAGATGCTCTACACCATCGCCAACACGGTGAGTGACTTTATTATGCGTTCGATTATCGCGGCTTAAGGCGGCTGTTTAATCGAGCGATTCGGAGCGTACTCGCTGAATCCGATTGGAGCAATTAATTGGATAAATCACCTGGTTTGTAGAGTTTGTCGAGTTACCCGACACTTGCGCTGGGGAACTTCTGACGGTGGAATTGTCAATGGTTTGTTCATCGGAGAGGTAAAAGGCCGAAAGCAAGCGTTTTTGCATGAGAGTTGTGGGTATAAAATAGATTTATTGGTTGAATAATATTCGTGTGGGCGAGGTATATACGAGAGTGGGTCGGATGTAATCATAGAAAAAAGGCCGGTTTTTTTTTTTTCGGGGATTTTTCGAAACTACGGCCGCGATCCGACCTAATGCAAATAAAGTGGAAATTGCTCGGGGAATGAGTTTCGCTCGTGACGAAGCGCGTGTTTAATAACATCCATAATGCCACTAGCGTTGCACGAAAGGATTTATTTGATGAATTAGCAGCTATTTGTATAAACTTTTTTTAATAATATATTTGCCAAAATCAAGTTATCGCTAAAATATATCAATTCGATTCACATAAAATATTTATTGAAACGAATCACTAGGTACATATTTGCGTACATTTAATAGAAAACAAATGCTTAACAAATCCAGTATTTACCAATTTATCAGAAATTTCCACATAAAGAATATTTTATATCTAATAGCCTAATTAACTAACTTGCAATTCCGAAATACTTCTACGAAATCAGGCGACTTTGGAATTTTTTCGGCGCCCCCTTCGAAGCTTCCCGGATAATCCGGAGCCATCAGATCATTAAACGCCCTTTATCGAACCTCAAGTAGGCCTTCTTATCGACTGACAGGGCTCAATCAGCCGATTGAAAACCAATCGATTGCCCCGCGAACACTTAATTATTATCCACACCTCGTACATTCACCAACGCACAATTTCGATATTAAAAAAATACACCAATTATCGCCGAAAGAAAGACTAAATAGTAATCGCTGGTAGAGCGGTTGCGGTAGCATCCGAACCGATAAATCAATCATGTGAATCCCCCGGAATGTAATAACAACACACGAAATGGAGATACGCCGATACGCCGATCGGGATTCCCAGTCAGGATTCCGACCGTAATTGGTAGGAAGTTTCCTTTAATACCGCGTAAAAGGGCGCGCTCCTATCGGAATCGCATGTAGGTAGATATATCTATATTCGCATCTCGAGCAATTTACGGCTTCTACGCGGTAATTTTCTAGACGAGGAATTCGCCGACGAGTAGCCGCCCTCGAATCAATCGAAAATCCGGTCAATGGAAATCGGACCCGGGAAAGGCGAAATGAGCAGAGCACTCGGCTTAATTATTTCCCCAACTCGGGAGTGACTACCAGCCGACGTCACGGCCACTCTTCTCTATACTCTGCACTCTCTACATAGTCTCTACTATCTGTATAATACCATCTATACTAACTATACTATCTGCACTCTATACTCTCTACTTTCTATACTCTCTACTTTCTATGTTCTCTATTCTCTCTATACTCTCTACTTTCTATACTCTCTACTTTCTATACTCTCTATACTCTCTATACTCCCTATACTCTCTGCATTCTTTCTCTACACTCTACTCTTTACTCTATATACTCTCTACTTTCTATACTCTCTACTCTCTACTCTCTATACTCTCTACTTTCTATACTCTCTGTATTCTCTCTCTACACTTTACTCTTTACTCTCTATACTCTCTACTCTGCAAACTTTCTGTACTCTAACAGAGAATCGGTTAACGAGAGCACTCTTGTTAATTACGTCCGCATCTCGGGAGTGTCTGCGAGCCGGCGTGTCGGCGTCGTAGTCGTCGCGATGCCGCCCTTAAATATTCATGAGGTCGAGCGAAACGAACTCATTAGGTGCTCTATAAGCTCGAAAGAAGATGCACACGGCAAGTTAACGAGCGATTTTTCTTTCGAACGCTTCGTATGCACGCGTCGTAATTCGAGTGGGTGCTCCCGTCAAGAGAGCGCTTTTCACACGTAATCGCAGCGGCTCTCGAAAGAGAAGGGGATTTTTTTTGGGACGTCCTGTATACAAGCTCTCGCGCCGGGGTAATGTTTGTGATTATGATGTGGAAATGTTTGGACCGATGGAGGGAAAAACTTCGCCACTTGCGGAGATTAATTTTCGAAATATCGCCGGCGACTTTATTATACTTGCGAAGGCGAAACGTAATCCGATAAAAAAGGGTAAACAGGTCGGAAGTCGGACGACGGAGAATACGCCGGGGCGTCGGGATTACGAAACGCGACCTGTGTGTAGAGCTCTTCTAGCGCGCACCGGCCCCCGACGAGATTAGGTTTCAGCCAACGGGCGACATCTTGTTTTATTATTAATTGTTCCTCGTGCCGCGGGGACGGAACCTATGTCAAATTTTAAAGAGGATTAGGTTATTAACGGGGGCCCCAAGACCTGGGTAATGAAACTGTTCACCTGTTTCTTTCGGTTTATGTATAATGCGTGTTTACGTATACACTGGAGAAATTATTTTTGATGAACTTATGTCAAATGTCACAAAAAAAAACGAATTTGACGTTTGAATGACACGACTACAATCGCATTGGCTGAATCATCCAGGTAGCTGAGGCCTATAATTCAGCGCGGGAAGCATAAAAAGAAGAAGAAATACAGTCGTGCTTCAAAAACTAGACAGAAATGGCGTCGTATAGAAATCTGTTTCCATTATTATAGCGAGTCACATTTCATTTATTTATAACACGTATCGGCTACGTGCTAATAAAAACGAGGCCGGTGCATCCGGAAAATGTATGCACGAATGGAAGCGAGTGTCTAATGGAGCGGAAAAATCGCGAAATATTCGTTTTTTAAATGTATCTGCTGCGTAGGAACAATCCGGATTCACTGCGAATGCATTTTCCATTAGATTATACCTTGTAAGGACGAGATTTGCATTAGTAGATACGTTCTATCGGTTATTGATTTTACTTTACTTTAGGTGAAATTAATTGTTTATATAATCATTGAATGTAGATAGTAAGCGAATGTATAATGGAGTTCTCTTACAATGTGTCAATCTACAATAAGAGAACTGAAGCCGGGGATTTACCTTTAGGATTGTGTGTGTTTCCTGTACATGAACTTTATTATGCGTAGTTAGCATGTGATAGATTGATTAATAGATTCAAACCGAGGGAATATTCGTGTAATCTACAATATGTGTGAACGACAGTAATTTCGTGAATGCGTGAATTTCTAATCAAGCAATATTGTCAATCAGTTTTGGAATAGCTAGTTTATAAAATAGGTTATTTTACAGTACATTACGGTAAAATAAAAGAGCATTATTATTACCTCGCGAAATATAAACGAAACGTCAGTTCGGTATTTTCGATTTTAAACGCGAAAAACCGAAAAGGAAAACAATTTTCCGCAGCGCCAAAGGAAGAACAATAAATCTTTGTTTCCCGCGATCCCGTGTGGTGTTTTTGACGAACCTGACAGGAGATTTTAAAAGTCGCCTAACGACCGGCTAAAGCAGCAATTTTCCCGTCCTCTTCTACCTGGCGAATTTCGTACGTCGATTCGTTCTCCCCGAGAGAGCTTTAAATTCGTTAAAAATTTTGTTGTGAAAAATCGAAGCATCGAAACGAATTCGGGGGGATTTCTCCCTCAGACAACAGCGCGCCCCGCGGCGAATATGCATATTAGCGCAATAAAAGTTGCGACGGAATACTTGGCGGGTTTTTATGCGACCAACTTTTTTCGTTATTTTCGCCGTAAGAAAGCGGAATTTATCGCGGAAGGCGGAACGCGCGCCCCCATTGAAGTTTCTTTTATCCGCAAACTACGATTCTCGTTATTTTTACGCTGAAGAGGTCGTTTGATCTTGCGAGAGTAATTATAAAAAATTGCATCTTGTGTGTAGATTTCTCAAACGCGCAATTGTTTGTCGAGTTAAATACAGGGTGATCCAAAATGACATGCTAATATTTAAGTGGGCGATTCCTGGATCTTTTTTAAGGAAATAACTTTATATAAACCTATGTCCTAAACGTCTTAACTTTTTAGGTACAAGGTGTTAAAGTTTTATGAAAAAAAATCATTTTTTTGTAATAACTGTTATATTATTGTAGATATCTTTATGAAATTTGGCACACGTCTTTTATAAATCAAGATGCATTTGTTGATGTACAAATAATTTTATTAATTTCAGCAGTGGCGTCCGTACGGGTTTTGCATTGAATATTTTTGGAGAAAAAATGGTACGCCACTGCCTAATATTGAAATAAAAATTATTTTCTGAATCGTCATTCAATTTACAACAAATTTGATTTCTTGACTTTTTTCCGTACGACTCATCGTTTCGCATTAAAAAAATTAATTTAGGACATATGTATGTTCGTATATAAAGTTTTTTCTTAAAAAAGTCCAAGAATCATCCCCTTAAATATTAATCATTATAGAACACCCTGTACATGAACAACAAAGCGAAAAGAATAATGGATGGGATGTGTTATCTATTTATATGAATCGAGGTCGTACAGCGTTGTTGATAGAGCATAAAAAGTAATTTTCTAAACGTCTCCATCCCACATTTTCGCGCTTTTATATGTACAATATTTGCCCAACACCAACTCCAATATCGTCCGAATATTCTCGATAAATCCCGTTTTTACAACGCCCCCTAAATCGAAACGTTTACCGACCCTAATCCATTAACCCGAAAACCAATTAATTCGACTCCTCATCGCCGCCGAGACGCCCTCGAAGCGTCTCCACCAGCACACCCGCTCAAACCGACCGACTTTACATCTCGTTCCAGGTCGGAGCCCCCGCTCCCGGAGGTCAATACGCCCACTACAAAGAGGACCTCTACCTCTACGGCCAGCGCGCCTTCAACATGCCCCCCGACCGGCACTACCGCATGCTCCACGTCGCCGGCGAGGAGCAGCCCCCCATCGTCGTCCTCAGCGTCGTCGTCGTCGAGGCCGAAGGCCTGGAGGCCAAAGACGCCAACGGTGAGAGAAAACTGCGGGAGCTCTAAAAAACAATCCTGCAATTTCAGGTTTCAGCGACCCCTACTGCATGCTGGGCATCCAGCCGATGGCGGCGCCGTCGTCGCCGCAGCCGCTCACGCCGAACCGGACGCTGTCGGACGTGTGCGGCGCGATGGCCGGCGACGGGCCGTTGCACGGCAACCAGGAGAAGCTGCGCAAGCACCACAGCTTCAAGTTGAGCTTCAAGCGGAAGGACGGGCGCGTGAGGGAGCAGCGCGACAGCCTGGGGGGCGCGCTGCCCGCCAAGTTCATCAGGGCCACCTCCGTCAAACCGCACACGCTCAATCCGAAGTGGAACGAGAAATTCAGATTGTAAGGCACCAAGCGGTTGTGTGTAATTCGATTGATTTGGAAGTACAGTAGGAAACTTTGGATTATTTGTTCATTTGTTCCTTCTGGAAATTATAGGAATATTTCTTCATTCATTCCTTATGGAAATTAGGAATATTTGTTCAGTCAATCCTTCAGAAAAATTAGGAATATTTGTTCATTCATTCCTTCTGAAAATTATAGGAATATTTCTTCATTCATTCCTTCTGGAAATTATGAATGTTTGTTCATTCAATAACCTTAGGAAATTTGGAATATTTGTTCAATCAATCCTTCAAAAAAATTAGGAATATTTGTTCATTCATTCCTTCTAAAAATTAGGAACATTTGTTCATTAAATCCTTCAGGAAATTTGGAATATTTCTTCAATCAATCCTTCAGAAAAATTAGGAATATTTCTTCATTCAATCCTTCAGGAAATTTGGAATATTTGTTCAATCAATCATTCAGAAAAATTGGAATATTTCTTCATTCATACCTTCTGGAATTTAGGAATATTTGTTTATTCAATTCGTCAGGAAATTTGGTATATTTGTTCAATCAATCCTTCAGGACATTTGGAATATTTGTTCAATCAATCATTCAGAAGAATTAGGATTATTTCTTCATTCATTCCTTTTGGAAATTAGGAATATTTCCTCATTAAATCCTTCAGAAAAATTAGGAATATTTCTTCATTCATTCCTTCAGGAAATTTGGAATATTTGTTCAATCAATTCTTCAGAAAAATTAGGAATATTTGTCCATTCATTCCTTCTGAAAATTAGGAATATTTGTTCATTAAATCCTTCAAAAAATTAGGAATTTTCTTCATTAAATCCTTCAGAAAAATTAGGAATATTTCTTCATTAAATCCTTCAGGAAATTAGGAATATTTGTTCATTCATTCCTTCTGGAAATTAGGAATAAGGGAATATTTTTTCATTCATTCATTCATTCATTCATTCACTAATTCATTCATTCATTCAAATATTTGTTCGTTCGTTCATTCATTCATTCGCCGTAATTCGAACGAATAGAAAGTTAATTTCGCAGTAACAAAAAAAAATGAGGCAATTTGAATAAATCAATCCGGGTTTCTGGAATTCATAATTTAATAAACAACTGCCGGTGATTGAGCAAAGTTTCCGGGCTAATTAAAGTTGAAAACTGGCGCCGGTTTCGGGGGAAAAATAAACTCGGGCAAGACGCGTATTCGCTGGAGAGTGTATGTCAGGGCTCTCTCTCGAAACCGAATTAGTTTCTATCGTGAAGAGAAACTTCGCATTCGCCGTTGCGAACTCGTTCGCTTAATGAGGTATTTTTTTTCTGTTTTGTTCGAGTAAAAATAATATGTTATTTATGAGGCATTTACATTCGGTATTCGTGATTTCTTTGTAAGTTGACAGCGCGGGCATTATGTATTCGTTTTCTGCAAATAACGACTTCCATAACGTTAAATGTCGGGCATTATACCGGCAATGAATTATTCATGACTTATGAACACCTTAAAACCAGAAACGGGGAAAAATGCATTATTTTTAACGTGGTCTTATTTCTAATCCCACCCGTAATGCCTACGAAATAAACTAATGGAACCGTTTCGGAAAGCCTTATTCCATTACGGAATATGTGTATACAATGAAATATTTATAACGCAATTGTAATTTTTATTTTCCGAATAATCCGGCTTCGACCTCGAATTGCGCCGATTTGCGCCGACATAAAAGGCCATTAAACTGAACACAAACTCACAACACAGTAGTAAAAGGCGTCGATAAAAATGGAACTCGTAAAAATTCGGACAAAAAGAAGCAAATCAATGTACAGGGTGGTAGGTAAAGTACTGTAAAGTATCGTAGAGGATTGCGGTAAATAAAGTTATTACTAAAACGAGCAAGAGAAAAAGTATTTTCACATTTATAGTTTGCAGTCTTGAAACTAAAAAAGTGATATTTCTATGAATTCCGCTATATTAACCTAACAAAAAATACCAGATCTTTAAAGTCGAGTGTAATATGAACCTTTTTGGTTGAACAATTTTTGCTCTATCTCTAAAAATAAAGTAGTGAATGTTATTCAAATTTTCCCCAAAAAAACAACCTGTATCTTCGAAACGGTTGAGCCGATTTAAACAAACTTGGGCTAGTTGAAAAGAGCTATAGTTGGGCTATAAAAGTTATATTATTTAAAGTTTTGTTAGATTCACGTGTCGCTAGTATAGCACTTTTTTCGACATTCCGACAGAAATGGTCAATTTTCTCAAAAAAATTAAATGCATTGATACGATTTTTTTTCATGAATAAGTTGCTAAATAATGCCTAAAAAGGCTTCCGAAAACCACACCTCCATATCTTGTTCCTAACCTAAAATTTACGCCAAAAAAATCCTTAAATTCCTTAAATGTTTCTTTACATTCTTATCCGACCACCCTGTACGTTTACTATACTAAGAACATTTCGTGAAATTGTTAACCCGCCATTGGGAGCTGATCAAATTTAATTCTCGCTCATTATTAATAACGTTCGGAATCGATTTTGTGCGCTCGACGGTTCGATATGAAAATTAATTTCCAATTTCTAGAGCTGTTAATGCGGTTCTCTAAGTTCCGTAAGTGGCGCCCGCTATATTCGGTACGTAGTTTTCACCAATTAAATTTCCCCGTTCAGTTCAGTTTCCATTCTGGCGCTCGCGAATTTTGCACCATTTACCCTTTACGGGTAGTCACCGAGAAGAAAATCCCCGTGAAAAATCGATGTACGAGGCATTTTCCTCGTTGAAACAATGCACGGTTCCATTGCGAAAGGGATTTCCGGGAAAGCGATGGAATCCCAACTATAGAGTATCAGTGGAAACTTGAACAAATCCGGGACAACTCTTTCTATGCGCCTATATAGAGTGGATTTTCCAGTTCTAGGAATGCGATTCAATCGAATCGAAATGCCCGTTTTGTTCGAGATAATTAATTGATAATGTAAATAATAGAAAATTCAATTTATGATTCGCATTAGAGCGATGATTGAATTCGCTTCGGAACGGCAGGCGAAAGGGTTATACAGGCGTCCCCTTTCCCGCGAATTTCCACATCCGAGAAATATGCAAATCAACGTGTTCAGACACACGGAATCCTGATGGACTTTTTATTTTAATTATTATATATATTTCAACCGCCCTAACGCTGAAAAGGTAAACAGATTTCGACTGGATTTCGGGTTAAAGGGATTCCCAACCGGCGATGAATATTTCATCGCGTTTACGCCGAGCAAATAAACAACAACTTTTTACCATACACGCGCAAAATAAAGTCTCCTTGAAGGCCCCCGGGGAGCCTAACTGGCTTTAATTTATTCTCGAAAACAGCACACTTTATCTTTGCCATGTGTTTCACGTTACAAAAGATACTCGTTATACTCCCTTCGCTATCAGGTAGCTAATATAGTACGCAAAAGTTGGCACCAGTGACTCCAGCAGAAAATTATAAAGTACCAAAATGTGTGTAAAAGTAGTGTTTATTTCGCTACACTTTTAGTTTTATGACAGCATCCTGATGGCGAACGGAGTATAATTGTGTTATATAGAGCACGTATGTCGTGCAATTCCTGCGAGTAGCTTTCGCAGGAACGGTTCAATTCGGAATCAAACGAGCGCATGCGAGGCGATCATTAATCCACGGCTCTTTAAATAAAGCAACGTATCGGCGACGTGCCGTGTCCTGCGAGGACACGAAATAGTCGGATAATTTGCGCGAAGTTTCCAACTCCTTATCGCTCATCTCCCGGCTCGCGTAAATCGCAATTAAGACGGCGACAAACGCCCGAACTAAGGGGTAAATAACGTTTTTTTTTTTTTTCGCGCGGTGTAATTTATGGGTCTCCTTAAGGACGTCGAATCGTTCGGATTTTTTCAGAGCGAAAGCCAATATATATTCCGATAAGGTACCGCGGACTGGGGACGTAAATTGCATTTAGTATAATTGCCTTTTCGGGCTCGATAACTCGTCACGTCCTAACGGCGGGACTAATTCCGATTTCCCGACCGCTAAGGACGTTTTAATTACATTTTTTCCAAACGCGGTTTTCTCCGACATAAATCTGTTAACTTTCGTTTGCATTGAACACTGAAAATGTTCTCTACAAAGAAATAGGAATGATTAGTTTAGCAAATGTTTCCGTTAAATGATTGTTTTCCAGCGACATCGACGACATCAACAGCGACTCGCTGCACCTGGACATCTGGGACCACGACGACGAGAGCTCCGTGCTGGAGGCCGTTAGCAAGCTGAACGAAGTCCGAGGAGTCAGAGGCCTCGGGCGGTTCTTCAAGCAGGTGTGCCAATCGGCCAGGCAGAGTTCCCAGGACGATTTCCTCGGCTGCGTCACCATACCGCTACAAGTAAGCCTCGTTTCCGCGCGAAAAAACCCGCATTTTCTAGTACTTATGTAGGAAACCGAGTTAAATCCTCGTCGGCGAAAGTCGTGAACGATTTGAATAAGGCGCCCGGGGGAGCTTTTAAACGTCCGCGTGCGGATTCGGGGAAGTTTCGAGCGGAGGATTTCGCGGAAAGTTCCGCGCGTTTCTTCCGCAAAAGTCCCGCGGGCTCCGAGATAGGGGGGTCTCGGCGTCGCGAGAGGAAATTGAAAAATAACGGTGGGAAAGTTGTTGTTCGAGCGATCGAATTCGATGCGACAAACATGGTTTTTTTTTTAATCAACGAACCTCGCAATTAAATCTCGATGTCGTTTGATCGAGCGACTCTCGAATTCCTCGAGTTCGGGCCGGAATTGCGGCGTAATTTCCAGCTAATTGCGAGGCTGTATGAAAGAATTTCCTCGGGTCGCTTCGCGACAGTCGTGGAAAAATTGTTATCGCGTCCCACGTAAAAAGAAATTTGAATATTTGAAGGGCTCGTGAAAAGGCGCAAAGGAACTGCGAAGATGGACTTTTTTTTTGAATTGCGGGAATTTCCACGTGCGTTGTGAATTCCGTTACGCGCTGAAGGAACAATGGAAAAAATATTAAAATTGTATGGAAACTTTGTGAAAAGGGTATTGTAGTGGTTTCGTTTAAAATGTTGCTTTAAAATTATACCGTGAATTATTTATGAATTGCATTGATTTTTGTTATAAACGTTGGCTATATGATAGCTTTTTAGTAAATAACCTTCGTTTTTATAAAGATTCATGATTAATACTCAAATAAAATTGACTTGTTATTGGTAATTCGAAGCTCCAAATAATCCCTTAAAATACTCCGAATAATATCATCTCCGACATCCCGTGTATTAGCTTCGGAATTGTCGGTTTTCGACCGAGAAAAAAATGGAATTTTTTACTGGAATCTCCGCCAAATGGACATTCAATCAAATATTTACCAATCATCCGGGCCGAACAGTTCGCTGAAATTTTGATAGAACCCGAAAGTTACGAAGGTCGCGTCTGCACGGGGTCTGTTTTTTGCCAGTATATCTCCGCGTTTAAAAAAAAACACACCCTTTCGCATGCAAATAAATAATTCGCGCATTTATTACACCGCGTTCCCAAACCAAACAACCCTTCCAGCCGATTTATTATTTATAAAATATTATCATTTATACGGAGCGTTTCTCGTATAGCTCAAGCATAAAAATCCACCCCTAACTATCGTAGCGAATTTTTCGCTACAAATCCAATTAAAAATTTCCACAAATCAAGAAAATATCGCCCATCGACCGGACTGCCGGAAACCAACGTATCGAAAACACGTTGAAAAGTCCATTTATTTCCCTCGCCCGGCCGTCCGTTTCAATTTTGACACCTTTCCCGCGTCCCGCCGGTTTCTCCACATAATTTTCCGGCCGATCGCGCGCCCCTTCGCAGCCCCCATTGTGCCCCCGTCAACTCGATACCGCATTGTCTTTCCCGTGTCCCTTCGGCCTCGACGCGCCCCAGAAATAACCCACCAAAACCCACGCTCTCCGGATAAATACAATATGTTACAACGACATCTACGCCATCTCCACGCAGCGAGAATGTTTGCTAATTACCAGCAAAGCCGAATTTATTATATTGTTCTCTATATAATAATTAAAAAAAGGCGAATTTTCTCGTCGCGAATGTAGGATGGAAGGTATTTGTTTTAATTAAATCTCGCTCGTTTCTCTACCTACGAGTTTTCATACATTTACGATGCGCTTCGAAACAGAAGTGGGGAACTGAGATCATGGGGATACGGGATTATGGAGATCTGGGACCACAGTGATCTGGGCATTATAGAGATCTGGGATCATGGGAATCTGGGCATCATAGAGATCTGGGATCATGGGGATGGGTGATTATAGAGATCTGGGACCACAGGGATCTTGGGATCATGGGGATGGGTGATTATAGAGATCTGGGACCACAGTGATCTGGGCATTATAGAGATCTGGGATCATGGGGATGGGTGTTTGTAGAGATCTGGGACCATAGGGATCTGGGCATCATAGAGATCTGGGATTATGGGGATGGGTGATTATAGAGATCTGGGACCACAGGGATCTTGGGATCATGGGGATGGGGGATTATAGAGATCTGGGACCACAGGGATCTGGGTATCATAGAGTTCCGGGATCTCTGTGAATTGGGCTTGTTGCAGGACATCCCGTCGACGGGCCTGGAGGGCTGGTTCAAGCTGGAGGCGCGCTCGCAGCGCAGCTCCGTCCAAGGACGGATCAAGCTGAAGATGTGGCTGTCGACGCGCGAGGTGCGCGGCGTCGCCGACGACGACAACTGGACGGAGCTGACGCAGCACGAGAACCTGTTCGCGACGTTCGTCGACTACGAGCTGCGCAATTGGGCGCGCGAAACGTGGACGTGGAGCGGCGACCTGCCCGGCGTCGCGCTCACCGTTCTGCACCAGCACGCCGTGCAGGGCGACCTGAGCGAGCTGCAGACGGCGATGGCGCGGTTCGTCGCCGCCGCCCGGGTGTACCTCAAGTACCCGTTGGATCCGCGATGGATCCTGCAGCTGTTGACCGACGTCGAAACGTCGTGGGTGAATTGCACGTTGACCAGGGAGGAGGAGATGTGGCTGGCCGAGAAGTTCACCGCCATGCAAGGTGGGGTTAATTTTACCCGCTATAATCGATGAATTTTTCGTTTATATACTACTCGATTTACAGAAAGGTGGTTGCAGCAGTTGCGCCATCACCGTCAATTATTCCCCGCTTTGCATCCGCCGTCTTTGGCGCGACTGGAATTCATTTTGAGGTGCTTGGCTTATCTGTCGAATATGGTGAGTATAATTCGACGATATCTGGCGTGTGAATCATTCGTTTTGTTCCGTTGGTTTTTTAAGAAAGCTTTCTGGAAATGCTGCCCGTTCAACAAGGAGATCCGCGGCGAGATCGTGGCGACTTTGAGAAAGGGCACGCCCGAGTGGTTCAGATCCCTGAAGGTCGCCATTATGACCTCGGACGAGTACGATCCCTCTTTCGTCGATTTCTGCTCGGAATTGTACGTGCAATTGAAGCAGGCCTTGTCGCATTATCACCCGCTTTTCGAAGGGTAAGTTCCATTCGATTTTTTTATGCTGATTCGCGGCTCTAATATTGAGAGTTTTGATGTAAGGTAGGCTGGGGTAAATGTAAAAATGGGGTAAATGTAATATTTTTACCTATTATGGTAATGTTTTTTATTATTTTTATAGTTCTTTTGTGGGTTAGACAGGGTTTGTTTCTTATTTTTTCTTTATTATTTTGTAGCTCTGTTATTTTTTGAAATAAATAAATAAACAGCATATTAAATTTTAGTAGAACCAAATATGTATTTACAATTACCCCATATGTTTTTCTATATAATTGTATTGTCTCTTTAGAACGTTTGTTCCCATGGTAAGGGGTAAATGTAACATATTGTCAACATTTTAAAAAATGTGTTTAATCGTTTTCTTCCTTTTTCAAAAAAAACTTTTTAATACCTCGATTCTTTAGTTTAGGAAGTTGTGAATTTAATGTGGTATCAGCATTTCTAATAAGAGAAAAAATAAAGCCACATTTTAGGATTTGATTTGAACTATTCAAATTTTACAACCGATTTGTCCCCAGTCTACCTTATTAAAATGTGTGATAATACAGCTCGAAATAAGGCAAAAAGTCATTGGGTTATTACTCAAAATATCTTTAACTTTATTAACAATAATTATTGCGTTTAAAAGGGTCCCACAAAAAAGTTTCTCTCGACGAGTGGAGCTTTTTAATATAAATTTTATTATATATTTGGATAATTTTATTTTATACGGGATAATTTTTAGTCGAATTTGATGAATTATAATCCCCGATCGACCGCCAACTTATAACGTTTAATTAGTTTTTATTCGCGTCACGTAATTCACTCGTTTCGCCGGTTTTTATACAGATTTGATCGGCGACAATCGTTTCAGTATGTAATACGTAAAACATTAATCGATATCGCTTTCATGTATCGAACGAAAAATTATACGTTTTAGACGGGCGAGTACGTGGAGTTTCGCTGAAACGAAATACCACCATTAGAACGTTTAACTTAATGGATTTTATGCTCGATACAAGTATATCGAATTAATTCCACCGTGACCGAGAGCGAACAATAACTCGATGGTTTCCTTATTTCTTTCGAAAAATAATAAAATTTCTAGCGCTACGTGACCGGCATTCGCTCTAATACAGGGTGAGAAATATCGACTCACCCTGCATTGTTTTCTCATTTATGATCGTTTTGAGACAACCTGTACAAGTCAAATTAATTTTGCATTATAGTTATTCATTATTTAACCCGAAGGAATTTTAAACATCTCTTATCATTTTCCTGCAATATACTCCGTCCCGTTGAGGGTGATTCACCCTGTATATAAAAGGCTTTTTAACCGGGCTTGTACAGAAATATGGATTGTATATATCCAGGCATTACTTACACTTTCGCAACTCTTTACGTGTGCAGAATTACAGTTGAAATATTCCTATCGAATTTGTCGTTTTGTCCAAAAAAAAAACTCGCCTCGAGCCGAAAAAAGAAACATAAAAGGCCCCCTCGAAAGTGCGTAATGACTCTTCTTTCTCCGAAAAAAAAAACGGAAATATAATTTAAATACGGCCATTTAGATGCGGGCAATGAAATAACCCGATAAAAAAAAACCCATCCAAACGAGAAGTCAAATAAATTCCCGAAAACAGCCGTCACTCATTCGCAAAGTTAATCCCGCTTCGGCGTTTTCTCCCTACATTTACGCCGCACAAAAACCGCTTTCGTCCATCCACCAGGACCAACGGCATCCCGTACTTCAGCGTCGTCTTCAAGCAACTGGACCATCTCATCTCCGACGAGGTGGTGGCCTTCCTCAACCAGAACGAGCACCCGGACGCCGCCTACAACCGGCTCATCTTCTCCGTCTACCTGGAGGTGAAGGACCTGGCGACGTTCCAGCAGAACCTGCCGATGGGCGGCGATCACAAGCTCCTGCTGCCCCGCTGCCACGAGTGGTTCCAGCCGTCGGTCAGCTGCTGGCTCAACGTCTGCAAGGGCAAGGCTCTGCAACGGGTGAGTGCTTTTTTGGCAATGTTATCTCATCGTGTTCTTGTGGATTTTGGGGATCTAGAATTATCGGAACATGGAATTATAGAGATCTGGGATCGCAGGGATCTGGGATCATAGGGATCTGAGGTCTTTGGGATGCTGAAATCATTGGTATCTTGGGAACCTGAGATTTTGGAGATCTGGCATCTTGGATATCCGGAATTTAAGTGATCTTTGGGATCTAATATCATTCTCCATTCTTATCCTCTGGCAAGCAAAACATAATCCATCATTTCTGATGGAACAAAATTCCTCCATTCAAACTGTATTAATACTCTAACGGCTAATAAACCATTTGCGTAGGGCAGGGATTATTTTGTATTCCATTCGCAAGGCTCTGCAAAGGGTGAGTTTTTTGGAAATGTTATCCATTATTCTTGTGGATGTTGGGATCATAGGGATCTTGAGGATCTGGGGTTCATTGGGATGCTGAAATCATTGGTATCTTGGGAACCTGAGATTTTGGAGATCTGGCATCTTGGAAATCCGGAATTTAAGTGATCTTTGGGATCTAATATCATTCTCCATTCTTATCCTCTGGCTCGCAAAACATAATCCACCATTTCTGATGGAGCAAAATTCCTCCATTCAAACTCTACTCTAACGGCTAACAAACCCTTTGCGTAGGGCAGGAATTATTTTGTATTCCATTCGCTGGCATAATTACGGGGGATTCCGCCTCGGGCCGCGGCCGATTCGAATTTAAACAGTTTACCGAAAGGGGCACATTACTCAACCCGAATCGACCTAAATTCGTTCAGACTGGAACTATCTGTGTAGCCAGTCACGACGGGCGTATTAATTTTAATACTCGGGAAAGAATCGGGGCGAAATCGCGACCGGCCCTTTCGTGCTCACGAAACAATAGTGGGTATTGTTCGGTGTATAGTATATCGTAGGGGATTCCCGTTTCGTTCCATTTCGCGTTGTTTATCCGTTGAATTCGTATACCGAAACGATTTATTTTCTCGCGAAATCGCCCTCTCTCTCCATGATCCTGTAATTACCGAATTCCTTCGTACGTTGCGGCACCAGCTGCTTGAATAACTCGCTACATATTCGAAATTCGAAGCGACAGTTCCGGAGGAAGAATTCCGGGATTTTTATCGATCGGAGCGAACCCGTTTGTTCGACTCGGATTGCATTATACATGGTGGTAATTAATAAACGCGACGAACTTCAGGGAGCGATTCTGCATGAAAAAATAATAATAAGTTTGTCGCACTTAACACCCTGTATAGTTACAAGCCGAAAACTGTTAATAACGATGGAAATATATTGCACTCGAGCAAGGAAATTCGCGGCGACGTTGATGTTGATTGATGTCGCTTTTTCTCGCCGACTCCTTCCATCGCTCATCCCTAATCAAGGCTGATGTTGATAGACCCGAAGTTCGCCGATTAGAATCCCGTTTTTTTTTTTTCGCAGGTTCGAACGTGCGTGGACATCCAAAAACCCTGCGACGGGGACAAGTTCGTGCGGCACAGCTCGTCGGCGGTGGACGTCGTCACCATGTTCTGCCAATTGCGCGACTTCTGGCGGCTGCTCCAGTGGCCCAAGGCCCACTCGATCCTGCTCCTCTCGCAGCTGCTCGACTGCATCTGCTCGGCGGCGCTGCTCTACGCCGACATCACCTACCAGAGCCTCATGGAGACCGGCTACTTCGACCGCCTGGGGCCCTTCAGGATCTGCGACGAGATGTGCGTCGCCGCCAACAATCTCGAATACGTTTATAAATTCGTATCGTTGTTAGGTAATCGAATCCTCCTGATGGAATTCCTCTTCTACATCCTCTTGCATTCCAGAGAATTACTTCGATTTCGTGACGCTCGAGACCATAGCTAGTGAGATGCAATTCGCCGTACTGACCAATCAATTGGACAGCACGCTCAGCCAGTTCCAGGTGCGCATCAGGGACATCGTCAAGCGGGTGGGGCCCCAGATGCAGGAGGCCCTGCGCAAGGCGATGTTCCACGTCGCCTGGTCGCCGGACACGCTGCCCACCAACGAGGCCGTCGAGCCGCTCTTCGACTATCTCCAAGGACACCTGCAGGCCCTCAACATCGCCCTGCTGCCGCAGAACTTCCAAAAAGTCCTGCAAGAGGTATTTGTTCGGGTGATAGGGATCTGGGGATGATTCTCTCTAACGGAGAAGACCACGGATTTTTGCTCAAAACAGTTTAAAAAAAATCGTGGTCTTCTCCGTTGGATTTAAATCGTGTTGTGGTGCCGCAGGTGTGGGAGTACACATTGTCGGAGCTGAACTACCAGATGGACAGCGGCTCGAACAGCGACGAGACGCCGTACATGTTCCACGAGCGGCTGCACGCCGCGCTGCAGCTGATCGTCGAGTTCTTCCACGGCGACGGGCAGGGCCTGGCGATGCCGGGCCTGCATTCGCCGGCGTACCAGCAGATCGAGCAGCGGCTGCAGTACCACCGCACCGACACCGAATCGCTGATGGAGATGTTCTACGCGCAGCGGCTGCAGGACCAATTGAACGCGACGGCCTGTCCGTACGGCGTGCTGGCCGTCCGGGCGTATTTCAATCACGATTCGCTGTGCGTTGAGGTGAATATTAAGAGGAAAATAATCTGGAGAGTCTAATGCCCGGTTGCACCGAAGCATCGTAAGATGGATTTCTATCCTAAGTAAAATCTAAGTCTACAATCAATTTTATATTGGCATTCTGGTCGGTTTGGTCTTACTGTTATTTCTATCTGGCGGCGAAGAATAAAGTGCTACTTTAGATGGGTTATATATGGAGCTAAGATATAGAAATTATTGTTTTATAGGGGATTATAATAGGGTGTTATAAGAGGCTAATGCCTAGTTGCACCAAAGCATCCTAGGATGGATTCTTATCCTAAGTCAGACCTAAGTCTAAAATCAATTTTATATTGGCATTCTGGTTGGTTCGTTCTTGCTGTTATTTCTATCTGGTGGTGAAGAATAAAGTGATACTTTAGAAGGATTATAAAGAGCTAAGATATAGTGATTTACTGTTTTATAGAGGCTTATAATAGGGTGTTATAAGAGGCTAATGCCCAGTTGCACCAAAGCATCCTAGGATAGATTCCTATCCTAAGTCAGACCTAAGTCTAAAATCAATTTTATACTGTTGCACCAACTAGAAATCTCTTTACTGTGATACGAATTGATCACAGATCCTAGGTTGTCGATTTCTACGACTTAAGATGAAAATGTAATCCTGAAAAATTTGAGAATTGTCGGGACAGTTGTAAAATTATGGATATAAATGCAAATATAAATATTGTGGTTAATGTAGATATAATAGATGATGTAGAGGAAGAAATTAATGTGGTAGATGTTCCTGTGCAACGACAAATTCGAATAAGAACTAATTATTTTGAAACATTCTCGGAGGAAGGATTTTTTAAAATGTTTCGTCTGCAAAAAAGAACGTCCTACAATTATTTAAATTTAACCAAAATTTAATTACGAATGCAGTAATTTCTAGGTTACAGGTTACAGGATATGTTAAAACCTCAACTTCTTATTCTTTTGATCTTTTTTCACTGACCCCTAACAACTATAATAGGTTATTTTGACATTTAAAATAACAATCATCTCCTTAATTCTTTTCAAGTTTTTCAACAATATTGCTACATTTCCAGTTGTTATATCTAACTTAAAATGGATCGTAGGTAAAATATCCTTTTTTGAACACGGTGCAACATATTCCAATCTTAAGTATATCCCACATTTAAGTCAGCCTTAGATCAAATATAACCCAGGACATATTGGTGCAACCGGGCATAATTGGAGGTGTATTGTACGGAGAAAATGGAATCTAATTAGGCATCGCCTCGGGTCGTATATCGCTTTCTAAATGGGAACCGGTGGCGTATCGACATATACACACTCGACTGATACTGATTACGAGCCCGTGTTTCGCGTCTATTCCGCCGTTCGCGATAAGAACGTGATGTGATTCTTGCGCGGCGCCGCTTTTGTTAGATTATCGTCGACGAGGAATTCCGATCGAAACGTGACGGGCGTCGGGAAACGTGCGATACGGCCGCGGAAAAAAAAATCGAAAATGTACTCGATTAAAATTTGTTGTTTTTTTTTTTTTCATGTAGGTCCTGCACGCCAGGGACATCATCCCGCTGGATCCGAACGGTTTCAGCGATCCCTTCGTCATCATCGAGCTGTTGCCGCATCGCATTTTCCCGCATTGCAACGAACAACAGACGAACGTGCACAAGAAAACGTTGCATCCGATTTTCGACGAGTGCTTCGAATTCAGGTGAGAAATCCACATATGATGCAGGATAACCTTTAACCTTTAGCATCACACTGTATGCTAGTAAAATAATGGTTATTGATGATGATGATGGCGAAGAATCATTCTGTATATGCGACTGGAATAGGCGGTATGGAATATCCGGGTATATAATCTAAACGGGCGAAAACGGTTAGAACGTTTTCAATTAACTGCGGGTTTTTATCGGGCTACATCGCAATCGAAACTTCGAAACGTTTGATGGCTACAAACAAACGCGTTATTTACCTGTTCAGCAAAGCAAACCGAACACGTCCCTGGACGTTGTATAGATACCTCGAAACTATTTCAATATTAACTCGCCGACCGCGCGTAAAGTATATTACCCGGCCTCAAATTCATCGTCAAATTTCCACCATCTCGCTCAAAAATGTTTTGCATATTACATATGAAGTTGAAAGGCCACTGGCTATTTATTATTTGAAATGTCTTTTGTTAAATTGTCTTTATCTTATTATGATTTCTCATGCATTAAATAAAACACCTGTGTTCATATTTTCACTTCTGTACATCCAAAATATTTTAAACTGGTGCGAAAAATCATTTTTTTGATTTCAACTTTGACACTTTGCATCTTTTTTATTTTCAATATTTTACTTAAGCAAGTTGAGTCAGATCGTAATATTTTGATGCCCAGAATCTCCCCCTTCACTTTTGGACCATTACTTACTGACCACCCTGTATATACACTCTCATAAATGTTTTGCATAAAAGAATAAACATTTAATACAACGAATTATTTGTAAAATTACTCATCAAAATTAGTTTCCAAAAGGCATTCAACAAAAGACATTTTAAATAATAAATGGGCAGTGGCATTTCAACTTCATAACAATGCAAACCATAAAAACATTTTTGAGTACCTATGTGTAAATATCCCCCCGGGGAAACGGAGAGCTTTTCGTATGCAAACCTCGCGGTTAATATAAAAAAAAATGGCGCTTTTCGCAGCGTTTCGTTGGAGCAATGCAGACATCCCGGCACGATGATCGCCTTCACCGTCATGGACCACGACGTGTTGACGGCCAACGACTTCGCCGGCGAGGCCTTCCTGGCGTTGGGCAGCATACCGGGCGTCGCCGATACCGGCGCCGGCGTCGATAATTTCCACGGGCTGAAACCCGTCGAGCTCGTACTGATGCAACAGCACCAAAGAAGTGAGTACACCAGCGACTAATAAAAGAGTATCCGGGATTATACTCATCTTCATGCTCATCCAAATAGTAATCTTCATCTTCATACTCCTCATCCTCATACTCCTCATCCTCATACTCCTCATCCTCATACTCCTCATCCTCATACTCCTCATCCTCATACTCCTCATCCTCATACTCCTCATACTCCTCATCCTCATATTCCTCATCCTCATACTCCTCATCCTCATACTCCTCATCCTCATACTCCTCATCCTCATACTCCTCATCCTCATACTCCTCATCCTCATACTCCTCATCCTCATACTCCTCATCCTCATACTCCTCATCCTCATACTCCTCATCCTCATACTCCTCATCCTCATACTCCTCATCCTCATACGCCTCATCCTCATTCTCCTCATCATCCTTATTATCCCCATCATTCTCCTCATCCTCATACGATCCTCATTCTCTCACATTCCTCATCCTCCTCATCATTATTCTCCTCATCCTCATACGATCCTCTTCCTCATATTCCCAATCTTCATACTCCTCATCATCATATTCTGGAACACCCTACACAACAAACAACAAAAATCGATGGTAATTTTCTAAATACGATCGTTTGTAATCCATTGCTGATGGTCGGGATAATCAGCGGGATCTTGAAGTTTGTTGTAAATTGAATTTCAGTTTGCAAACTCGGCGGTAATTATTATTTTTTTGGGGTTGCAGATCATCCGATTTTGCAGATTTTGGAATGCCGTTCGGGCGACAGGCTGGCGTTGGAGTTCGTGAAAAGGCAGAAACAAAGATTCGCGGTGAAATAAACGCAAACGATTGGAGTATATGGAGGGAGAGGAGTTTGTTTGTTGTATGTGAATGTATGAGTGTAAATTGGATTATTCCGCCAAAATGGAATCTATCGCTCTGTAACTTCTGTAAATATTATACGTAGATGTACGAGTATAAAATGCGTATCCAATGAACTAGCAGATGTGGCATATATTTTTACTGTAATTGTATAATTGAATGCTCGAATAATTGCGTGGAGTAAATTATCCGTAAATTTCTCCTGTATCCAAATTATTTTGTTACTCGTTCATTTTCTATCTAATTAAGCAAATGAAGCCTTCTAGTTTATTGGAGTTAATGTATATAAATGTATTTTTCCGCACCTTTATAAATGTTCAGTTAGGATTAGATCTGCTAAATGCGAAGGAACGCGCAATTGTTGTGCATTTCTTAAAGCTGCTTGTTCGCACCGATAATACATTAAATTGCACACAGAAATGTTTCTGAAGAAAATACCGCATCGGCGGTTACTTAAACGAATAAAATTTTATCAAAGATATGTTTCTCCATAGAATGCGATCGAAGTCGCTCGATGTATAACAGAAAAAAAAGCTTAAGATTCATGCATCTGTAGATAAAGGGCGTATAAAGATAAGCTATCTTTAGAATTCCTACTTTTCTAATGCCATAAAATAATTTGTAAAAAATATTCGAAAAATTTTAGATTCGAACGTAGAAATTATCTGGAATATATGCATTGGTTGGAATTTATATTTGTTTCAAAACAGCGGATAAATATCAAAAATACCCTCTTATGAATAACGGACTCAACTAAAGTTAAATGAATTATCAATTTTGTACAATTTTAATTGAAACCTTTGATAATCTACATATATCAATATTCAACTGTACTGATTACATTTCGATATTTTCAAGCATGCCATTATAATCGTGATAGAACAGGCAAAAATCAAAACTAGTTTATTTTTACAATAAAAAAACATTTTTTTTAGCAAAAAAATGGGACAATCAGTACATTGATCAATTACACCTACCCATATCACTGTAACGCATAATCTGACAGATACTTCAAACAATACCCACGAATTTAACTTGTAATATTTTATATTTATATTTTTCAAAAAAAAATGTAACTGATTATTAGGGATTAATAAAATATATATTTAGAGTTATACAGGGTGTCCTCAGACTCGAAATATTTGTACTTGTTAAGAGACACACCCTGTATTATAATAATTGAAAATTGGCAATTTTCTCACTGTCGAAAAACATTTCATTCCGTCCACTATACTAAACAGAAAGTTGAAAATAAATTCTCGATATATTTTAAAGGAAATTCCAACAATATTCGCACGAGTTAACTTAACAGTACGTATTTATGGGTCATAAAAATTATACAGACCGTGAGAAAATGTCATATTTATTATATATTATACAAAAAAAGGCAAATTATAGTGCTGCTTATATATCAAATATATTCGAAGCTAAAATGTTATAGCATCCATCTGATCTAAAATGTAAGAATGATTTGTCAAATAATATTTTTGATACAACTATTTTACGAAATTCGGCGAATTATATTTACTTTGCAATAATCGGACGTTAAAATAACGAAATACTTTGGCAAATCATTTTACGAAAAATGTCCCTTCACGAACCAAAAATGGCAATCAACCTACCAATTATACGTATAATGTAACCCTAGATTATATTTCTGTTACCACACAAAAAATGTACGTTGAAATTCGATAGAATTTATTACACTAGACGTGTGGCATTGCACTTTCTATCTTTATACACATCATATTCACCGAAAGCTTGCGATTTCCGATTCCTTTCGAACCTCATAATTATCGTTCTATCGAGCTTAATGTACTGTATGTCAATTGAAACAAAAAAAAATCATGTTTTCTATACATACTATAATATATTGGATGTGATATTTCTGTCCCAATATCTTTGTTAATCCCCGCAAATAAAGTGTCGAAAAATTGAACGTCCGCGTTTAATTTCAACCTTACACGCGATTGAAGACAAAAAAATCTAGAGGAAGCGAGCGAATTTAAACCAGTTCATTGGGTCGAGCTCTAGAAAATCTTCCCCTCTCGGCCGTTAAGAAGGAATCAAACGATTGTCAAGGTGAACGGATACCCGACAAATTCGAGTCTCTGAAATAATTTCAATTTACCGGTTGATATCTGCCAGTAATAGCCGTTTTTTTACTCGAACTCGATCAGTATGATTAAACGTAAACTAACCAGGAAGCAAGTGTAAGTGAATTGAATTTTTCTAATAGAATTCTGTGGATTTTTTTTGTTTTAGAGCCCTTACTATTTTGTGCTTAATCGTCTTCGTATTTTGGTGTTACCTCGTCCCGAAACCTTCGAGAAGCATGAATGGCTCTTTCGGTAAATTATTAAGGACCCACAATTATTCTTTCTATCAGCTATTTAAAGGAAACAAGAATTATCCAAAGTAAGTGTAAAGTACTCAATATCTTTTGTCGTTATATTTTTTAATATTTCAGTTTTGATAAGAAGACAATCTTTGGACAGGGACATTATGAAAATTTTATACTTTGATTATACCAGGCAATAAATACTTATTTATTAACTATTAGTTTCTGTTTTGAAGGATCTCATACTCATACTGATCCCCATAATCATACTCTTCCTCATACTCATCATACCCATATTCATTATCACACCCTTCTTCATACTAATCCTCATACTAATAATCAAGTTTGTACTCATAATCATACTCATCCTCATACTCTTAATCCTCCTCCTCATCTTCGTACTCATCATCATAATCCTCACATTTCTCATCCTCATATGCATCATCATCATCCTCATCGTATTCTGGGACACCTAGAATCCCCTATCCTAACAATAAGAAGAAAACAAGGACCAACAAAACCAACCCTTAAAAGCAATATATTATCCAATATATGAAGGGGTACCAATCAAGTTTTAAAATCCTCATCGTTGTGCGTCTCCATTTCGAAAACAGGCGCCGCCTCCCTGCCGTACCGCCGCCTGGCCTCCTCAATAAACGACTTCTCCATGTTCTGCACCAGCTTGTTGAAGAAGATCGACGCCAGGTGGGCGTAGAACACCGACCGGAACTTGAACCTGACGCTGAAATCGATGACGCAGGTCTGGGCGTCGCCCGAGGGCGCCTTGTCGAAGATCCACGTCGTCTCCAGGTACTCGAACAGCTTGCCGTCGGTGCAGAAGGCCTGCACCGAGTGCGGCCGATTGGCCACCACGGTCGAGGTGAAGTTCTCGGTGATGGGCGGGAAGCCGATCTCCAAGGTGGCCGACCACTGCTTGGAGACGCCGTCGTCGAAGGTGCTCTCGGTGATGGTGGACCGGGTGCAGAACGGCAGGAAGGACTCGTAGTTCTGCACGTCGGAGACGATGTTGTACATCTCGTCGCGGGAGAAGCTGAAAGGGCGAAGACGATGGGTTCGCGCGAGGGAGCGATCGCGGGACTCACCATACTAGTTTCTTCGCTCGGTAGCTGGGCGTTTTGACGAGGAAGGTGAGGACCATGATGCGGCTCAGCACGTTGTTGTAGAGGAAGGATTTAACGGATAATTTGTCATTTTGGGATAGCTGTTTGGTTGTCATCGAGTACGGTGAATTTTACGTTTAATATTCATTTAGAATGTTTTGTCATTGTAGATCGTATAAATGGGCTTTAGACATTCGATTAACTAGCTACATTTAAACAAGCTGTGATAATGTAAACGTCAAAATATATACGTCACTTTTGACAAGTTACCACGGTCTTACATACAGGTCTGGAAACTCGGCTTATTTTGTGTGTGTGTTGCGCTTAATGTGACTTTGGTTCGATGGTTCATGAGGTTATTGGGTTGAAAGGTAAAACGGCGGAATAAAGGAAAAGTGACGTTATGTGCGTAGGATTAAACCCTACCTGATACTAGCGCCCTCTGACGACAGACACGTCATCCGCAAAACCCCCTCCACAGTTCCCTGACCTGTTATATACGACCATAAGTTACGATAAAAAGTGTAAACGTCAAAATATATGTCACTTTTGACAGTTGATTAACTACTTGATAAATAATGAGGTAAGAAATAAAAAACAACCAAAAATCATAAACAGGTTTATATTTCAGGAGTTAGAGATACAATATTTCTTTGGACTAGATTTATTATGTATTTTTCTTTTACTAGAATTAATAGTCGTTTGATATTTTCGAAAAGAAGAACGGGAGAAAACAACGAATAGCTCCTAAAATTCAAAATACATTTTCCTTAAACAAATAGCACGAATACCTATATTAGTTCAAAAATAAATATGTTACATTTTAAACGGTACAATACTAACTGCACGTAACTAAGTACAACAATTTTCGTTTTACAAAAATATATTCCGAACAATTCATCCGCGCATGCGCAACATATTTTCCGAAATTTCGCGGAGGAGCTGTAGAACTGTTTTTTTTATCGAAAGAATTCAAATAATCCTTCGGGCAATACTTAGAATATGGCCCGGTGTTTTTAATATCAAATAGTTGAATTTATCCGCAGAAAGAAGTTATCCTACAGATAAATTCCGCTATCTGAAGGTTCTCAGAGTCAGAATTTTCACCACTAGATAAGATACAATTTTCTATAACATTAGAATATACATACAATTTTAATGATGAATTAGTAATAAACTATTGTTATAGATAAATATCAGAGTTTTATGTGGATAAAAAAACTGCCACAAGAGTGATATAAACTTAACAGATTGGGATATTCAATAAAAATTTCAATACTTCTACTTACCAAAAAAATCGGATTTTATACAGGTTTCTGCGACGATATATCGATGAGTATAATACAAACGTGAATATGAAAGCCTGTTAAATAGTAAAGCTTCGTAAAATCGATAACAAACGCGCCCTTTTTCCAAAAGGGCCGTCCTAAAACACCTCTGTAGATATGTAAAAAACGCTTCTAAATTTAATTTACACGCAGTCGTATTCATTTGCGATGCACAGGAAATATTTACAATTTAATTTTACATTATACATCGAAACAAGTGTGAAGATGTTATCAGATAAATTAAGGGAGAATTTTTTCTTCAAGGCGTAACTAACTGACAATTTTCTTATAATAATCACCTAAGTTTAACATACAAAAAACTAACAATAAAAAAATCGTGTGTATGATATAAAATGGATTATGAATAAGATAATAGTTATAATTAAAAAAAAACTAAAAAAATGGCATTGACAATACTACTGTAAGCGACTACTATATCACACATTAGAAAGAAGGAAAAGAATACATAACAAGACAAATCCTTCGAATCTTCCTTTTCAACTATTCAACGCAGGCCGTCCTCGAATCAAGCCCGCTAAACGTTATTTATTGCTAATTAACCTTATTGCAAATATGATCCGTGTTAATACTGAACGTACACAACTTAATATTTTTAATAAGGCATAAACACTTCCCGAAGTATCGATAAAAAAGCAATGGAAAAGGGCTGCATTTAGCGTTCATTACATCGCATAGTGAACATGCAATTAAAAAAATTAAAATCGATAATACAAGTGTAAATATTATTGTTCGGCGTGGACGGACGTAAATTTGAATTAAATCGCGCGCAAAATTAGGTTTGGGCAGAATTTAGAATTTCGATTTACGATAAAATTTATTCCACGTGCTCGGCATTTCACTACAACTCACAGTCTTGTATTTTAAGGCCTTTATTGGAAGAGTTTCCACTCTTAAAGTTAACAGTATAATGTATTTGCTCCCAAAATAATCCGCAAAAATCGATACGAACAAACCCTTCAATTGATTAATATAAATAGCAATATTATAAATAAAATTATTATAAATAAAATTTCGCGATAATCGAATTCTGGGCCAAACCTGATTTTTTTAAAACTAAACAAAACGAAAAAAAAATGCGTAAGGCCACAAAAAAAATCAATCGATTTGTTGTAAAGCATCCAAAATCGGCGAATCGGCCTGTTTCTAAAAACATTAAATTACTCTCTAACAATAAATTATTTACCATAAAAACTTAAAATGCAATGAATGATAACAAATCAACGTTCGTGTTACTTCGATAATTTACTGATCACTCTGATTAGAGCACCGTTTTCATCTTTTAATCTCTGGTTTTCCGACTTCAAATTCTCCAAATTCTGAAACAAAATAAAGACCGCCATCAATTCCAGTCCGGATTTAATTAATTCCAGCCAAAACAGCCGCATTTCCTACGAGTTTTATGGAAAATGCAGCTGTTGTGTGCCTTCACGATAAAAAGAAAATACAACAACACCAACAACGAAAATACTGCCAGCTAACAGATTAACAAAAATGGCTATACAGATGAGCGAATGAATGGGAAAAATAATAACTATATTCGTCCAAAACTAGTAGAAATAACGTTACTTACTACAGCAAGTAAATATTTCAGTATTGAGTGATAATATAAAATTGGAAAAGTATAAAAAACAAACTAGAATCAATAAAGACTTTGAGCTATTTTATTTAAACGCAATGTGAACCCCCTCGAAAAGTGACTAACACATATCGCCAATTTTCATTACATAATTAAAACTAATTTCGACTCGTTTTGGATATTTTTAGCCTTTCCGAAATGCCTGTACAGTAATTAAATCGAGCCTAATGCTTTTAGCGAACGGAGCGAGCTCAAAATGCGTTAGTAATCTACAAAATCCCGCACGCAAAAAATAATGAAACACACAAATAAGATTTTAGTGCTATAGGCAAAGCTGTTACGTGTAAAAACGAAAACAATTCAACTAAAACAAAACGCCACTAGTAAATAATTTCAACTAACGACAAAAATAATAAAAATAACGATCAAAAAAACGCTTGAACAAATACAACAAACATCGTGTGGTTTTCTGAAATCTTTTTTTTTTGATCTAACTTATTTTTACCTATTACATTGCAGAGTTCGTAAGTTTGTTGATGACGCGTGTAAGTGATCTGTTGTCAGCCTTAAGGCGTTCGTTCTCGGCTTTCAGTTTTTGCAATTGCTAGAAACACAAATGAATTTGTTTTGGTGAAATTTTTCCGGCGCAATTCCCATCGAAATCCAGATAAATGTGAAATGGAAACGATTCGTACATGTCGTAGACATCTCTGCGTGTAATGAGTGGTAGGCATCGTGTTAAATGTATTTTAGATATAACTACTCGGCTTTGCCTATTGCTTTCGAAGTGAACAAAAAAAATAAATAAAGTACGATTGCGCCTTCTACGTGTAGCATAAAAATATAACCTGCCTATAGGCGATAGATAGTTCAGAATAAGAGAAAAAGGAAATGAAGAAAGTGACACGAAAAACTCGACCTACGTACCTTCAATTCTTCCTCCATTTCACTTAGTTTTCTCTCCATCGCCCTCCTTTCGCGCTTTTCGAGTTCAGACAAAGAATTTTTACTCGTCTGCAATAGGAAATATCAAACGTCAACGGATTCGTTTATCAAAACTACTCCACCATCGTTCGTCAAACGCCACACAAAAACAATACAGAATCGTAAATTTTTCTCACCACCAAATTGATTTTCTCCAACGTCTGCTTCGTCTCTCTGAGCTCCTCGTCGTTTTTCCTCAGCTTCTCTTTCAGTCTGTCGTTTTCGGCCAATTCCTGCTCGTACAACTTCTTGTAGTCGATCTCACCGTTCTCGTTTCGAATATCCGACGTGCTGCCCAATCTCGACTTGCTACTCCGATCGGTACCGCTCTAAACAACAAAAAAAAACTCGTTTAAAACCCACCGCGTACAACTCGAAACCAAATCAACCGTCCGAAGTACACTCACGATATATCCTTCGGAATTCAACGAAGTCAAACTTATAGACCTCGATCCCATGGAGCCCAACGACCCGCGCGACCTCGACAACGACCTCTCCCTGTAGCTGCCCGCCCTGCCCAAATCCCTGTCCCGTCGCGACGAGTGCCCCGCGTCCCTGCCCAAACCGTCGCCGTAATCGTACTTTTTCGCGTAGCTCTGCAACAGGTTCTTGGCCGGTATCTTCAAGCTGGCGTAGCCGCCGGTGGCGGACGCGCCGCGATAGCCGTTGGGGAAATAGGGGCTCTGGTAGCTCGAACTCGGACCGGCGTAGCTCGACAACGACGAGTAAGGGCCGGCGGCGGAGCTCGCGTAGGGCGAGCCGTAGGGGTTCGAGGTGTAGTGCCCCATGCTCCGCGGGCGGTTGTACGAGGACGAGGCGGAGCCGGTGCGCACCGCCGACGAGGAGCGTCGCCGCGGAGTCGCGTTTTGTTTGCTGAAGAACGACATGTAAAAGGTGGCGAGAACTCGTACGCTCGCAAGCTCGGCGTGTTTTGAGACGGGTTTTTTTTTGTCGTACGTGCACGTGAAACTGAACACAAACAGTCCAAATCTCCCTCCACCCGGCTATTTTCGCGCGGTAATAATTCGGTTTTTCTATATTTACGCGCGGCACGAGCGCGACAGCGGTAGCGAAAAGGTGTAGAGCGCTGGGTTAAAAATACCGGGCGCACAGGTGGTCGAGGTAAGGGGGTTTTCAGGAAGTCATACGCGCTCGGTATTAAAACGAATTACTATAAATACACGCCGGGCGCGTCGAAATTGCTCCTGACAAATTACCATCTATAAAACCTGGGCAAATTACGCGGCCCGGTCGTTGCATAACGAACGAGCGAATATTTGAGAAATTCGAGGGATTTGAGATGTTTACCGATGGAATTAAGAGATATTCGCATTGTGTATGCGCCTTGCGAAATTCGAATTCCCCGCGGATTTTGATTTTATTGTACAAAAAAAAACGAAATAACGGAGAAAATGACGGTACGTTAAGGCTATTGACCCAGATGTCTCGACGAATTCGTCCCAAATGTTTATGTTATAAGCGACTACAAATAAATTTAATAGGTGACATTTTTTGACGCGCTTATAGATGGGCAGCGTTGCGCAATAAAATTAACTATTTTTATTTCGACCTACCTATAAATAAGTTATAGTCCGTTCGCCATCAGGAGGTAGTTAAAGACCTGATTTTGAGAGTGATTCAACCAAAGAATCGCAAAATTCCAAAACATTAAAGCTTTTACCATAGTGTAATAGTAATGTTTATTTTACTTTAGTAACACCACTCTGTATACAGGGTATTCAACAATAGACTACTCTATTCTAATAACAGATAAAGTGACTTAAAGTCGTGCTTCAGGTATGCTAAATAGATACTAAAAGGATCAATATCACCTGATAGCGAACGGAGTATAATTATGTATATAACACGATCTAATCTCGAGCCTAATTTAATTGTTATTACAGCGAAAGTGACGAATCTAAATGAGCGAACAATAACAAATCTGTTGGGTTATCAAAAGCGATTTTCTGGCTCGAATAATGCACCAAATTGCCCGAAAAACGAATCGCACGAAGCGGCTAAATTTAGCGATGAGATTTCGTGGAAACTTTTGGGAAACGCCGGCGGGTTATTTCAAGGTGTACATGTGTTTGCGTACGTGCACCGATAGGTACATTTAAACAAATAAATAAGAAAAAAAAATGACCGCCCACTCGGTTTTACTCGCAACTCGCGAAATTTCGTTTATAATGAGCTCTAAGCCGAATTGGAAGCGCAACAATGAGATGAAAATAGAGAATTAGACGTGCAATGACGCGCTGAAAGTTCAATGTTAGTACATTGTTTGCCAAAAAAAATTAATTTTCAAAAATTACTCATCCTTCGAAACGAGAGGGTAATTAGAGCGTTGTGTAAAGAACAACGTTACTCGACACAAACCATTAGAACAGGAAGGTTACAATCGGCACATAATAAGTTTGTTTATTATTCCGAACGTTATTCGTATTTACTAGAGCGTCGAAATGTAGAAGGACGAAGGATTTACGCGTTAGAAAAATGCACAATATCAGGGTTAAAGCGCTATTTTTTCGCCGGGCGATTTGTTTTTCCAAACGTTACTTTCTGATCGAACGTAAACAGCCGAAGCGAACGCGTTAAATCGATATAATAAATTAATTAACGCGCCGCGTTTACATTAAAAAAATAATATTGGCTTACGAACGTTTCGAGTCAATCGACCACCATTTAAAAATAAATCGCCGATTATATTTAGCTCTCTATTTAGATTAATCCGAAATAATTTACTTTCGAACGTTTCGATCCCATAATAATCGTTCTTTTCCCATTACACACCGAAACATAAAAATTTGTATTCATTCGATATGTGAAAAAATAACGGTTATTTTGTTACAGTCGTTACTGCACCTCTATACCAAAAAATCGATTCGCACCTCTATTACACTTCTGTCATACGAACTGTCATTAATGTCAATTAAGTCAAATTTGTTAGTTTTTGTTAGGTATGATCGAACGCATCTTATAGTCCCACTTAAACGCGTATTTTAGTGCGGAATTTCAGGTAAATCCAACGGTGCACGACTAACTTACCTCCAAATGATTTATTTTAGTAGTATCATCACAGTCTTTTCCACTCGAAGAATCCTTTTCTTGGTCCAAATCCTGCCAAAACGAAGCATTATAACAATTCGATCGATCGAATTTAATCGATTGCAAACTTACGTCGACGTTATCGAACGAAACGACGCCCGTCGATCGCCTCTTCGGCCTCCTTCTCCTCTGTATAGCTGCCTGCGTCGCTAACGTAGCCTGCGCGTTTCTAATGTCGTTCTCTTTATCTTGATCTACGAGCCCAAAAATACGTTAAAACGAACGTTCGATCGTACACGAACTAGTACCTTTCTCTTCCACAGATTTGGGTTTCCTCAACGGTAACGTTATCGTCGTATCCGCCGTCTCCAACGAAGCCGACGGCGGTCTTTGAACGATGTTCGAAGCGGGATTGCTTCTACGGATAAACGACGGGGTGCTCGGCAGCTCGCTGGCCGGTTTCGTGGCGTCTTCCAGCAGAAACTGCAACAATTACTAATTAACCGGGCGCGTTCTCGTGGACGTTTCGCGAGGATCCTTCACCTTACTGGAACCGTTGTCGACTCTCAATCTCCACGAAGGCCTTCTTTCGTGTATCGCGTTAGGCTGTTCTTCGTTGTCTCTCGTCAAAACCGTAGTGGTACCGGTGGTGATGGTGGCCGTCACGACGACTCCGTTCGGTGAATCACCAGACTAAAATACGAATAGAATTTAGTACCTATACACTTTGCTCGATACGATTTACTTTTGTATCGTTGGTATTATTGGCGGTGCCGCCGTTGGATTGGTTCTTCTGCTTCACCAGCTGCTCGGCCGATTTGATCTCCTCCAAAGTGACGCCTTGCGTCGATCGGCGCGTCTCTCTCACCCGCTTGGCGTGCGCCTTTCGCTGCGTCTCGCTCTCCTCGTCTCTCACGGGCGGCACGAACGATCTGCGGAAGGTGACAAATTGTAGCGACAACCGCACGGGGTTTTTCGTGATTAATTCGCAAGCGATTTTGTTAGCTCGGCGACCGGTTCGAAGCCAAACGGTCCCGTACGAAACGCACAAAACACTCGAATCTGTCATGCATAAACGGAGGAATTGGATTAACACCGCTCGATCGTGTCCAGTACTCGAATCGAGTCGATGGGAGGGTAGCCGAGGGCGGGCCGAACACGATTAAAAAATAAACCTACAATCACGCCAACCTACTTAAAGAAGTTTTTGAGCATCTGAAGCCTCGTCCCGCCCGGCGTCGTCGGCGTCGCGGGCGTCGCGCCGCCGACCGGGCTCGGCGGAGACGCCGCGGATTTGGCCGGCGGTACGCCTATTTGCAACTTTAGACCGCTAACGGCGAACAACAAATAGAAAAATGAATATAACGGCGTATCTGATCGGTTTCGAGAACTGGATTATTTTCAGGATAATCGGCGATATTTACCTTCTCAATTGTTGGTTGTTTGTCGATTGCGGGCTGGTAACCGGCGATGGTTTTTCCGGCGATATGCTCGTCGCTGTGTTGGTAGCTACTGTTACTGCGAGACTCGTTGGAACGTCCTTTTTCTCCTCTTCCTTAGTCCTGATAAAAAAAACGAACGTTTTTAACTCGGTTATTACAAAAGATATATGCAGGAGATCGAATAGCCACACAAACAGAGGCCACAATCAGAAGAGCTTGTATTAAATTAATTCGACTTACTTTGGCTCGTTCAGCGGTTTCCTTAAAGTTATTTCGGCGTCAATTTTCGCGTCAGTTGAATTAGTCGTGCCTGCAATGGAAACATTATAGAATATTCTCGATAATACAAAACTTATAAATTAAAAAATAAATAAAATCAACCTACTGTTGCTAGCGTTTATCTTCGTGGGGCTCGAGTCCGAATTCTGCTTGGTCAATTTCCTCTTTACCGTCTCCTGCTCATTGTCGTCGACTATTTTTTGATTGTTGGTGGAGTTGCTCGTGATTTCATTGTTCGCACTTACGGCGTTTAATTTATTCTTCTTTTCTGCAAAACCAAAGAGAAATCGAATGAAAAAAAATATTACAGAACGTTAGGTAACTAATTAACAACGATTCAGACATAGTATAGAGCGAGTTAATTCAATTAGTATGGTAAAATATCAACCGTTTATTTAGGAATAACAAATGTGTAAGAAAAAAGGATACCTTCGAAATAAAAAAAGCGTCCGAAACGCCCTATCCTGATTAAGGATACGTTATATTTCGCTAGCAACATGGCGATAATACACAGTATTAAATTAATCATTAAATCACCATTACCGGGCCACCTTTTATTATGTTTCGCGAATGATTGAATACATTGAAACAACACGAAGCATTTTTAGCCATCAAATCAGTGTCGAATCATCTTTCAATAGCGCCGAATTCGTTCGGAATGCCATAATTTGTTTTGCGATCGACGCGAATCATTCAAAAAAATGTATCGAAATCCTCCTATTATTGTACCGGAGCATTTTTTTTTGTACCAACCTATTAATTGTTAATTACATCGATGTACGTTTAATGCTGTATTAGAAAAACGATTAGTAACTGTACATTTATTAAATTTACCCTCATCCGAGCTCTCTGATTCCGATTCAGAGCTGCTTTCGGTCGTTTCCGAATCCGATTCGCATTCACTTGACACGTCCATGTCTTTATAGCGGCAAGAAAACAAAGAGAACAATACGATTAGTTAATTTGATAACATTTCTTTCGTCGTACTATCTTTTATAATACTAAAAAAAAGGAAGTTTCTTCCAACAAATCGGAAAATAAATACGCAATTATTAATAATCTAAACTACAAGCTGTATACGGGGTGTTAGTTAATTGAGTGCCGATACTTCAGGATGTAAATATTTGGATGATTTTAAGAAGAAAAGTTTAGGACATCTATTGATAGAAACGTTTCTTCTTAAAATCATTCTGAAGTATCGCCACTCAATTAATTAACACCCTGTATAAAATTATTACAGTCCTAACTAACAATAAGCTTGTATCGAGCGAAAGCGACAAATACGCACCGGTATCTTCGATAACTTTCGATTCATTCTCCACCTTAACATCGACCTTTTTGACTTTATTAGGCGTCTCCGATTCCAAATTCCTATCGTTCACGTCCACCCTCTTCTTCGCCATTCTCCTATTGAACACGTCCTCTTTGTTTTGCTTCTTCCTCAGTTCGTCCATGTACGGCGACATGTCGCTGTCGCACAAGTCAAGCGCTGTTTGTCCCTACAAAAAAAAAACCACCGATTATTTACTAATAAAAAATCCACAGTAAATCAGATGCACGTACGACGAAATTTTTAGTTTCCATGTCGGCCAAATTTTCAGCCAAAATCTGGCACACCTCTTTGTGTCCCCAATGGGCGGCGGCGTGCAACGCGGTCCATCCCTCGTTGTCCTGAGCGTCTATATCCGCGCCGCATTGCAACAATATCCTACAAAAAAACCAAGTAGAAATACATTCGCAATACTGCGCAATTTATTCTCTAACTTGATGACCTCCGTGTAGCCCTTGGCGCAAGCCACGTGCAACGCCGTCACGCCGTTCTTCGATTGGGACGAATTCACCAAGGGACTCTTCGTTGCCAACCAATCTTTCGCATCTCGCAACATCAACGTCTCCTCCTCGTTCCTCGCCGCCTCGCAATCGATACCTGCATCATCAATTTCATCAATATACACCTTCTACAACCTCACCGACAGTGTAGGGTAAGCTCAGGAAGAGTAGGGGAATGTAGAGAAGGGAAAAGAAGGGTAGGGAAGTGTAGAAAAGAGCAGGGAAGTGTAGAGAAGAGTAGGGAAGTGTAGAGAAGAGCAGGGAAGTGTAGAGAAGAGTAGGGAAGTGTAGGGAAGTGTAGGGAAGTGTAGAGAAGAACTGGGAAGTGTAGAGAAGAGCTGGGAAATGTAGAGAAGAGTAGGGAAGAGTAGAGAAGAGTAGGGAAGTGTAGGGAAGTGTAGAGAAGAACTGGGAAGTGTAGAGAAGAGCAGGGAAATGTAGAGAAGAGTAGGGAAGAGTAGAGAAGAGTAGGGAAGTGTAGAGAAGAGCAGGGAAGTGTAGAGAAGAGCAGGGAAGTGTAGAGAAGAGTAGGGAAGTGTAAGGAAGTGTAGAGAAGAGTAGGGAAGTGTAGAGAAGAGTAGGGAAGTGTAGAGAAGAGTAAGGAAGCGTAGGGAAGTGTAGAAAAGAACTGGGGAGTGTAGAGAAAATCAAGGAAGTGTAGAAAAGAGCAGGAAAGTGTAGAAAAGGGTAGGGAAGTGTAGAGAAGAGTAGAGAAGTGTTGGAAAGTGCAGGGAAAGGCAGTGAACAGTAGGGCATCGTGGGGTAGCGCGGAGAAGAGTGGGAAATGGTCGAGGAGTTTTGTGGACTCGCCTCGCGCGTCGATCTCCTCTTTGAGCAGCTCCTCCATCTTCTGGCATTCGGCGATGTCGATGGCCAGCTGGCCGTCGTTGTTGACCGCCGCGACGTTGGCGCCCTTCTCCACCAGGTATTTGGCGATGGAGAGGAAACCGCAGCTGGCGGTGGCGTGCAGGGGCGTCCAGCCCTCGTTGTCGCCCCTGTTCACGTCCGCCCTGTTCTCCACCAGGAATTCCACCATGTCCAGATTGTCGTCGATGCATGCCTGTCGAAAATGGCGCAGAGAAAACGTTTATTATTCGCTAGATTAATGATAGTAGAATGGTCCATTAACTACTCTACTACGGAAATAAAATGTAGTTGGTTCTATTCAGTAAGCGATTCGAATCGATGTGATTATTTCTCGATCGGTCCAGTAGGAATTATTATTAGCGATTATGCCACAGGCGGTTTCGAAATTCGCGGTCGTTGAACGACGTCTTCGCGGCGTCGGGACGCTAAATGCGACTGTATGTGATAAATTGCGGCGCATGGAAATGTTGTATTGAATCGGTTTCGAAACGTACAAGTCGATAATCGAGCTTGTGCGATTAGAAAATGCGAGTTTTTCGGGCGTTCGTAGCGGGATAAATACGGCCGTATAATAGAAATGGCTGACGTCAATGACATATAAAAATAGCAAAGATTGTCGAGACTGGATGCTGAACGTTTTCGTACAGCGAACAGATTCGCTTTAATCGACTTCCAGTCGTATTGGAAATTCCAATTAAACTACGCTAAACTTGCGTACAATAATACTCATTTAATACAACCAAAAAAAAAGGTTATTTTTAAGGACAAACATCCCTGTATAAGAGGCAGCAATAGGTCTCCTTTCCACAGAAGATTGCTCGTATATTCCTCGGGACATCCTGTACATAATACTTTTAATAGAGCGATTGAAAAATGGCGGGGTCCGGCCCTGACGCGTTATCGTTATCTCGGTGAAATACGACGTTACGAGTCCCGTTTTTCATTTTTAGCAAATGAGTTATTAATATCGAATGTAACACGCTGCGAGGCCCGTACATACGGGCGTAATATACGTGCATATACATCAAATCCGGAGAATCTCGGCTACGAAATCGACTTATGGGAGAATTTTGATTTATCGAGGCGTTTTCAAGGATTCCGACGAAACGGTTTTTTAAAAATAATCCCGAGTAAAACGTTTTTTATAGTCGAATTTCTGGAGATTTTACTGCCTCCTTTGTGTCGCAAATTAAATATTAAATTTGTTTGCATTATCACTAAGTTATTGACTTGAATTATATAATTATATGACTCAATTATCATCAAACAAATAGGCGAATAATTCATCATCTACAAAAATACTTTGTAATACTTAGATTAGATTTCGAATTGTTGAAATACTCATTTGCATGTTTCTTTTTGTTTACAAACACGATGAGAGTTGTAACATTTTATAGAGTAAGGAAAGTATAGAGTTATGGATGTTCCTGGAACTATTATTACAAACATTTAATCGTTTTAATTGAATGCGATTCATTTATCAATGTGTAATTGTTATTTTTTTGCTTATTCCTCTAATGTTATGAATTCGTTATTTTTGTCATGCTGTAATCCTGTAATCTACAAAATCAGTTAGATAGGTAAAAAAGCAGGAACGATGAGAAAAATATTTTTAGAATAATTAGGTATTGAAACGTGTGTTGTTATTACAAAATGAGCGGTATTCGTCTATTTTAGTAAATGTGCTAAATGAGTTATATACTATAAATATACCAGTTGGGTTTGTGTGTGCTTTTACAACTGAACTATTAGGGCACTATAAATCAGCGAGTCGTCAGCTGTAGTAGCCATATTGATGGAATTTACGTCATTAAATCCAGGGCACTTTCTGCCACAGGTGGATGTTCAAAATCTATTTTTTACCTGATGCAAAGCGGTTAGACCGTCCACATTCGCCGTGTTGATGTCCGCGCCTTTATGTAACAGTTCCAACACCTCTTTTTTATCACCAGCGGCACACGCAGCCAAAAAAACACATCCCGAAGAGAATTTAACTTTGCGAGATTTCTGTTTCGGTGTCACTGGTTCCCGATTCGTATCGGATTCCTCCCAACGCTTCAACTGTTCCGCCCTTTTGAACAGGGCCGAGGAGGATCGAGTCTCTAACGACATGGTTATTTAATAGTTTTAGATTACACACGGTCGGACACCATTACTAAATAAATTGTACCAATAAAATTTCTAAATTCTTGAAGCACATCACAGAGGGTGCGGTTGGCGGACTGCAAAATAAACTTACTAAACTTCAAAAATCTATTGCCAACATTATAAAACTTAACGCACCAAATTGAGACTTGTGCTAGTCGGTTACGCACTTCTGTTCTGCCTATTTCATAAGTACGTTTTTTTGTAATAAAATTTTATTTATTTAAATTAATAATCACTTTAATATAATTAGTTATATCTTTTGCAATGCGGCAATCGGAATATTATTCAATATTTTCAATAAAACAAACAAATGATCAATAATAATAAAAGAAGAACGGAAAAGGAAATTGACGAGTTGTCAACTGTCATTTGTCAAATGTATTTCCGATTTCCGTTTTCCGTTCCTATCCGTCTTCCATCTTCCATCTGTTCCACAATCTTTCATTTTGTATCACGCGTTGTACATGTTATGGTGTTTGTAGTAAACGTGTTGCCGATAAATTACTAAATATTCCTTTTTGAGTTGAATAACATTATAAATGTAATGTCCTAATCGCATAGATTTCATTTAACTCGTTTCCGATAATTTAATAAGACAGTTTTTTTTATCAAATATTCGTGAAATACTTGAGGTAAGTCATCCATTTTTGTTTGAGTTGGCGTCAGTTGTAACTTGATTACGTTAGTTTTATCCTAATATAGTGTTTTAATTGAATTTTTAACAATTAATAGTGACCGATGATGCCCAGAGGTCGCGGGTACTCCTCGAATCACAGGGGCTACCGCGGGGGCTCCTACAGAGGAAACTCATCATGGAGCGGCAGTTCCAATCGCGGGGGTTACTCGGGCTCCTCCGCGTACAATTCATTTTCGACGATGGAAACGAAAAACCCCTACGAATCCAAATACAAATACTCCAATTCGGAGAGGTTTTCTAGGTCAGACGATTACCACAAATCCTACAGGTCTAATGTAAGTTGTAGGTGTTTATTATATCGGTTAATTTGTGTTAATTTATTTAAATTTGCGATAGAATTACAATAGCAACGTCGGTAGAGAACGGAGGTCCCCGCCGGAACGTAAACGAATGAGATTAGATGTAAGTAAATAGTAGTTAAATTAAGTTTGTAATAGATACTTCGAAATGACCAAGTTAAGATATCTACATAATAAAGAAGAAGCTGGAAAAAGAAGAAATAACTTTCAAGAATTCTGCGAAATACTCGAAACAACAAACAACACGACTAAAGGGACGTTGAATGTAACTTAACACTAAAACGTTGACAGTATCTTCTAGGTTATCACGAAGATTATACGATTAGAGAAAGCGAATAAACACGTAAACCTTTGTCGTCCGAGGGTTTCGAGACGAAGAGCCATCGGAGACGAACCGACAGCGAAACAAAACAAAAATTGATGAAAATTAATCTGTGTTGTTCAGGCGCCGAGTTCGCGGCACGAAAGTTACTATGGCTCGAGCAGACACGAACCGCCGCCGCCTCCTCCGCCTTACATAGAACGAAGACTGTCGAGCGAGCGCCATCAATCGACGCCGTTTGCCAGGCGCGAGGAGTTTCGCAGGCCCCAGAGCCCCCCGAAGCGCGGCTCGCTGCGCGGCAAATTTAGTCCGAGAGGGCAGAGGGGCCTGCGGTTCGCGGGACGCCCGATGAGACGACGGCTAGTCGATAGCTCGTACGTGGTACGCAAGAGAATTGTACCGCGCGGATCTGACTACGCTCGAAGGATTAAGTTGTCTGGGTTGAGGAGGTAAATACCGTTCACAATGAGTTCTTTTAAAATGCAGGATTAACCAAAAAAAATGTAATGTATAAAAAAAAAGATAGGTTTTTTTCTCTCACGAATGTTTAGAGTTTTTCGGCGAGTACCTGAAGTGTGCCGGTGGATTCTAGAGTTTGCGAATAACGGCTGACTGGTTGGAAATTGAGGAAGTTTGTAATATTTTGAGGTGGTTTTGTGACGGGGGATCTTTCAAGAGACAAATTGTTGATTCATAAAATAACGCGAGATTGTCGTCTTCTTGACAGATGTAGAAAGTAATTTTTACAATGCCAAAACGCCTCGAAATATTTGTGTGTTTACCAAAGAGGTAAAATATTTTTAAAGGAAAAATTGCCACGCTGCCAAACCGTAATTTTGTTGTTCTCCTGTGGATAATTACTAGGCACGAAAATGGAAAATTGTTCAATAAAACCGATATAAAACGAAAGTATTATGGAAGACGTTTAGTATCGTTTCAAAAAACGGATCGATGAAATCATTTTTACGAATAGAAACTCCGATAAAACCTGAACGAGAAAAACTCGATAATTAACGATCCTACTGAATAATTAAATGAAGATTTTACGTTTTCTTTAAAAATATAACCGTCTTGATGAATAGCTAAATTAATCTTTCGAGAGTTTTTCATCCACAAATTATTATTTAATTCGTTCCGCAAGAAATTTGATGAAAACCTACTAGAAAAATTTGGAAATTCCACGTCTACAATATATTTTAAGTTTAATTTGACAAAACCAACCTTGTTACTTGGGCAAGAAACTATGTATATCAAACGTTTCATAGATTTCTAATCACACAAGGTGATAGCAAAAACCTCATTTAATCCCGGACGGTAATTCGAATTGCCCATCCGATTCATGTTGGGGTGACAATTTCAACGAATTTCATATTATTCTCACAACAATCGCCGTTCTCTCCTAAATCTTCCCTTATTTTTCCCTAACAGCGGTATAGCGGGCAGAAAGCGCCAGCCGCTCCGGCCTAAAGAAGAAGAAGACGAAGAAGATGAGGAGGAGGACGACGAAGAACCGCCGATGAAAGTCGAACGAATCGAGAAAATCGAAGAAAAACCCGTCGAAGACGATTCGGAAAAAATGGACGAAGAGAAGCGAAAGCGCAAAGCCTTCATCAAGCTGCACTGTCCGCATTGCGGCATGAAAGCGGTGACGTTCAGACGGTACGAGATCCACCTGCGCGGCCGCGCCCACCTCATGGCCATGCGCAAGATCGCCCTCAAGCAAAAGGCCATCATCAAGCAGATGCGCCAGGCGCAACGGAACACCCAGAACGAGCTGGAGAAGAGCTCCAACGAGGACCTGAGCAGCCGCACCAACTTTTGCCCGTTGTGCAAGCTCAACTACAAGCAAAAGAAGACCGTCCATCAGCTGTCCGAGTCGCACAAGAACATGAAGAAGTTTCTGATGCCGTTTTGCAAGGTGTGCAACATTTCGTTCAAGAGTCCGATGGTGTACGAGAACCATTGTTGCTCCATCGATCACATCAAGGTGAGCTCGATATTTTAATATCTTTAGAGATTATGGCCTTTTACATGATGCTTAACCATCTTTCGGGTCTGAGTTTCAATCTGAACGATAACATACCTAATACTGATAAAAATTAACACCAATATAAAAATGACTACTTATTTTGTTCTATATACTAATTATATTTTGTTGTAAATAGCGTAAACAACGTATGGAGAACAGCGATGGTTCCGGTGAGGAAGACAATTTGGAAAATTTCACCACAATCGATTCCGTAGGAGATGTTGATGGTGAAGGTGAGTCGTTAAAAATAATATAATTTCATTCTATTATGCCTCGTTAATTGGGCAAGAAGCTTTAAAATTAATTTTAATGACTTCTAATCACACGTGGCTATATCGAGCATCTCGTTTAATCCCGGACTGCACCAAATTGCATAGCCGATTCATGGCGAGATTACAATATTTATCTACAACCCAATTTTTCCCCTAAATAAAATAACGCAACTAAAAATCATAAAACTCTCCACAGGTTCGGAAGTTGAAGAGAAGAAAGACGACGAAAAGGAAGTTCCTTTGAACGTTGGTATCGAGAAGATTCGAAAAATCGAAGCGTACTATTGCGACATTTGCAAGATGTACCTGCAAAGGGGCGAGGAGTCTGAAATTCCGAAGATACTCGGCAGGCATTGCAAGCAGCGCGTCCACGTGACTCGTTATCATCGCATGAAAGAGGCGCAGGAGAGCGAGAAGAAGATGGCGAAGAAGGAGGCGAGCGAGACGGAGGCTGCCAAGCAGGAAATCGTCGAGAAGGATAAAACTAAGGACGAAGAGGAGGCGAAGGATGATAAATTGTGGGCTGACGTCGATAAGGATTTGGGAGATATATTGGCCGAAGCAGAGTCGGGAATTAAAAGTTCCGATGAAGATGAAGATTCTCACGTTAATGGTGAACGTTATGATAGGTGAGAATATAAATTTTATTTATATTTTTCTATAGGATTATGGTCTTTTACATGATGCTTAACCATCTTTCGGGTCTGAATTTCAATATGAACGATAACATACCCACTGCTGATTTAAATTGATACCAATTAATTATTGTGTTCGTATGCTTATGCAAAATTAATGTTTTTGTTTTAATGTGAATTCTATTTCTTTTTCAGATTTAAACTGAGTAAAAACGGCGATGAAAAACTGATGAGCGCCGATGAAGAGGGAATATTAGATAATAAGTTGATTACAGAAGGCGAAACGAAGAAATAAATTAAACGATAAGTTAAAATAAAGGTAGTGTTAGTTTCTTTATTGTGAACTTTGAATAATTTAATCTATGATAGAGGTAATTTAATTTCTTTTTTATCGTAGTAAATAAAGTGTTATACACTAATAATTTTCAATTTTATTTTACCCATTTTTCTCATAATTCAGGAGTGATTCGAAAAGGTTTGATGTTATACCCAAAACTAATCCTTTTTAAAAAAAGTTTACTTATGTATACTTCTTAAAACAAAAATATTACAGGCGGACAGAAATAAATGCAATAAAAACATTAAGGAAAACAAAATAATAAATACTTTTTTTATCTAATGTACAAAAAATACTACTAGTCTTATTTTATAGTAACATTCATTTTACATTTATAATTAACTAAAGAACAGTCGATTATTGTTTCGATTACGTTAAAAGCACTACCATGTCATAAAATTTAAGCAAATCATTTTTTTTTACTTCTGTTAATCAAAAACTTACAAAATAAATTACAACTTTTAATCTGGAAGTGCTTTTAAAATTACAAACTTTATTATAGAAAATCAACGTATGGTTTATTCCTTAACCATAATGCTAAGGTATCCAACAAAACCGAATGATTCCCGAGTTTCAACTTCAAATAAAAAAAAAGAAAGTATTTGCCATAAAATATAACTATTTACCGAGGTGTAGTTAATTCTTGTTACATCATTGAGTAACAGTATAAATTTCAGTTTAAGACAAATTGAATAAATTATTCCGGCGAATGCAGAACATTTTCAATAGTACACATTACAAATTAAATCAGGTAAGTAAAAATCTTACTAGTTAATGAATGAAACATTACTCTCAAATATGTCTACGACAAAAAAATAATCCGATAAATCATACCATATGCAAATTTACCTACATACTTTCAAATCGCCAACTTGCAAAAAAATGCACGAATTAAAAATATACATTATTTTTACAACTTACTTAAACCAGGACGATCTTTAACCAATAAAATCACTGTTTATAGCGATAGTTTTTGTGAAAGTTCTTATGATGAAAAATGCGCCTGTGCCTGTTGCCGCTATAAAAAGCTTTGTAGTTTCCGTTACCGTTGTTATGCTTCCAATTCTTCGTATTATGAAATTCCTAAAACAAAAACCACTCAAATATCTACCAAAAAAAAAACGCGTTCGATTACACTTACTTGTATCGGATTATAACCAGGATTCGATTTGAAATTAGTCGCCGAACCGAGCTTCATCTGCTTCACGCGCCCCTGATCCGAACTATCCGGCAAACCTCTCTTCCGATCCTCCCGTCTCTCGTTCTGCACCTCCTTCTCCAACGTCGACTTCGACCCGTCCCAAGACGACACGGGCGCCGTATAACCGGCATGCGACAATTTAAACAACTCGTCCACAACCTACGAAAACCATCGGTCAATTATCCCAACCTCTACTCGACTAGATTCAATCACCTTGTTATTTCCTTTAGTTCCGCTACGTTCCTTACTCTTCAGTCTCGTCCAAACGCTGTTCTTCGACGGCAACTCCTGCCCCACGTCGGTGGACGATGTCACGTGCCAATCGCCTACAGCCGCTTTGGTGGATACTCTCGAACCGTGCTCGCTGGCCGATTGATTGGAATCGTACGAGGAGCTGCTGTCGTCCGATTCGTACGGTACCAGCGGCTTCGTCATCGGCGACGTCGTCTCCACCGGTTTCTTCTTCGTCGATACCGGACTCGGAGATTTATCGGCTACAACAACAAAAAAAATCGATATATAGTACGATACGTTTCGATTCGATACAGCGATTCGATGATAAACGGCGCAATATGGATAAACGATGTGTACCTTTGTTAGGTGTCACGTCGGGGCTGGAGAGACTCGAAATGCTCGTGGAAATGTTGGGAGATGAGGGAGATGATGATTTCTTACGGGCGTTCGTATCGACAGTCTCATCGCAAGTGGAACTAATGTCGTCGTCTTTGATAACTACGTCATTCTTATTACTACAATTATTACTAGTCGATGATTCGATTGCGATATCACCGTCGGAGTCTTGTTCGCTCGAACTACCCGACGTCGAATCCAATTCGCCTTAAAACAACGAAACCCGATTGTCATGATACATTACAAACGGATGAAGATAAACGATTGTTGTTTCGTTTATATTCGCCCCGTACACGGCCGTATATTTCTAAGGTCTGGAAACTACCTATGACAGTTCAAGCTGTCAAAACTTCAACAATTATTTTTTGACATTTCGAGGAGAAAATGGAGAAATACATTAACCGAAGATACATAAGGGATGATGTTAAGTTGTTCATCGCTGATTTAAGTGTATTTAAATATTTTGTATCTATTTTTAGTTTGAATAAAACCTTTTTTTAATGCTAATTCATAGGCAAAAAAAACCGTGTCCTTTACAACATCCCCTCCTGGCGGTCGGTTTAGGAACCATGTTCTATCTTCAAATAACGGGACTGTTTCCAAACCTCAGAAATATACGACCGTGGCCTTGTATTTACTTATACGAACGCTTACCTTTACCGTTACTACTCGTCACGTGTCCGTTCAACTTCTCCGGTACTCTATCGGGCGGCAGTTCCGGCCCGTAGACCTTATCACTAGTGAAACCTATACCGTTCGAGAACTGTTTAGAGGCACTTGGTACGTTCGAGGAGCTCGCGTTCGACGAACAACTGCTCGAACTGGCTTCGGTGGCCGGAGGAGTTTTCAGCTTGCTAGTGACCGTCGAGGGCTTGGCCGCCTGGCTATACGGAGACGACTCCAGCTCGTAGAACATAATATAGGCGTTTGTATTGAACACGGCTTGGTGAGAAATTGGTCTAACCTATAAATACACAATACGTAAAAATACTCAAACTAAATCGTTGCGTTGTAACTCACCATGCTATCGTCGAATTGATAAAAACTACCGGATGGCGCTTGCGCTACGGCCGTGTAGTGTCCGCAGCTCACGGTGGGCCCCATGTGAGTGACGAGCGCCACCAAACGGTAGATCAGAGGCACGTTCGGGCGGTGTCGAGCAAACTTCGTCAGGTCCAATCTCTGTCTGAAGTTCAGGTGCTTGGTGATTTTGTTGTTGGTCACCGAGAACCGCTTCAATTGTACGCATAGCACCATCGGGGCGCGTTCTAACGAAAACTGCTTGGTCGCCGGTACCTACGAGAACGTACGGTTTCAATATCGAGCTCGCGCAGCCATCGAGAGATTATATATAAAGTACCTTTTTCTGACAGGATTCGCAGTGGTACGATTCGTCGTCGAGCTTCTCCCTGGAAAAGTACAATTCCAGCGCCTCGTCGAGCGTCTGGGCCTTCCGGATGTCGACCAGCAGGTCCTGGAAATGCTGGAAAGTGGTGCTGACGTGACCGCACTTCAGACATCGGACGGCCGATCGCAAGTAACCGCCGAGGATCTGGTTGAGCGGCGTGGTTTCCTTGGTTTTGGAATCGAAGTCGGAGCAGTTCTTGAATCGATTCAAATAAGCCTTTTCCATGGCTTCGACTAGATACCTGAGGAACTCGTGGGCGTCTTCTTGCCGGCCGGGTATCAGATTTCGGCACACCAAACGCAACTTGTTGTAGATCAATAGAGGACGGATTGAGTTGGCGTTACGTTGTTGGGAGTCTTGTAGAGTCTTACGCATCGCGCATATAATGCACAAACCTCCTAGAAAAAAATCACGAAAGATCTATTTAGTAAAACGTTCGGCTAACTAGCTATTAAAAAAAAATCATTCTACCGACTTACGAGGTTAAAACGAAAGGTTAACAACCTGTACGTTTATAGAAATCGAACAGATAGTGTAATAAGTAATGTAAACAAATTACATTGTTCGTTTTCGAATGCTCGACGAAAGATTACGGTAATTAATAACGAACCTGAATCTTGGCAGATGGCAGTGTGATCTTTGTCGGACATTAACCAATTCACTAAAGCGGGGACGTGGAAAAGGGCCTGCAAGGTGGAATTCAAGTAACAGGTGTTCCCCATGTTGACCATACCGGCCCCGATCGACCAATCGCAATTGTTCCAGCCGATCTGCACGGCGCTGAGCGGGAACAATTCGCGCTTGGGGAGCTTCAGCGACTCGTCGGAGTTGGTCTCCTCCTCGGGTTTGCTGCAATTAATTAGGTAATTGGGTTAGGCGATCGGGGGATTTATTTTATTCGTGTGTATATGTTTACCTAGGCGGCGGCGTTTCGGGGCTCGTTAGGACTATGTATTTGGATTTCAGTCGGTCGAGGACAGCGTTTTGGTAGGTGCCCGCCGATTCGAACTCAATATTGGCCAATAGAGCTTTCTTCGTGGAGCCCGCTATTTGCGTATCCAGCGAGTTTTCGGTCGATTCCTTTTTCGATAAGGCTGTCCGTAGGGCATTGTTGACGGTATTCAACGTTGAAGCCGGCATATCTAATAAATATCACACGTGTAAATTAACCAGAAATACCGCGTTATCCGATAGCCGTGCTTGTGGCGAAATTATGTTAACTGTTCTTCCTCTCGTAATGGGGCATATTGGCGAAGTGCATGCCTACGCTGCGGCTCCGTCACACGAAACTACTCGTATTCTACAATTTTATAGGGTTTTTGGTATCCGTGTTTCTGAAAAACACCAACAAAAGCACATTCAACCTTACACAAGTTCCATTGGCAAAATTGTACTCACGTGCGCATGTCCTCTCGCCCCAAGTGTTGTCGTGTCGATATTTTGCGATTCTAACCGATTACACACGATTGCACGAATGACAAGTACGTTCCGTTGGTTATATACCTAACTTCACACTCGTAAGACATTTGACATATACGTCACAACATAACCCAACATTTTCTTTGTAGATGTGTAAATTTTATAATTCCTAATAAAATGGAATCAAATAAAGATAAAGAAAAAGAGCACGTCCTGTCGAAACGTTTGAATAAAATAATCCAAGCTAGAATCGAAAATGACGAGGTACTTATAGATATTTTACGTATTTCATAAAATAATAAACATTGTTTTAGGAGACAATCAATGCATTTAAACAACTTTCGACTTTCTACACCGAAAACAGCCTGCAAGCTCGCAGGAATTTGAGAAGCCAAATAGAAAAACGGAGTCTAAGTATAAACAAACAAATTCTGTCTTCGTTTCTGGAAGTTAAAAATTCCTTCGATTGCATTTACAATGATATCGCTGACATGAGCAAATCGATTCAAGATATGGAAAGTAGATTGCAAAATACGAAAACTCAAACTAAACAACTGTTGCAACAAACTAGCATTTTGCAAAACGAGCGGTAGGGGATTCTGGGTATTACGAATGTACCTAATCATCGAATTAATTCTAGGGATAAAAATGTCAAACAGCAGAAAATCGTAAACGCCCTATTAGAAAAATACCAGCTTTCTCCTGATTATTTCTCTATTCTACAAGGAGGAAAGGAGCAATTAATTACTCCCGAGATATTTTCGGTAATCGACAGGGTCCAAGAAATCCACAACGATTGCAAAGTCCTCATGCAGTCCGGCCTTCAAACATTAGCTCTGGATATTATGGAGCAAATGACTTTATACCAGGTCAATATTACTCATATGATTACATTTAAATCTCTACGTTTTATTTTCGACAGGAAGCAGCCTTAGAGCGGCTTTATAGATGGACTCAGAATCATTGCAGGAACATAGATAACACTGACTTGACTGATTTGATAACGCAAGCGATGCTGAGGCTCCAAGAACGGCCCGTTTTATTTAAGTAATGCGGATTTTATGAACTTAAATGTTTGACTACTTTGAGGTATTTTTCAGTTACGTAATCGACGAGTATTGCATATGTAGAAGAAGTAAAATCACCGATGACTTTATAAATGCTCTAACAAGAGGCGGCCCCTCGGGGAACCCCGCACCGATCGAAATGAGAGCCCACGATTCCCAAATATACATTACGGATATGCTGGTGTGGTTGAACAAAGCAACGGCTGCGGAGAAGCAGAACTTGTGCACTTTGCTTAAACTTTGCACTAAAAACGGCTAGTAGAGATGAATTTTTCGTTAGAATTTATCGCAAATCAACTCGATATTTTTCCAGATTTAAACGAAACCATCGCGAACTCGCTAGCTGTAATCTGCGAAGGCGTTTGCCAGCCTTTGAAGATGAGAGTCGAGAAAATTATTAGCGTTCCATCGCAAGCTTCGGTGTTGTATTCGATCGTGAATTTGCTGCGATACTACAAAAAATGCATTTGCAAGGTATTATGAACGAATCATTCTGTATTACTCGTTGTAATGAGTTGTATTTTAATAGATAGTTAATAGAGGATTGATCCAGGAGACTCTACAACAGCTACAGGATAATTCAGAAAAAGCATTTTTAACTACATTACAAACTCAAGTCGATAGTAAATTGGTCAGAGTCGAAGCTCCGCCTCGCGATTTATCCCCAACATCCGCCGTTACGAATCTACTGGCTGTATTAAGAGATATTTTATCCACTGCTAACATGAGCGAAGGCAGAGAAACCGACATGGTGAAGGTACAGATCGATTACTTGTATTAGGCTATCGTTGATCACCTATCTTCAGATAGCTCAGACGGTGATGGTGCCGCTGTTGAGGGCCGTGAACGAGCAGGCCGCCCGGTTGCCCCCGACCGACATGGCGGTGTACATGCTGAACTGCATGTACGAGATGTACACGTGCCTGTCGCTGTACGAGTTCATGGACGAGCGGTTGGAGCGCTTGGAGGCCCAATCGGACGCCCAGATCGACACGCTGACGTCCGAACAGGCCAGTTCGCTGGTGGCCAACTTGAATCTCGGCCCGATTTACACGATCCTGCAGGACCAGAGCCACGGGGCGTTGTCCGAGGTGCCCGGAATGGAGCCGAGTAATCTCAGGAATTTTTTGGTAATTCGATAGATGGGTCGTTTGTGGGTTGTTTGAATGGTTTGTGTGTGGTTTTAGGAGAAAATGGATTATCTTGCTTCGCATCCGGACGGTGCTCTGTTGCAACAGATTCACTTGTTGACGTCTTCGAAGCATAAAAAGTCTGTGCAGAAGCGGTCGTTTGACGTGCTACTGGCTATTTACAAGCAACTCTACCAAGCGGTTTTGGATCCTGTGAATAAATACGAAAATCCCCATGTGATATTTCATAAAACGCCGGATGAGCTGGAGAAGATTTTCTCCTAATTTCGGTAGACTAAAGTGTAAATAAATTTTTTAATGTCGTAAAATATTACTTTAAACAATTGTTACTAAAATTAATGAATAATCATTATAAATTAAAATAAATCACATTATAAACAAAATAAATGTCAGTCCATCTCGATGATATATAAGTATTTCCTATTGATATTCATTTGCGAGTTTAAACCTTAACAATACATGAAAAAAAATCGTTATATTCCCAGATCTCTATTTCAAGGTTCCGTATCGTCAGCGTTCCTATTGATAATACTATCGTCTTCTACTCTACTGTACATTCTGCTATTTATTAAAGTCTTGATTTTTATTATAACATTTCTGCACGTAATACCGTTGTACAATGACATGCCGAACAATAGAAGCACGTACCCCAAAAGCTAAAACACAAAAATAATCAACTAGAGTTACTCGATTTATTCAAATATCTTACATGCAGCCAGTGGAAAACTTGTCCGAAGAAGGCCAAACTAAAAATCCAAATCACTATAGTCCTTACGCTGTCCAAGACCATTCGAGTGGTGGCCGACAATTCCTTGGTAACGCTGATTCCCGAAAAGTTAAAGAACGCAATCGAGAAAACCGTACCTAAAACGGCCAATGTCAATCTCCAGCTGTGCCCGATTTGCACGAAAGCATCGATGGGATCTTCCAATCGATCGCCCGGGTGCACCGTCACCGGGGGACCCGCCCTTATAAAGTAAAACGGAATTTGAAGCAACCCTAACACAACGAAACCGAAAAGACCTAAAAACCATCATCGTTAGTATTAGAATCGAATCGTTTTTGCTCGTTTCCCGGTTTACCTTCCCAACCGACCGCTTGCAACGACGGAATATTTTGCCCGGCCACAAACTTCTCCTCCACCACCATTTGAATCGATTGGATTATCTGAGCTATCACAATTAACATATCACCTAAAAACAAACATACATAATTACATTAATAATGAATACCTAAACGAACAAATCAATTACCCGTAATTATATCGTTTCTGGATTTATTGTCGGTTCCTTTATAAATAAAATCGCCTATGCCTACTACAAACAGCCCTAATATCACAAAGAATATGCCGCTCCATTGTCTCTTGTTTATGACGCGTCCTAAGAATCCCGAGCTCAGTAAACCCACGAAAATGATAACGGAGCCTCGGAACATCTGAAAACTCGATGCATAAGTTAAATTAAGTCCTATGTACATGATGGAAGTGGCCGTCATGTCGCACATGGCTGGTACGAAGAGGATTAAAGGGTTGAAAGTTCTGCTTCCTTTAGTCAATTCGTTAACGTCTTCCGTACCGTCCTGCAAATAAATAACTAATAAATGGAGTACTGTGAATTGAAGTGAATAACTTACTGCTTTACTGCTGTAGTATCTATACAATATTTTAAATGTTAAAAGGCAAGCTAATTCCCCTAGGAACATAGTGCTAGCTTGGAAGAAAGGGTGATTGAACGGTTTCTCCACTCCATCTCTTCCAACTGATTTAATATCATCGGCCCACCTATAATGTTACATTAAAACGATTTAATACGAATTCGAATATTCTTTACGTACGCCCTAAACAAGAAAATTTTTAAAAGTTGTACTTACTTGGTACTTAAAGTATTTATACTACCAGTGACGACCATTACTAGGGCTAATAATTTCTGGTAGTTTGTCCACGCCATTTTTACGATATTAAATTATAATGCTTACAAAAAAAGGGCAGCAGCAGCATGGGGGGAGTCTCCCATAAACTCGTAACAACATGTAACTTTTATTGTGTAAATCGCAAAATATTATCATTCGACCTTTAACCTCGATTGTTTGACATTACGTCATTACGACAAGTTTATGTCATAAGTCACTGTCAAATGGGTTTGTTCGTTGTGGAAATCGATCATTTCACCAAATTTCTTCTGTTCGTTTTTCGTACACCAAAACGCACCTGAACTGTCGATCGTATTTTTAATTGTTTTGTCAAACGTAAAATTTTAAAAATGGCTCTATAAACCAGTATGTTCTTCAAGTCAACTGCATTTACGGTAAAATATTAACGGTAGACATTAAAGAAAATTGATTTTCCTCAAAAAAAAAGTTAAAAGTGTGACCGACTGTGACCTCGGCGACTTACCCTATTTGTAAAAATGGCGGCGCCCGTATACATTGAAGAAGAATTAGGCAAAAAATGGGATAAATGTTTAACGGACGGGTTCATCAAATTCGGTGAGTGCTCAAAAAGCAATTTGTAATAAACTGGCCGTAAATAAATCGGTCCAAATAGCGTACTTTACGATTTGGTCTATTATGTCATCACCTAACCTAGAAAGTATTATTTTTAGGCGGAGGTCTCCTCATAGGATCAGTATTCTCCCTATTATTTTTCAAACGAAGGAGATGGCCCATAATCATGGGCGGCGGATTCGGCGTCGGCATGGCCTACTCCAACTGCGAAAAGGAACTCAACAACACCATCAGAGGGTGCGATCAGTGTTCAGCTAAACCAGACAAAAAGTAGTTTGTTCAAATCCTTAACAAATAATCACGGAAAACACCTTTTCGAAAGACAGTGGGTTTAGTTCGTCCTAAATTCATTAGTAGTTTGTAAATATTTGTTACGCAATATTTTTATTTTAATTTATATACTTGGTTTTAAGCTGTTCATTATTTGTTAATATCGTAATATAAAGCGGGTAAGAAAGACTCTGTAATTATTTTTATTTGTTTATTCTTTTTGTTACATATAAACTCTATGTAACAACCCTATTTAAAAGTCACATGGGTAGCTCTTTTGACAAGCGTATTGATCACTTGTAAAAATGGTTGCCTACCTGTCAGAAATCTATTTTTAAATACATGAATCTTCGTTATAAATGAAGAATATAATCATATGTACTTATTTGATATATCAACAACAAACTATTAAATATTTATGATTTTCTCACGCGAAATCAACCCCACTAGGATATTTATGTTTCGTTGGATTTGGAAGACGCCAACTAGACCATTTAGAGTGGAACAGAAATAAATCGGTAATGTCGATTCGTTGAATAGGGAAGCCCTTTCGGTCGATTTCGAATTCCGGTTTTGTTTATTCAGCCGTCGGGTATACGCGTAACGTCGGAACAGACAGTGTGTCTAGATTAATTCGAAGTATGTGGATGAATATACGTGAGACAGAAATACACGTTGCACATTTGGCCTCTGCTCGGTAAAAAACAAACTAATCGATCGAGTTTACTAGGAAATTGGTGCTCTCGCCGAAACGAACTTGAAATATTTAATTTCTTGGTATAATTGATTGTTTTGTAGGTGTGAAGCACCGAGAATTAAAGTATTTTTATTTCGTTTCTTCCTCTTATAATTACAGTATTCTTATTGTGTTTTGCACAACTTACTATGATTCTAATTGTTTTATTTTTTGATGATGAACCTTAGGAATTCCAATAATAAAGTAGTGTGAGTGTATCAATAGTACCTACCCGTATTTCAATTTCTACTGTGAAAATTATGGTTTTTTTTTTCAAATTTTCCCACTTTTATTAACGCTTGGTATACTTTATAAAGAACATTTTTTACTGATAGATTAATAATGACATATGACAGATAATGACAACGCTGATAAACCTTCCATCGTGCAATCTTGATTATTTCAAAAAAATGGAAAGAATATTCAGAAAGTCTGTATTAAATACATGATTATGTTATAAATGAGGAATAGGTAAGATAGTATTAATTTTTCATAACTATATCAGTCTCAATAATTTATGTACAATATCAAATACAATTTCAAAATGTCCATCTGTGAACAAAGAAAAATTATTAAAATAACACTGATAGTTAGAGTGAGAAAGTTGCAATGACATAATATAATATCACCATCTCTTTTTCTTTTTTACGAGACTAATGGGTGTTGTCTTTGTTGCACCCACATAGACCATATTTCATACAAAAGTGCACTTAACTGTATAATAAATGAATTAATAAAAGAATACAAAAAATAAAACGAATCTCACATCTTCCTACAAGCATCTACAAAAACAGTAAATTACGTACAACATATAGCTAGGGATCTTTATTAAAAATTAACAGCTACCGCAGAGGCCAGCGAAGTGGATTGATTGTCACGTATGCGAGAGAGTGGAGTAAAGGGGGCCCCGTCCGGCCGAGCCCACTGCAATAATATTGACGCAACCTATGAAGTGTCGGCGGAGGAGAGGCCCTCCGAAGGGCAGCCCTTTTGTCATTGGTCGAGGGATTCGCCATGTTGACGGCGAATAACCGCTTTTCTCGCGGGGCCCGACGACTGTCCGGAGCGTCCGGTCCATCACCTATTCAAATTCTACCTATACATATATCGCATTTACGAGGGGTAATCGAGAAATATTCAAACACAATAACAGCTAGTTTTTATTTCGAAATCGTGTACATATAAAATTCGGGACATGCTGTATGTAAGTGGGTTCGTTTACAATAAAAGAAGATAAATTAGGAAGGCGGTAAATGGTGCTCCGTTAATCCTAATTTCTGGCAAATTACAGCTACAACGTCGACCAAATGTAAACTATTAATTTTCCGGCTTTTCGGCTAAGCGACGCCGACGGGATTGATCATCCATCAACGAGAAGACCGGCAGCCTGAAGGAAAAAAAAAGACGAAAATATATTGCACTCTAATAATCCGGTCGGGAATCGGAGGATAAAATCTAATGGGTGGACTAATATTAAACATTTTTAACTTCACCAAATAAGTATATTAGAATATTTACATACAATTCTAATGAATAAATCACATGCGAATGTACACCTTCTTCTTCTTCCTCTTTCTTTGGAAGTATTGGTATCGATTGCCTGGACTATTTAGCCATAAATTTAGACCTCTCAGAATGTCGAAACGAATCACTGTGTCCGGTAGGTAATATTTTAGAGTCGAAAAAAGAAAAGACGCCGAGCGACACGTGTACCTATTTAAACGGTTACAAATCAACGACCATAATCTCTAGGTTTAAGCCTTTTATCCCGTACAAATCTGTAGTTTATCGCCCATATATCATTCCCGGCAAGGCTACCTGCGATGCCATTTCAACAAGAACCATATGTATCGATTAATCGATTTATTATACGATTATAAGTTGCATGGGAACATAGTAATACAATTAAAATTAATGTGTACAAAAGTAGAATAATAAACTTAACCACATATTGACACTAGCCCGCCTTACCTACAGCAGACTCATCGACGATTTTTAAAAATAACAAATTAATAAAATAGAAGAGAACGCAAAGGACATTCCTGCCCCATTGTGAGCGTATTCCGTAAAGAAAAACGAACGGTGTAAACACATTAAAACTCGATCTTCGTGTAATTTGCTTTTAGACGAAGGCGAATTGGAAAAACAACTCCGCATAAAAAAAGGGTGACACCTTCGGTGAATATGAAATGATAAAATAACAAGCCAGTAGTCCGAGCGATCGTCAACTAAAATAACACTCGAATATATTTAGATTGACAGCTCGGAACTTGGAAAAACTGCGTACAAGTACGTGCATTATTCAGTAGATTCTTTCAAGTTCATTGAATTCGATACGTTGAAAAGCTCGTTAAATTATCAAGCGTTTCATTTATTTCGCTTTAGCTGTCAAGTTGACAGGAGTTGTAAAACAATAATCGATTTTTCTCGGTACTTAAACGATTCATCGAACTTAAACGTCAAAGTTGTCATGTCAATTCAAATTGTGCACAATTTTTGTGCCTTTTTAATTGTAAAGTTATAGAATTGATAAAAAATATACGAAAATAACAAAGTGAGTAAATAAAATTTACTATAATAAAACTATAGTAATAATAAATAGTAATAAAGTGAACGAATAGTGAAATCCAATCAAGTAATCGAATATTCGAGTGTCATCTGCCAATAGTTAAATTCTCAACAAATCCTCGTGCAATTAGGCCTACTTAGGTGAAGCGATTGAACGAATTTAATTACGCAATTTCGCCCGGCGGGATGATCAACCCGCATTTCAATTGAAGCTATTAATATTAACAAAGCTCGTCCCGCGTCCGAAATCCCCCGGCGTCAATCCTTTCTGGCCGCGAAAACCGAATTATTTCTTATCAGCCCGGCGACAGCGAAACGGCTTAGCCCGCCATTGTCGGGCGATATCGTTTAATAACGAAACGCCCGTATGAATTCCCGCAATTTGTTTATTCGCCGGATTAAGCCGAATCCACCCCGAAATACAAATCCCAATCGAAATTGAAATTCGATTTTCGCCGCACTAAGTGGATCCGAATATTTATCGCCACTTATACAGGGCGTTAGATACTGATAGGGGTGAAGTTGGTACGCAAAATTGAGTTGTTTTCCGAGAGGTAAAAGGTCGCAGTTGTTTTTTTTTGACATTTGATGTGACAGTGTATAAAAATGTGACATTAACTAAAAATTTCTCTACTATCTAGCCAGCTGTATAGTTTGTTCGATTTTTTGCTCATCCAGATCGTGAAATTTACCAGACTTATTATACAATTAATCGAGGCGAGGAAGACATATACACGCAGCGGAGCACATGTAAAATTAAAGCGACCGTAAACCGTAAGCCGCGGGAAGCACCGGAGCGTGTCGCGGTCGGCTTTCGGTCGTTAATTGTAATTTCTGCGGGAGCAAATTGCATTGCAAATAGAGCGAAGGACCGAGCAGGGAGCGGCGCCGGATAAAAGCGAGAAGGAGAGCGGTATTAGAGCGTGTTTATTCAAGGGGGAACGGCGGGCGGGCGCGGGGGGGCGCGCGGCGCGGCCTTTATACCGTTTGAGCTGCAGCCCGGTGTTTATTTAGAATCCCGAATGGCCGTCCCGGAGTTCCGGACTATCCGGGCGAAGTGGGCTGTGTGCGAGCCGAGCCGGAGTGGTTTCTATTTTTCCAATCGATTTTTTTCCCGCTGTTAATTCGCTAAATTTTTATCATCGCGAGATTAGTTCATTAAAAATTCCTCTCGGTATATATTTCTGTATACAGGTTGCTCCATTTTTGATCGCAACATAGGCTATATGTGCGATAAAGACATCCATTAGACACTTATAAAGGAAAAGTAAAGAGTGACATTAGTGTCATTGCAACTTTTCACACTGTCAACTGTCATTTTAATAATCTTTCTTTGTTACACTCATAGAAATGACCATGTTGCAATCGGAAATGGAGCAAGGTGTATATCGTCCCTACTCGATCACCAGAATTAGTTATTTTAGGTCCGAAACTAATCCCGAATAGACTTGAATTTCTATTAATATAAACCATCGGTACCCGACTGGACCGTGGTACCGGCGCGATATGTTTGTTCAACGCCAGAGAGAGGTTAATTGTCGCGGCCCAGAAGGGTACCGGGGCGACTCGTCCCGAACGAGGTGAATGGCGAATTTAATTAGGACCCGGCGAGGATTCGCCTGAAATAATATTTGGACAAACGTACGAGATGAACGCCACAACTTCGGAGCGCTTCGATCTATTCAATGGACTTAATAGATGGTATATTTTTGGGTTTATTTTGTACATATACAAGGTGTTTCTAAGGTGGGAGAAGATCCTATAGATAAACTCTAGTTTCTAATATGTGTAGATACATTTGAAGTAGAATTGAGTATAGTAGATTAGAGTAGATCAGAGAAGAGGGCAATAAATAGAGAGAAGAGTGCAATAGTTGGTATATTTGTGGGTTTATTTTGTATATATACAGGGTGTTCCTAAGGTGGGAGAAGATCCTATAGATAAACTGTATTATAGTTTCTAATATGTGTAGATACATTTGAAATAGAATTGAGTATAGTAGATTAGAGTTGATCAGAGAGGAGTGCAATGTAGGTTAGTGTAGATTGGAATATTATAGAGTAGTGCATCAAGAGTAGTGTAGATTAGAGTAAAGTAGAGTATATAGATTAAAATAAATAAGAATAGATTATAGAGTAGGTACACTTAAAGTATAGAGTAGTAGATTAGTGTAGACTATAGTAGAGTATGTTAGAGTAGATTGTAGAGTAAAATTGAGTAGTGCAGAGTAGATTAAACTACACTAGAGTGGATTAGAGTACACTGGAGTAGAGTAGTGCAGAGTAGATCACAGTAGGGTATAAAGAGTAGAATAAATTTAGAAACAATTATTTCAATGACATGAAATTCGTCATCCCAATTGGTTCGCGTCAATCCATCGAACACATGTTTCCATCTAGTTACCAGTACAGCGGTGCTTAATCAAAATCGAGAGAGCCGCGTTTTGTGGAAAACATTGAGATGGCGAGTCGAGTGTTTAGTAAATTCCCGAAAACCGGCTGACAGTCTGTATATTTTCGATGGTACAAAACGAAACAAACCGATTTTCTCTCGTGCCTCCGAGCGCGGAGCGCCTTTCGAAAGATTCCACAACCGTCACGTCAAGTGCACATAACGCGGACCATACGATATGGGATATGTGAGAATTCGAACCCGTTTTTCCGTCCCTCCTGCTCCTGCTCATCCTTCGCATAACGTCGAAAATATATATATTGTGACTGTCAATAGATCGCCTTACGTTTTTATTTATTTTTAAACAATTCGTAAACAGAAGGGTGTGTTGGGTAAACAAACGTATATATAAAGCGAATACCAATAGAACAACGCGCTTTTAATACTACCTTACTAATTAGGTATAGTACTTACCTTTATATGAAATAAGGTATTAGATGTTATTCTGTAATATAGAGGGAAGGGAGAAAATCGTTAAAATCGTATAGTTAAACGGCGAGTCGCCTCCAGGAAGAACGAGATTAACTTCTGCCGTTCTTAAGGGTGTTTCATCGTCCCTGCGAAAGAACGAAATTCCCTCGACGTTTCGCCCCTTCGGGCCCCGAAAACGCATCAATATTCCACCGCCATTGTTATTACAGACTGCGGAAGCCACACATCTTTTCTCCCATCTCCCCGGCATCTCGCACGCTATATATACAACATCATATACGATATATTTTGTTATATATTCTCTATTCTGTCAATCAAAGCTCGCTGTTATAACGCCCGGAAGCTAGGCCATATTCCATCGAATCTATTTTTCCCATTAGAGAGTTACACGGCGAATTTTCCTACTGTACAAACCAAACTTTCAGTACTGGTAATTGGTAAAATTGATGATTTTTTTTTTTCGGATATTTCTTAGTGGATGTACGGGTCGCATCCGGACGTCCCGCTGATGGTTAATGCTCGATTCTCGAATAACTCCCAGATGTTTAAAGTCTCTGTCAAATATGTCACTCTGATGGGCTGGTGCGTTTTAGTGCGATCTCTAAAAACGGTCGACCGCCCGTTGACGCGTCGAATTTTACGCTGCATTTAAATTTACATATCGGATAACGAGATATCCGATACGTTTTCGCTGCGCTCGAGATGTAGAGGTTTCCTGATGATGATTGTGATGATGATGGTTGATTTATATATCGTTTGAGATTTTTGGAAATGTACGATTGAAAGTATAAACTCAGCAATTTTACAAGCTATACAGGGGTGTTATAATTAATTGAGTGCCGGTAGTTCAGGATGTGAAAATTTGGATGATTTTAAGAAGAAAAGTTTATATTATATATGTCCTAAAACTCTTGCTGCAGGGTGTTATTGTTTTATCTAGAAAAAAATTACTTTTATTATCATAATTTTCTTATTACTCCAGGTATTTTTATGAAATTTCGGATCTGGATGGGGCGCTGGTAATAGTTGAAAAATTTTTGTCCCCAAAAAAAGTGTTTCCATGCATGGTGGGCGTCTACCAAATTTCAACAAAATATCAAAAGCAGTTTAAATGAACTTGGGAAAAATTGTTTTGGTTGTTATTTTTTTACGCGAAAATGGTGCGTCGTACGAAAGTAAGTTTTCGGATCGAATTTGTTCCAAAATAAATGAGGATTTTAAAAATAATTTTGGTTTTTAGAAAAAACAGTGGCGTACAATTTTTTCTTCAAATATATTCAGTTCGAACACCGTACGGACGTCTCTGGTAAAACTTTTGCCTTAAAAAATGCTCCTTAATAATTAAAAATGTGTATATTCAAAATTTCATAAAAAATATCTGGTGTAATAAGAAAATTATGATAAAAATGTAATTTTTTTCTATAAAATTGTGACACCCTGTATTGTTATAATAAATTCTATTCTATTCTACTTTATATTAATACAATAGAATTCTGTATAAGCTATATACTCTATTCTAAGCTCCATTTAGATAAGAGTATCTAAATATAGAGATATTATAAATATTTACTTAAAAGAATAATAAAGGTATCAAGAGTGTTGTCCTGAAGGTGGTTTTAATTTTATTTTTCCAGAACTATGTGAAATAAATTAATGAAAATTGTGGTAGGTACATATTTAGTTTCTTAATACCAGTAAATATTTTTTTCCACATTGCAGGCCATATTTTATTAAATAGGTAAGGATATCACATAGAGGTGAATTAATATAGAATAACAATAGTACCTACCATGTTCACCTATGTTTTGTATATCTATAAAATAATTTAGAATCTAACTACATGCGCATTAAAAAAACCAACAAAAATTCAATACTCTTCATGTCCTTAGGTAGGTAGATAGAAAACACTTATGTATAAAGTATAAACTATTATCAATTAAAAATTTCCTCAAAACCAATTTACCCTTACCTAATATAATAAAAACTCCTGCACCAACCAAACCAACACGAGCACCGAACCCATCTCCATATACCCATCACCCATCAGCATATAATACCAAAATTCGCGCCGATCGAAACTTATCTATCGCCAAAAATAAACTAAACCGACGGCATTCTTCTAATAAATTTCACCGCGCGCCGTTTTAATATTGACATTACAAAATAAAATCCACTTTACGCTCGCCGTCCGTCCGCCCGCCGATTTTTCGCCGCGCCGAAAAAACCCGCGACAGAAGGTGGGGGGGGCGTCGCCCCGTCGACCTGTCACCGCGCGCCCCCGTCCCCATGGCAACCGGGCGGAGCCGGCCGCCCATTGGCCGGCGCCGGGTGGGGCGCGGGCGCGGCGCTGTTGCGCGCGATCGCCGCCTACTAATTACAGGGGGAGCGCTTGTTTTCACTAGTAACATTGCGGTCTCGGCGAGAAGCGACTCACGGTGTTTTCGCTTCGAGTCTTGTGTAAACTAGTCCATGTTGTGTATCATAATATCGGTGATTAGAATGAAAACAAGAATCGTAACGGAATAATATTGGTGTTTTAAACCCTCCAAATCGCCCGACACCCGCAGTGTATTTCTTTTGTGTGTGTGTATATAGACACCCCGGCGCGATATGCATACTTTGTTCAGCGAACACCAGACCGCCTACAATCGCTACGGCGGCGGCTACTCGACCGCCGTCGGCGGCAATCCGTACGCCTACGAGCAGTACTCGCGGTACGGCTACGCCGCCTGGCACCACCAGCAGCACTCCCTCAACACCGCCAAGGACATGGTGAAGCCGCCGTACTCCTACATCGCCCTCATCGCCATGGCCATACAGAACGCGCAGGACAAGAAGATCACCCTCAACGGCATCTACCAGTTCATCATGGAGCGCTTCCCCTACTACAGGGAGAACAAGCAGGGCTGGCAGAACTCGATCCGGCACAATTTGAGCCTCAACGAGTGCTTCGTGAAGGTGCCGCGCGACGACAAGAAACCCGGCAAGGGTTCGTACTGGACGCTCGATCCGGACTCCTACAACATGTTCGACAACGGATCGTACCTGCGCCGGCGGCGGCGCTTCAAGAAGAAGGACGCGCTCCGCGAGAAAGAGGAGCAGCTGAAGCGCCAGCAGATCGCCGTCGAATCGCCGAATTCTTCGGCGAACAAGCGCGACGAGAAGCCGCTGTTGGACGACGTCGTTGGCAACAAGCAGGCGAAGCTCGAGTGCAAACCGAAGCGGGAGCCCAACGGCGAATTGAGCCATTGCATGAACGCCAAGTACGGGGATCCCGTCAAGGGCGGCGTCCATCAGGTGCTCCAGGAGCACCACGTCGGCGTCGGCGACGTGACCGCCGGCCTGCAGGCCATCGACAATGCGGCCGCGTTCACCGTGGATAGCTTGATGACCAACAGGGATCAGGCCATTAGTTATTCCAATTCGGCCAGGCTCCATTCATCCGGAGGTAAGTTATTTACTCCATATTTTATTGCTATAATTAACGCCACATTTGATATACCTAGTATCTAAGTAACATTGACTTTTATACAGTCTCTAGAATGTAGATCCTTTTACATGGTCTCTGTCTGTAGTCTCTGATAGTCTTTGTAGACTCTCTAAGTTGAGTCTCTATAATTTATAGCCTCTATTGTATAAGGTCTGGATTAAATTTACAGTCTTATTATTGTCTAAGTATAAATGTCTATATTCCCTCAATAGTCTCTGTATAGAGCCTCTAAAGTTTGTAAGTATATTCTCTATATTCCTATTTCTATATATTATATTCTCTAGCAGTTTAGCCTCTATATTTCCTCGATGTTTTTATAGACTCTAAAGTTTGTAAATATACCTAGTGTTTATTATCTCTAGTCTCTATATTTTTTCTCTATAGTCGCTATAAGTAATCTTTTTCTTAAGTATTTAAGTGCTCTCTATGATCTATGGTAGTCTCTTTAGACTCTCTAGATTCTTTTTAGACTCACTATAAACTCTATGCCTAGGTTCTAGTCTTTACAATCCATCTATTTAGCCTCTACACTTTGTTTCTAAAAGTCTCTGTAGACCGTCTATTGTCTCTAAAGTTTCTGTAGACTCTCGATTGTCTCTTTAAAGTCTTTGTAGACCTCTAATTGTCTCTAAAGTCTCTGTAGACTCTCGATTGTCTGTATAATCTCTATCTATAGTCTTTGTAGACTCTCGATTGTCTCTATAATCGCTCTTTAAACCCTCTATTTTTTTGCTAGATTTTCACTTTGCATAATAAGCATAACGTCGATTAAACTAAACAAGTTCGTGTGGTATTTACGCTTTGTTTTAAGTGATTCGAAATAAGTATATTTAACACCTGTATATATCGAAATTGTTAACAGAACATAAAGGTTTCCCGGATTTATGTTTTGAAATAAATCAATCAAATGTCCTAATTCTTCTCTCGCGTTGTTTACAAGTTTCGTCGGTGCTTCGCCGTTCTCTCGATTATCCGTAAGTATTTCATCTTTGAAGTTCGCATAATTGCCTGCCTATACATTTTATACCGGCGGTTTATTGAGTAGATCAGGCACTTTCTTCTGTGTTTGTAGAATCGATTTTTTTCGCGTAATTTATCGCAAAATACCCATCGAATGGCTCGGGATTGGGAGGAATGTTTAATACGAATTTCGATTGCACAACAAAATAATTATTAGGTATAAATTGTATGTGTTGTTGTGTTAAAATTGCTTTATTATAACGTTACGTAAATTTGTAAAGGAAAAAATTAATAATAGTAAATACAATGAAATGAAAAGGTACCTAATAAGTATTGTATAGAATAGAATTTAGACGTCGAAAAATTATTGCAAAAATAAAATATATGCAGGTAAAATAAATTTTTGATATCAACTCTAGTTGTATATAAATTATTTATCCTGCAATTCTTGTAAGTAATACTATATTATCTCAGGTACTTTCACATGCTCCATATTAACTCTCAAATATACATACAGTACTTCTTACATAAGGAGATTATTAAATAGGGTTTTTACTACGTATACCCATACACTTTTAATTTGTACTTTAGGCGGTGATTCTGCATGAAAAAATAATGATATTTTGCTATATAAACATCTCCGCAAATGCTTCGTTATCGAGATACAGGGTGTTAAAGTTTCTTCACTACTTAGATAACGTGTTTTGAGCTAGGAAATGAAAAATTCACGTCAAGATGTTTTATTTATTTACTCGAAAACAGCGGCCCGTACGAAAAAAACACAAGAGAGTTTTTTTGTCACAAATTGAACGAGCAATTCATTCATAATTGAATTTTCGATACAAATGCCTCAGTGGCGTGCCAATATTATTTTTTCCTTTAAAAAAATTATTATTACCCCCGTATGCGCGTCAATGATAAACATAAAATTTTTAATTTTATGTCAAAAAATGCGTAATTGTTACCTCTCAAAACCCACCAAATTTCATTTAAATATCTCGTCTGGTTCAAAATAAATAAATAAATCTTCGGTTTTAAGAAGAAACTTCAACACTCCGTATCTCAAAAACGAAGCATTTGAGGAAATATGTTTATATAACAAAATATCATTATTTTTTCATGCAGAATCACCCCCTAAAGTTTATCTCACTTATTAATTAACACCCTGTAGAGGATACCTAATATACTGCTCCACAAAAGTTTAAGTTCACAAATATTGAGATTAATTAAAAAGTTTCAGGTTTTTTCATCGCCAAATTTAGTATTAGTTGTAGAGGTAGGGGCAAAAAATCCACTCAGATATGAGAGAAAACATTTAATTTCGCATATTTGAAAATTTGGCGATCAGAAAGTCTGTAACTTTTAAAATAATCGCAAAATTTGCCAACTTCCTTAACTTTTGTGAAGCACTTTATTCCTCTTTGAAACGATGGAAATCTAAATTCCATTTTATTGATTTACAGGAATGTACTCGTACTGCCCGACCGCCGCCCCCCAACACCAATACACCATAGCCGACGAGGCGACGCCGCGCTACAGCCCCTGGTACAGCCCGGAAACATCCCCGGAGCCGGCGACCAGCTATCGCGACATCATCTTCGACAACGCCGCCGCCCCCAGCTGCCAGCTGGCCACCTTCAGGCACGCCGGCGTCTCGCCCAGCCCGCCCAACTATCGCCCGCCCGCCGCCTACTATCAACCCGACTGCGTCGGCCAGAAGTACTAGAGATGTCCCACTTCTGATGAGAGATGAGAGATGTCCCACTTCTGATGAGAGATGCGAGATGTCCCACTTCTGATGAGAGATGCGAGATGTCCCACTTCTGATGAGAGATGAGATGAGATGTCGCACTTCTGATGAGAGATGGTAATTGATCGGGTTTTGATTTCGTATAGGTTTTATTAGTCGCTTGGTGATTTTGTGCGTTGGGTACGATTTACGAAAGACTGACGTTGATATTGGATTTTTTTTACGTGCAATTGTTCGTACAGGGTGGTTCGGACTAAATCGTGTTGCCTGGTCGAATGAATATAACGATCATCCTGTATAAAACGGGCCCTATATAACGAGCGCGATTAGGTTTAGGATTAGATTGAGAATTTGCGATTTTTCCCCCCTTTGAAATCGATGTAGGTGTAGATTTGTTTTGTACATAAAATCACGGATATAATTTATTATCAAACTACAAGCGAAAAATTGTCTCATTTTAATCTACATAAAAAATTAACGAATATTTAGTACATCTCTGCACTGATATTATTTGTGATACGAATTTTTTTTAATTATTTAAGTCTTGCGATTTCGACTATAATACAGGGTAAAATAACGGGGCGATTGATATACTATAGAGTGCTTTTATAATTGGACTACCCTGTATATACGCGGTTAGTTAATTGATTAATAATATTTAGCGAGTAATTATACATAGTGAAAGTTAGTCGAATTCTATTTAGGTTGTGTTGAATTCCAAACAACGTAAAATGCATTTAAAAATCGCGTATTGAACGATTTTCGCACCGATCGAAAATAATTCGATACCCAATCGATACTTAATCGATACCTCTTCATCCCAGTATAAACTGTATATACGATATATTGAATTTTTTGTAAAATATGTAGATGTTTCCGATTTATTATTATATTGCATAGCGTTAAAAATAAACCTGTAAATTATTTATTTCGAATTATGTGAATATATAGGTACCTGTGAATTTTAACTCTCTCGCTTTATTTATTTACCCCTTCTAATACGAATGGTGTTTCCAAAGTTCTGCAACTTGTGCTCTAATTAAATTACAGTGTTGTTAATTTGCCGGAACTTCGGAAACATCCCTCGTACATCAGGTAAGTGTGGAAATGATAAATGGTGGAAAAATTAAATCGAAATCGTTTAAGAGCGGGATTTGCGGGATCGATTCGTATCGGAAAAACGGCGAGAGATGAAGAGAATAATAACGAAAGCACGACCGACGGTGATGAGACGGGCGTTTTAAGGTTTTAAGAAACAATAATATTATGTTTTGTATAATATGCACCGGCATTATCCTCATATTACAGGCTTCCGTCCGATGAATTTCTGCTTCTCTCGCTTTTCCCGCTTTCCTCGCGAAAACCGCTCGCTCTTAATGTATACGCCGAGAGTCCGTAGAAGAATCGCAATAAAGAAAATATTATTTTTGTGAATTTACAGATTGAATGAATACTTCTACTTTTTTTATGATTGCAATTATCTCGAAAATTAATTGAGATAAAAACACGCTGTTTGTTTTGGTTTGTAGAAAAAGTGTTTCTCTACGATTTATAGAGAATCGAAAATTTTCGAAAATCGCTTCATTTTTGAGATATCCAAAAAAAACTTCATTTTTCGCTAATTTTGCACTGAAGATGATATTTCCGAAAATCGAAACGTCAATTTTCTGAACCAGCATGTTTATTTACATATAATTCACAACTTTTTCCCGTCCAAAACGATAAACATTAGCCACAAAAAAATCACCAATCAGTGAACCAATCAACGCGAGTTGCAGCTTTATTATAATACAAAATATTCTCCTAAAACGTATTATTGATACTCCAAGCCATCTCTACTGGCACATACGAAATCTGGAACAACTTTCTCTCTCTCTCTCTTGTCGGCGATTTTCTTTCAGATTATTCTTTCGTTTTTCCGGGAACCTTCGCCGGGATTTCCGCGAATTTGCCTGCCGCTTTTCCGGCGCGCCAACGGAAACTTCCGGCTTCCTCAATTACAATTTTAAATGCGCTAAAAGCGCGCCCGCCTTGAATTCCGTATTATGCCGCTCGGAAAATCGTCCCAAAGATTTTCCTTATTTGGACCTTCTATATCATGATAGGCATAGCGAGAGAAAATATTCCTTAGTACCTACCCCGGTAGGTACTACTAACTTAATTACGAGTGTAAATCCCGGAGGATAAAAAAATGTGTATACAGGGTGTGGCTAAAAAGTTTGTTAAAAAGTACAGTTTCATGTAGGGAATTATTTTAAATATTCATTGCTACATCGTTTGGAAAATTGAGGCGTGATGGAAAATTGAGCGAAACAGGTATGAACAAAAAAAAACATGAAACTTTTAAGGATGAAATATATTAAACCCGATTTTTTCAACGCGCTCGCAACATCCCGCTGTTTTCACACAGGATTTGTTTGTAAAGTGAATTCACGTGTAAACTCCGCTTCGACATGTCCCGTCCATTTTCCGCGGAAAATCGCCTATTTCTCGGTTCACGTAATATATAATAGAGTCCCGGCCTCGTCGATTTAAAGCGCGGAGGGCAACGTAATCATAACAAAATCCCGAATTTCATTCGAAACAAGGTTCGCTCGGGCCGTAAACACCATTAAAAAGACGGTGTGTCTGGATTGTTTAGAGGATTTTATGATTTGTTTGAAAACGAGAAGTGCGTGAAACCTCACACGATGCACGCACGCATTTCTTTCTGAAACCGCTGCACCCACCGATCTGGAGATAATCCGTGAGGAAATCGTGGAAGAAATTTTTGCATCGATATGCTCTTCGGTGTAATGTTTCAATGTAATTTATGAATAGTGGAGTATAGGATCGGCGTAGTCGATCATAAAAGTAGAGAGTAAATTTTTGAGGTTTTGGGATGATAAAAGTAGAGAGAAAATTTAGTGGAATTTTGAGAGGTGTTTATAAAAGTAGAGAGTACATTTTTGAGGTTTTGGGGTGATAAAAGTAGAGAGAAAATTTAGTGGAATTTTGAGATGGGCTTATAAAAGTAGAGAGTACATTTTTGAGGTTTTGGGATGATAAAAGTAGAGAGAAAATTTTGTAGACTTTTGAGAAGTGATCATAAAAGTAAAGAGTAAATTTTTGAGGTTTTGGGATGATAAAAGTAGAGAGAAAATTTCAAGGAATTTAGAAATGTGGTCATAAAAGTAGATATTAATTTTTTGAGGTTTTGGGGTGATAAAAGTAGAGAAAAAATTTGGTGGAATTTTGAGAAAGTAAAGAGTAAATTTTTGAGGTTTTGGGATAAAAGTAGAGAGAAAATTTGGTGGAATTTTTAGACACGTAATAAAAGAACAGAGTAAATTTTTGAGTTTTTGAGATAAAAGTAGAGAGAAAGTTTAGTGCAATTTTGAGATGTGTTCATAAAAGTAGAGAGCACATTTTTGAGGTTTTGGGATAAAAGCAGAGAGAAACTTTGATACTATTTTGAGATGTGTTCATAAAAGTAGAGAGTAAATTTTTAAGGTTTTGGGATAATAAAAGTAGAGAGAAACATTGGTGGAATTTTGAGAAGTGATCATAAAAGTAGAGAGTAAATTTTTAAGGTTTTGGGATAAAACTAGAGAGAAAATTTTGTGGAATTTTGAGATATGTTCATAAAAGCAGAGAGTAAATTTTTTGTGCTTTTTCATTCTTATGTATACGAGAAAGCCAGATCGGAAAATCGAGCTTTCGATATCCCAATCTTTCATCATCAGGGTGAAATTTACAGTTTTTAGTTAAGATTATAAGCGCGATTTAGGAGTGCAGTTAGTACGTTTTAAACGAGAAGTAAATACGGCAACCCAATGTGTATACAATAAAATCCATACACCGAGGATTTTATTGTCTTGCATTTAACCACATACACGAATTATCAACCCGCCATCTATTTACAACCTCAAAAATTTTCCAAAAAACCTTTAATAAAAACCAAAAACATTTTCATCATCCAAATCATCATACACTACAGAGTGTCCCAAAAAAAACCACACACACACACAACTAAAACTTATTTGCTCGAGCAATTAGGGCGAACCGAGCGAGCTAATGGGGCGGCAAATCGGGGCTTCCAGGCGGCGCGTGCGGAGTCCCGGGGGCCTCGTTTAGGTGTTGACACGGTGGCCCCGGCGAAAGTACTCGGCAAATATGTGCGTTGCGTTCGGCCCGTTGAATTAGCGGGGCCCTCCGTCGAAGAGGAGAGAAATGAAAGGGGGCGCGCGAGGCCGCGCCTCTGTCGCCCGACGGTCTCCTCCTTTTGCCTCATTAGCGCCCCGCGAGCCGGGCGGAAGGTGGAAGGTGTATCGATTCGTCGGTGGAACCGGTTTGAATATGAAATGGAATAATGCGAGAGGGATGTATAAAGGGGTGGTAATAGTGGTAAATTTGTATAGGGGAAGGACGGTCCAGGTGATTGAAATTTGTACGAATAAGGCGAGTATTATATTTGGGACATGCTGTATAGGTTGGCTGAAACGTTGAGCTGGAGTGTTGTGAGAAAGGAAGGGAGGAAAAATAATGAAATGTTGATGATTTGGATGATAGTAGAGAGAAGAATTAGTACTTGATGAGTGATATGCGCATAAAAGTAGCGAGAAAAATTTGGGGTTTTTTGGATAAAAGTTGAAGGAATTTTGAGATTTGTTCAAGAATGTAATAGGGAGTAAAATTTTGTGGTTTTGAGATAAAAGTAGAGAGAAAATTTAGTGGAATTTTGAGATGTGTTCATAAAAGTAGAGAGAAAAATTAATTCAATTTTAAGAAGTGTTCATAAAAGTAGAGAGTAAATTTTTGAGGTTTTGGGATAAAAGTAGAGAGAAACTTTAGTGAAATTTTGAGATGTGTTCATAAAATTATTGAGTAAAATTTTGAGGTTTTGGGATAATTTAGTGGAATTTAGAGAAATTTGGTGCAATTTGAGATGTGTTCATAAAAGTAGAAAGTAAATTTTTGAGGTTTTGGGATAAAAGTAGAGAGAAAATTTGAAGGAATTTTGAGATGTTGGTCATAAAAGTACGGAGTAAAATTTTCTGTAGATAGTTGGGTCACCCTGTATATTGAAATTTGAAAATTTCGCGACAACCTGCGCCCGAAAGACGGTGTATAAATCGTAGTTTTGGCAGTTTTTTTTCCTTATTCGCGTAAAAATAAACCAAATCGGAGCATTCTGATTTTGTATATAGGGCGATGTGCTTGGAATAATATTTTCTTTAAAAGTCTATCGACGTCGATGGAATATATTTTGATAGTCGAGCAAGTGCGATGAAAACACCGAGAAAAGGAAACTGTTTTCGTATCAAAAATCACTATATATACATGGAGGAAGCGAGATCGCGCCATGCATTTTATTTTCCTTTTCACCATTTCTCAGATATTGCTCCTTTTCCTTCCAAAAATACCGAAAAAAAACCAACGAAAAATATCTTCTATATACGAAGAGTATGCTTTGGAAAATGCACAAGAAAAAAATCAAGTAGCGCATATAGATGACATTTCAACATTTGACAGTAATGACAGTTGATACAAATGTTTGATATATATAAAATAAACACACTGTAAAAGGAATATTTCTCCAAGTATACCTACTCCAAGTACTTGAATAGTTTGATGGGGGCATATGGAGAGTCTAAAGCACACACGGCTCGGTGCTGGAAGGCCCTTAATTAATGGTTTTCCCTGTTTGGATTGAAAATAGCGGCGTTTGTATTGAGCGCCCGAAGCGACGGGGCGTTCGAGCGAACAATGCGCATCACGCCAATATTGTGATAACTCCCTTTTTCGACTCCCCCCCGCTTTCGAATAATATACCTCTTTTGCCCGATAACCGTGCAGAAACTGCTATCGATTCCTAATCGATTAATTACCATGATAAAATAATAATGGAATGTGGTCAAGTAGAGAGTAGATTTTTGAGGTTTTGGGATAAAAGTAGAGAGTAAATTTATGAGTTTTTGGGATAAAA